ACCATAGGCCATTGTACATTACATACAGTATTATGCTCTGAAAAATAAATATCATCATGTTCCTGTCTGTCTGTACACTACTAAGTATTATGTTCTGCAGGATTCCCAATTAAAATTACTCGGCCTTCATTTACCTGCATGTCCAGAAACAGTGGAGAAGAGTTTGGTCAGGAGTCAGGTGTTGCACAGCAGTTTTATCCTGCAGATTAAAAAAGATGATGATTTATGAATAGATTGTGTCAGTTAGCACATTTCTGGTTGTCATGAGGTGAATTAATGTTATACAATTTATCTCTGATGATGTATTAGATATTTGGGGCAGTAAAGACTGTGTACAGAAGAGAACTTAATAAACCAGTGCAAAAAGTTGACCATGAAATGAGGCAGCAGAGGTTGACCTTTGATAAGCTGGTTTGACCAGTTTGTTGTTGGGCAGTGGGGCACTTTACACTCCTCTATGTGTATGTTTGTATTTGCATTAATTTATGTATGCACTAAGCATATTTATATGTGAATGTAAATGCGTGTTCACATATTTGCTCATACATCCATTTAGTTTCTTTTTTCCATGTGGCTTACAAGTTTATCCATTATATGTGCACTTGCAAACATTTACTGTACAGATGTTGGTGTGTGAGGGGGGGGGGGGTGGTGAAGGTATGGTGTACAGGTGTTCTGAACTGCTCACTGTAAAATATGGCCATGACTCACATGGCTGCTCTGCTGGGTTAACTGAGGACTGCAACACTATACGCTCTCACTCTGGTCATGGTCCCTGGACAAGACTGGTTTTTGGAAAGTGATACTTTGGGAAACTTATGAAAGGAAACAAAATTAGCTTAAATTTTAAATAGATTAATACAGTACTGTGCAGTATTTAGGTAAAGTTAGGTTCCAAGGAGAATTAGTTACTGTGTTTTAAAGGATGTGGTTACTGTACGTATGTGTGTTAAAAGTTTAAATTGTTGCTTTTTAAAATGAAAGCTAGTTGTTGGAGAGCTACACAGACTGAGGACCTCATACTGAAGTGTTGGGTACTGTAGTGTCTGACTGGTACAATACTGGTGAGGTTGTGTTAATGACTCTTCCCTTACCTGTACTGTATGTCATGTCTCAGTACATTCATTTTCCAGTTAACAGTTTAGTTTTAACTGATTTAACCTTTCACCAGCTGTAATATATACAGTATTTATCTGGTGATTATATTAATTTAGTAATTTGTGGCTATATACTGTATACCGTACTACGTGTTAATTTAGTCTCAAACGATCCATTGTGCGTTACCTTTTGTGTTGTGTTGGCTCTTCCTGTTACTGTATAGATCCTGGTGCAGTATGTTGTCAGTGCTGAACCTTACTCTGGAACCAGGATCTTCACATCTCTATACTGTATAGACTTATCATACACATCCTCCTCTGTGCTTGCTGCTTTCTCCCTTGGCCTGTCATTCACTAAGTCTGTTCCTACTTTCTCCTTAACACATAGGCTCCCTCAGGCTTCTGCTAACACAGCTCTCTCCCCCCCCCCCTGTAGATTTAAGCTACTTCATTATTGTATTGTCTGTTTGAGTTTATCGCCCACTGTACTGTACCGTATTTAGGTGTGTTATTTTTATCATCCGCCGCACATATTTATACACACTACATATCACCCTCCCTTCCCACCCCCGAGTTCCTCATTTACTATTAACCACATCCTGTGTGGTGCCAAACTCATCACAGACTTCCATGTTTCTGTGTCCGTCATTAACCAATTTTATCTTAATGTTACACCTTTCATCTTATCTTTACCAACAATATTCTTCGTAATTTTGCCTCTCTCTTGTAGCTACAGTATTTCTTCCGGTGGGATGCTTCTGTAACATTATTCTTCTCGTTGATGTTTTAGCTACTGTATTAAGTTCTTATTAACATTTGTTGTAGCAATAGTACCATACAGTATATTACAGAATATTGTATATACCTGCACTGTATCTCACTTCATTACTTTATTCACAATGTAAATTCTGTATTTACTACTCGGAAATACAGTACAGTATATAGGTTACATATAAGAAGCCTTCATGTCACTTGACCCAGGTGATCCCCTTACACTTATTTGATGTTTATTTTGTAAATTTAAACCGTGTGGAAATAATAATCTAAGTATCTTTGATAATTTTTAATCTGTTATTAGAACTTTAGAGTAATTGGAGTCATTGTACGTAGTCAAATTAAGGTTAGTGTGAACATTGGCAAGGTGAAACAATTGTGAAATAGGTGTAGAGAATCATTCATGGTGCAGTATAAGGCAGAGGTTAAGCAATAAATGGGTGCTGTACTTGAAACAGTGCAGGGTGTATTTATTAATGTCAAGGTTTGTCAGGAAATAGATAGCTACATAGATAGCTACACAATTCAAAGTTACATAAAAAAAAAAAATATATATATATATATATATATATATATATATATATATATATATATATATATATATATATATATATATATATATATATATATATATATATATATATATATATATATATATATATATATATATATATATATATATATATATATATATATATATATATATATATATATATATATATATATATATATATATATATATCGGTTCTCGTTTATGCGTTTCCACATTTACGTGGTACCCCGCCAGAACCGGAATACCCAATTTATGCGGTGCATCTACTCATATACGCGGGAAGTGGCGTGGGCAGGGTTCGCGCAAGGTCGCCCAGTCATCAAAACATTACCGAGTTCTTCACCCGCCACAGCCGGTCCAAGTCAGTGATAATGATAGTGAGGATATAGACTTATATGGACTTTGAGGGGTTTGACAAAGAGGCCCTGCAAGCCTATGTGGTGGATAGTGATACAGGTGAGGGCCAATAATCTGCCCTCTGCCTTGGAACCAACCCCCCATCCCCGGGTGCCCAGTCATCTTTTCTACTGTTGTAAGTGTTAAAAAACCTAATATTATTGATATTTTTCTTAATTATTAATTGTGTGTGCATACCATCATAAAATTAAGATGTTATTTTTACTACAACGTAGGTATTGTGTCTGAAAAAGTGGAGTTTGGGAGTCGGCCCAGTCTCTTATTTCAATTAATCCCATATGTTCTGTTATTCCATTTACGCGTTTCTCGTTTTACGCGCTACTACGCGGATTCAATTGACCGCATAAATATATATACAGTGTATATATTACTGTATATGGCTTCTGGACAGAGTTAGTTAATAGATACAGTACTGTATAATGTACAGTCAGCAAAATATTATTGTGCACCTTTACGGGTTCCTACAGTATGACACAACGGACCAAGAATTCCGAAAACACTCATGAGTCAAAGCGGATGTTGGTAGCCCTGGCTTCCTGAGTTGCCAGTTACTCTGTTGATAGTATTTACCATAAGGTGTTGTTACTCTGTTGATAGTATTTACCATAAGGTGTTTAAGTGTGTCTGCGTGCACAATGTGTTACAAGATGTGAATAGAGCAGTTAACATCATATAGCTATATTTATAAAATAATCAAATTAATATCAAAAGCAATTGCCATTACGACTCCTGCTGTTTGCTTTGATGATCTGTCCTTTACAGATCGAAACTGCTCCATTTCTAACAGTTTCATTACATTCTTTTTAACGATCACATTTCCTATGGTAAAATTCTTTGCTCCACTGTGTTATATAACACTAACAATGCTTTTGCTTTGTGAATTTTGCTACAGTACCAGTTACCCCCGGTCAACCCCCTATCCTTATTATATATTGTGACATATTTAAGAGATATACTCTACTGTAGCTCGTTTCTTAACTCACATCTTTCCAGTAGCTCGGTTACGTATGAGTAATATTGTATAACTTTCCTATGTTACAAATGTTTGGTATTGTTTTTTTCTGGTTGAGGTCTCGTATTATGTCACTTCTCATCACTTTCTCAGATAGTGGTTATAATCTTGAGTATTTACACGATTTCGTTGTATCACATAGTATGTGAAATTCCTTTACAGCACCTCAGTGTCTAGAGTGTCTGCCATATGTGGGTGGCTAAACGTAGTACAATACTACGGTATAGTATATAATGCTATGACATTATCTGGTGTAAGTGCTATGGATTTTATATGTATTCCTGATAATTTCTCTGTGGTTACTACACATGATATAAGGAATAACAGCACATTAGTTATACAATGAATCATACAATAGGAGGTACCAACCTTACCAATACATGGCATCAGTCTCACAGTGTTCGTTGTGAGAGCCATTGCACCCAGGGTGCAGAATAATTTTTTGCTGACTGTACATAAAGTTGGTAACCACCTTATGGTTCATGGAGTTGTGAGGTCAGTGTTACTTTACTTTGCCACTGGTAAATTCCTTAGTGAAGATATGAGTCCAGGTATTAATACATGGTATTTCTTGTTTGCTTATGTCAGGGTGAACTGATAAACACAGCTGGTATTGTTGTTGGATCAGATAAAGGTGAAATGAACTAAGAAACTGATCTTGAGGTGTTTCTTGTTGTTTATTGTATTGTCAGTGTGTACAGTGTGTTTTGTAAGTGTCAGTAGTGCTCAGACCTTTAGCTACTTTCTCAGTGAAACATAAAATTAGTTTAAGTGTAGGAATGAGAGAAAGTTAGTTGACATTATGATTGAAAGAATACACAGGACAGTATATAATAGTCATTCAGTTAATGTGCAATAATTATAACATTTACAATATGTTGGAGAATGGTATCATGTATAGTGATTTATGAGCATAATTAAAACACTGATACTTCATATTAAATAAATGATGAGTTTATTAGAAATTTTTATCATGAAAGGTTCACAGTACAGCATGTCAATTTTTATGGTTAATAATATGTAGAAGAACATGTAATTGGTGAGAAAGTTAGTAAAAGTGGTGGTGGGTGGAAGTTTGTGGCAATTTGGTTGTGGGGAAGCATGACTGTGTCAGCAGTCATGTATGACCATCACAGTTGCCTAACACCAGTCTTGTCTCACTCACCTGTGTGTGTGTGTGTGTTGGCAGTGCTCTGGCTCTAACATCATCTTGTATTGTGTTTAATCTGTGAAAACCGTACGGGTGAACTTGTGCAAGTTGTTATTATAATGTACAATACAGTATATTCAACACTGGGAAATGTTTACTGTATTTAACTTGTTCTCTCTTGTTGTGTACAGTTAGAAGAGAAAAGTGAAAGTTGTGTGTGATGTGTTCACTCTTTGTTTACAGACTCAGTTGATTTATTCTGTGAACTAACTCTTACATTCATCTACAGTAATTGTTTGAAGTAAAGGACTGCTGACAACTCTCAGTAGATGTAGTGTAATGGCTAATATTTTCCACCCACTTTAAACTTTCTTTTCCTGTTTTCCTCACTTTTTTAATATTACTGTCGGTAGAGTCGGCCTCTGTAGGTAGGATTATTACAGCTTCCTGGAAATTCATGGTTATACTTTCCTGGAAATTGATGTTTATACTTTTGTGATTCTGTTCCTGTGGTTGTACAGTTTTACCATCACTGCCTCACCTACTGTTCTACACATTTTCCTTTTACTGTACACTATGAGTCACTCCTCTGTGTGTCCGTTCTTCTTGCACCATCCCTGACAGTTCTCCTCTTTCTGTTTTATAGTTCACTTTATGGTGGTATTCTTGTTATTGTCAGTCATCCAGTACAGTAGGTGTGCAGGAGTCCTATTGATTTACAACAACCCATACTTCCACATGTATAGTACACACCTGACACATCTGTTAAAAGGATTGAGCAAAATGTACAGTACAGTTCAGTATTCAGAGGGTCAATTAAACATCTCTAGATAACTTGGTTACTGTACTTTGGGTAAATGTGTTTCATAGTTCCAACTCAAGTTACAATATGATGCGAGTGTAGCCAGATTTAGCGATGAGGATACTATAGGCACAGAATTGATGCTAGGATTTGTTGTGTGTTTCTAAGCTCATCCCTGGATGATTTAAGCTGAGACAGGGGTTATGATAAAGATAAGAAGTGTTTCATATTAGGCAGCAGTCTCAAAGGATGTGTGTGTTATTGACTGAACATAAACATAAAACTTGAAAGCTTTTTAAACGGTGTGGCTGTAAAACAAAGCTGTTGCTCATATCACTGTGCTATAATTTTTTAGGCATCTGATAATATGATGGTTTTTAAAGATGTGGAAGCAGGAAGTTGTGTTTTTTTTGTGGGGGGTGGGGGGGCTGTTGGAGAGTCACTGTTGTTTCATTGTTTATGTGAGCACAAAGGAAGGTGGAGTGGTTTTTATCATCTTATTGTTTCTCTCACAGTGATCTGTCTGTCTGACCGAATATTTTGTTGCCTCGTGTACTTGCCCAAGTGGACATTTCATAGCACTAGTTTGGATCTTAGAGATAATACTATACGCATGTGCTGTACCTGTGTGGATTTGTACAGTTTGTGCACTAAATCTTATGAAAGATGTAATACAGTACATGTAGCTATGTGTCTGATTATTACCAGGGCACAGTAAGTGTGTACAGTACAGTATATCATGTGTGTCTGTCAGTGTACAATCTATGAATTTCATTAGTGTCATTTTATTACATATTAGTATTAACTGAGAAAACTGTCAGTGTGAAGGAACACGTAGGACTTGAGTCGACCAAATGAGAGCAATACAGAAATACCGAAGGATAACAAACATTCCAACAGACCAAGAGTCCTCTGTGATGGCATCTTCATCTCTCATGCAGAAATTAGGTACAGTTCAGTGTTTTTGTGCCTTTATTCTGATACTCAGGTGTCATAGGTTAACACTTCCAACACTGTACATTATGCTCTATAGAAAGTTTCATTAATTTCATAAAGTTAATCAGAGGATATAACTTGTGTGTACTATTGTCTTCTCTTTGTTATGTGTTTTGCTTATGAAGGGAAACACATCTGTCACACGAGTAAATTAATGACAACAGATGGAGGGAAAGTCTGTGTTTGTCTGTACAATACAGCCGGAAGAGGCTTAAAGCGGGGGGAAATTTTTTAAATGAAAAGTTGATGCAGTTTGGCCTTTTACAGTCTGTACTAGGCTTGCTTTTTTCTTTTTATTCACTGATGAGATCCGTAACTAAAAACATTGTATATACAATGCAGTGTTATTAATTTATTTATTGCAGTAAGAGAGCACAATTACTCGTATAAAAGTGAATGTATAACAGAGAGTGATGGGAGACTCTCTTCTTGCTCTTGGTTCCAACAACTCTACTGCATGATAAGAGGAAGGAGCTTGAGAGTTAAAAATGGATCTCTGATTTTAACTTTGGGTTGAGGTGGAGTTGATGGTAGCAGGGAGCCAGTTACTGTCGTGTATAATTTAAACTCAATCATTATATATCCTAAGATGTCTCCCACGGGTAGTCCAAAAATATGTTGTATAGTTCTGTACTGTATAATACTGTATATTACTGTAGGTATAAGATTTTGAAAATGATTTTAATGTTTGATTACTAACTGCAGAGTTCCTCATGGTGTAGGTTTAGATACTGAAGATGGTAATATACAGTACAGGGTATTGTGTCATGAATACAAGAGTACAGTAGGTAGAGATTGTGAAGACCATTGTGATTTATATTAACTAATTGGAAAAGGCTGTAAAATGTTTGTGATTAATAATGATGACGACTTACAGAACAGGCAACAGCAGAGACCTTGCCTTCAGAGGACTGGGGACTTAATCTGGAAGTGTGTGACCTGATCAATGAGTCCGAGGATGGTCCCCGCGACGCCATTAAGGCCATCAGGAAGCGCCTCGCCACCCAGCCCAAGAACTACACAGTCGTCATGTACACCTTGACGGTTAGTTTGCTTTGTGGCTGTCAAGATAGCCCCCGCTGATCCAGAAGAGGCTGTGATGTTTATAAGGATAGCTTATTTATTTATTTATTTTTGGTCAGAAACAGTTAAGAACATAAAGTGCGTAAGATGGTGGTTTGGCCGAGTGTTTCATGACATACAGTGAAACCTCCATTTAGCGTACTGCCTGGAGAGGAAAGTCCATTATATCGAGGGTCCATTAGATGTGAAACCTCCATCTAACGAACTATATAGAGATAAAAGTCCGTCATATCGTGGGCCTGTTAGGTGTGACCCTCCCCGCCTATTATATGGAGAGAGAGGGTCCTGTTATATGGAGGTTCACTGTATATTAGAAATGATGTCTTACCGTAGATGTGAATATAATTGTAAGGAGGAATAGCTTCTGTAATTCACATCCTGTAGGGTCTGAATATAACTTTTCACACGTCACTGTTAGAACCACGGCGCTGAATTGGTAATGCATGCCAGTTTCCGATTCCAAGTAAACTTTTAAATCATAGAGTTTTGAATATTAAGGCAGGTTTGTTGATGAACGGTGTAATTAGCCAATTTATAAGCAGCTATGAGAGTATAATTAGATAGAGTTTCAAGGGTTTTTGACAATGTTTTTTGCATGTTAACTGTGGGTTGGTATTAGGAAGAGAAGACACCCCTTTAAAACTTTGCTTCAACATGTCTGTTAGTAACTGGATCACCAGAGCTGTACCCATCCCCTGGTCTGGGCTGGCACCCTGGGGTTATGGTGAAGGGGAGTAGAGGGGGACATGTTGTTATGGTTTTACCCAACAGCTGCCATCAGGTAATTGTGGTGCGGCTAACCCTCACAAGTGTGGAAAATGGCTGTAAAGCATTGATGATGAATGGAGTGATTTTTGTATTTGTTTAAACTATGGTACTGTATATAAAATCAAGTTTATAATGTACGCATACAGGGGCTAGTAACACCTCCATGTATGTACACAAGGCTGTGGAGTCGAAGACACAACCTTCGACTCCGACTCCTCAAATTTTTATGCTTCCGACTCCGACTCCTTGGCCTATTTGTAACCACTATTTCTACCATCCTAATTGTAATTTGTATGTTGTAACCTGCATAGGTAAAAAGTAAAACACCGTGGCTATACTGCTACAGCTTTATTAATGATCTGGACGATATTTAAGAACTACAAAAAGATGATAGGCTTGACTTTCAAAGTTTCAATCAAAAGAAAAATAAATTTATTAAGAATTCAAGATATTAACTAGAAAACACCATTTACATGTATATCTAAAAGTTCGATCTCAGCATATGAATTTTGTTTAAGCTCATAATCTGATGTGGATCTAAATGATGATCCTACAATTCCTTTTAAAGTAAAGTTATATATTTATGTACATTAAAGAAATGAATACCTTATTAAGGAAAATGGATAAACCTTACATGATTAAGTTATTAAATTAAATTTGCCTTAATCTCACCAAAAACAGGTTGTAGCTAATTGTTTTGTAGCTGAGAGCCTCTGTGCAGTTTTCAACGAAACAAAATTTGATATAATTCAAAATTTCAAATGGTAAAGAAGAGACTATCGTCCAAAATTATAGTGCTATACTGTGCCTGCTACAATAAATTCATAATAATGCTTATAAAATGGAAATAAATTCTTTTAATAATTTAAGAAAATTAGTGGGATCAGTGGAATCACTGCAATGAATATGCCTGAGTTCATATATTTGTTCTTAGGAACAGAATAGCTTCAGTCGGAGTCGGTCGGAGTCTGGACAATTTTACCGACTCCGACTCCACAAGCCGAAATTTCCTCCGACTCCTCGACTCCGACTCCGACTCCACAGCCCTGATAGGTACTCCTGAATGTGCTGCTTAAGGATCTGTTAACCAAAATTTGATATCTTGATTATAACTTGTTCAAATGGCTTTTAGAAAATGTTCAAATGATTTTTAGAATATTTTAATTACTTTTGCAATGCTAATTACTCGCCACTTATGGGTTTTCGAGGTCATTTCTTGGTGCTTGTGTATTATTCTGGATGTACTTAAATAGTTAGGCACATTAAATTTTAGTTCAGAGAGAAAAAGTATTTTTGGCCAAAAATCCTTTAAGGCTTTAGACTTACAATTTTTGTCATTTCGGCCAAAAAATGGATTTTGTTCAAAATTTCAGTATAGGTACTCCTGAATGTGCTGCTTAAGGATCTGTTAACCAAAATTTGATATCTTGATTATAACTTGTTCAAATGGCTTTTAGAAAATGTTCAAATGATTTTTAGAATATTTTAATTACTTTTGCAATGCTAATTACTCGCCACTTATGGGTTTTCGAGGTCATTTCTTGGTGCTTGTGTATTATTCTGGATGTACTTAAATAGTTAGGCACATTAAATTTTAGTTCAGAGAGAAAACGTATTTTTGGCCAAAAATCCTTTAAGGCTAGACTTACAATTTTTGTCATTTCGGCCAAAAAATGGATTTTGTTCAAAATTTCAGTATAGGTACTCCTGAATGTGCTGCTTAAGGATCTGTTAACCAAAATTTGATATCTTGATTATAACTTGTTCAAATGGCTTTTAGAAAATGTTCAAATGATTTTTAGAATATTTTAATTACTTTTGCAATGCTAATTACTCGCCACTTATGGGTTTTCGAGGTCATTTCTTGGTGCTTGTGTATTATTCTGGATGTACTTAAATAGTTAGGCACATTAAATTTTAGTTCAGAGAGAAAAGTATTTTTGGCCAAAAATCTTTTAAGGCTATAGACTTACAATTTTTGTCATTTCGGCCAAAAAATGGATTTTGTTCAAAATTTCAGTATAGGTACTCCTGAATGTGCTGCTTAAGGATCTGTTAACCAAAATTTGATATCTTGATTATAACTTGTTCAAATGGCTTTTAGAAAATGTTCAAATGATTTTTAGAATATTTTAATTACTTTTGCAATGCTAATTACTCGCCACTTATGGGTTTTCGAGGTCATTTCTTGGTGCTTGTGTATTATTCTGGATGTACTTAAATAGTTAGGCACATTAAATTTTAGTTCAGAGAGAAAACGTATTTTTGGCCAAAAATCCTTTAAGGCTTTAGACTTACAATTTTTGTCATTTTCGGCCAAAAAATGGATTTTGTTCAAAATTTCAGTATAGGTACCAGGGCTGTGGAGTCGAAGACAAAACCTTCGACTCCGACTCCTCAAATTTTTATGCTTCCGACTCCGACTCCTTGGCCTATTTGTAACAACTATTTCTACCATCCTAATTGTAATTTGTATGTTGTAACCTGCATAGGTAAAAAGTAAAACACCGTGGCTATACTGCTACAGCTTTATTAATGATCTGGACGATATTTAAGAACTACAAAAAGATGATGGCTTGACTTTCAAAGTTTCAATCAAAAGAAAAATAAATTTATTAAGAATTCAAGATATTAACTAGAAAACACCATTTACATGTATATCTAAAAGTTCGATCTCAGCATATGAATTTTGTTTAAGCTCATAATCTGATGTGGATCTAAATGATGATCCTACAATTCCTTTTAAAGTAAAGTTATATATTTATGTACATTAAAGAAATGAATACCTTATTAAGGAAAATGGATAAACCTTACATGATTAAGTTATTAAATTAAATTTGCCTTAATCTCACCAAAAACAGGTTGTAGCTAATTGTTTTGTAGCTGAGAGCCTCTGTGCAGTTTTCAACGAAACAAAATTTGATATAATTCAAAATTTCAAATGGTAAAGAAGAGACTATCGTCCAAAATTATAGTGCTATACTGTGCCTGCTACAATAAATTCATAATAATGCTTATAAAATGGAAATAAATTCTTTTAATAATTTAAGAAAATTAGTGGGATCAGTGGAATCACTGCAATGAATATGCCTGAGTTCATATATTTGTTCTTAGGAACAGAATAGCTTCAGTCGGAGTCTGGACAATTTTACCGACTCCGACTCCACAAGCCGAAATTTCCTCCGACTCCGACTCCACAGCCCTGTATGTACAGTCTCATTCAAGATTCATCGAGCACTGCTGGAGACAGCTGGCAACTCAAGGCCGTTTGTTTACTATAGCACGTAGTAAAAATTATGAATAAATGTAAAAGTGATCTGTGATTGGTTACTTAGTTCCCCGTTGCTTAATTTAATGGTTGGGCTTTGTTGTTTCGTATTATATTATACCACGTACTATAGTTAACAAATGGCCTTCAGTTGCCAGCTGTCTCCAGCAGTGTTCAAAGAATCTTGAACGAGACTGTACAGTACAAGAGTAGTTCATAATAACTCACGATACATGAAGCATGGAAGACAACAGCTGCAGGATGATGTGACTCAGTGTGGGAAACTTCACCAGGCCTAGACACGAGAGTGGTTGACTGATGTATAGCTCTCTCTCAGTGTAATGGGTGGTGGTGATGGTGCAGTTTATCTGTTAAATTCTAACAGGGCAGGATCTAGCATAATAAGTTTTTGATCCATACTAACTACCAATAATTAAAGATTTTATCTTCATTTTTTTTTGCCCCTCCTTCCTGTACAGCTGTTGGAGTCATGCGTCAAGAACTGTGGGAAGCGCTTCCATATTCTGGCCTGCAGTAAGGACTTTGTGCAGGACTTGGTAAAGCTCATTGGTGAGTGTGACTCTGTGTGTTGTGTTATTGTGTTGTGCTATGCTGTGAGAGATGTTATTCCTTCATGACCCAGAAAAAGTGGCAGTGTGGGAACCTTACCTAACCTGTTCTTGGTGTCAGGCTATCAATAACTACTTGTGTAGGGTATCGTACAGTACAGTAGACTCTCAACTTATGCGGATTTTTCTTACGAGGTTTCAACTATACGTGGATAACCCCGGGGTTAGGTTACAATTTCCAATTGCAAGCTCAAAACTTTCAAAATGGGTCGCAAGCTCGCCTACTGATAGCCCGCCAAATGCACCACCTCGTCATCCCACCTAGCCACCTCTGTCTGTCTCAGTTGCGGCGTGTGTATTGTCGGAGTAACAGCTGCCTCTCTTGTGTGTCAATTTAGTGCACCTAAACCTCTGTCATACTCGTTCATAATGCCCAAACACAAGCCAACCTCTGCTTCTGGTCCCCCAGCAAAGAAACAACGCTCTGTGATGACCCTGGAAGAAAAAGTGGCCGTGTTAGACTTAATAAAAGGTGGCATGTTGATCGCTGCTGTGGCACGGAGGTACGGACGGAACAAATCAAGCGTGAGATCCATCAAGATTCGGGAGAGGGAAATTCGTAGTGATTTATGAGTTCTAGTGTATATGTACGTATATATAGTGATTTAAGGGTGATTTAGGGGATTTTTAGGAGTGTTTCTGACTTTACATGGTTTTTGGCTTTACGTGGGGTCCCAGGAACATAACCCCCGCGTAAGTTGCGAGTGTACTGTATATATAATGTATGTCCTGTAAGTTAAAGAAAGAGATTAAGACTTGATGGGTTGACTGAAACCTCTGTCTTATATTCAGAGACTGTCGCTGGTCATTTGTACAGTATTTGTATGTTTGAGGAGATGTGTCGGTCCCATGATATAAGGCTGTGTGCTGTAATAATATTTTTAAAGGTTCTCTGAATATAGTTTATTTTTGGTTTAAAATGTGATGATACTCCTATGTTTATGATTAATTTTATTTAAAAAAAAACTTATCATTGAGATTAAAATGTTTCTTGTATAATTTAATTGATACATATTTACCAGCACCCCTTATTATGTTGTACAGAATCAGTGCTGGAGTGATATATAGTGCATATATAATGTTTCTGATTGATGATGAGTATCTTTGGTGGGTGTCAGGGCCCAAGAATGAGCCGCCAGCTGCCATCCAGGAGAAGGTCCTCTTGTTGATCCAGGCGTGGGCTGATGCCTTCCGTCACCAGCCAGAGCTCTCGGGAGTCAGTCAGGTAATGGTCCTTTGTTGTGGGAGGTTAGGTTCGTGTTGTGTTGGTCACTTTGTTTACAGGATCTTATTTTAGAGAATCCAGACATATAAAATTTATTTTATTTATTTATTTTTATTTTATATTATACTGTGAATTAATAAACATATACAGTACTTCTGTTATAAGATGCAAGGATGTATTCAGCATCACCAAGCCTAGTTGATAGGTGAATCAGTTGGTAGGTAAATAAACACAAAACCTAATTCACTTCATCCTCTGTGTCTCAGGTTTATGCAGAGCTCAAACACAAAGGCGTGGAGTTCCCCATGACCAACCTGGACACCATGGCCCCCATCATCACACCTCAGCGGGTGAGAGAAATGTGTATATACGTACATTACTTTTGAGTGTCACAACTCATTCATGGGTCTGTCACATATCTGCCTACCCATACTGTTGTGTGCATGGCATGTAATAAAAGGTATAGAACTGAAATCTTGAAGAAGTGGGGAAAATAGTAGGGAAATGATGTAAGACAAGTGTAGAAAGTGTCAGGAAGTTGTTAAAACAATAAGGAGAAATGTCCCATACACATCTGCTCATGTCCCAAATTCTCTTTTTGTTGTTGTATATAATGTTATACAGCATTACTGAATTTCATTCCGCAAGTAGGAATGAGTTCATGTCTTCCTTCTATTCTCCTCCACAGGTGTTGATCTTATGCTTCCTCTCCTCTTGTTCTCAACTTCCTTGCATCCTTCTCAACCACATCCCTCTGCTATATTCTTTGTCTTCCTCTACTTATCCTCCAAGCGCAGTGCTTGCCTCCAGTTCCATGGGTCGGTGGTTCGGTCCCCGGGGACTCACAGTTCACCCAGCTGTAAATGGGTACCTGAATTTACAACTTGGGGAAAGGAATGCAGTCTATTGCAGTTGCGGCCTTGCTGCTACGATGTGTACTGAAGGCTCAGCATACAGTGTGTTGTATTATCCACACTCCCTAATGGGACCCGCTTTCACTTCCCTCCATTGGCAGTTTTCACTGGTCTTCCACTCTTTAAGTCCATCTTTGCCAATACTCTTGTGTTTACTGTTTTTTCCTCAAGCTACAGTGAAGTACTTTACGTGTCTTTAAGAATTTTTATTTTATTTCTTTTTAACTTTAATAGAAAATGCCTAAGAAAACATCTTGGTTACATTAAAAGTGTTCTCATGACAGTCTAACCATCTTGATGTAATGTGCTGTAAAGCTTCTTTACAGGATCCACAGTTGCATGAATGAAGGAAATTTTATATAGTACAGTAACTAGACTTAAACAACATAAATATAGTGTTAGGCCAGGAATCCAATGCTCTGTTTGTTCATTTGAGGGATAACAAGCATTGCATTGACTGGGATAATGCCTCCTCAATATTACCTTGTAATTCAATTGATAGTAGGAACATCATAGAATCTAGTCTCATTAAACATACCAAAGCATTCAACATGAATTTGAGTAATGGCATGTACAAACTGGACAATTTTGTAATTAAGAAGATTTGTAACCAGGTGAGAAGGTTGGGTCACCTTACCCTCTGACCTGACTACCGACCGTTGCGTGTTTTAAAGATTAGTAGGGTCATTACCTAATACCTGACCATTGTGGACCTGGTCTCACCCTCCTCTGTATATATACACCTTGTTTTGTACTTCTCTTTAGTCTGTACTCACCCCTGAAGATGTGCAGAACTTCGTGTTTTCTTCTTTCCTTGTGGTTATCAGCATATACCTAGATCACGCCCCCAGTGATTTGTATATATATATATATATTATATATATATATATATATATATATATATATATATATATATATATATATATATATATATATATATATATATATATATATATATATATATATATATATATATATATATATATATATATATATATATATATATATATATAATTTTTAATATCATCATTGACAAGAAGGTTGGGAAGTAAGAGTTTGGTTTTTATTTACAGACAGCTGCTCCTGAGCCCCGTCCTCCCCGTGTACCTCCAGGAAATGCTACATCACCCCGCCGCCAGACTGCTCACCAACCTGCAACCACTCCAGCTGCCCCTGTCTCCTTGACAGCTGAACAACGAGCAAAGTTGCACAGCGAACTGGATGTAGTGGAGTCAAATGCTAAAGTCTTGGGGGAGATGCTAGGTGAATTGAGCCCTGGCAAGGAACACCAGGATGATGTACAATTGTTGCAGGTAATATTCTCATATTCTTTGTGTGTGTGTGTGTGTGTGTGATGCTGTATAGATTCAATGGTCCACCTCTTTAGAGGGTGATAAAATGTCATATAATAACAAAATAATGTTTGTACCCTGACCTATTAATACAGTACAGTGCAGTAGAAAGTCGATTTAAAGCGAATCATTTTAAAAAATCGATTTAAAGCGACACCCACAATTAAGGACACTATATCAATTTAAAGCGAATCTCTCCTATTTTACGCGAGTCAAATCTGGCGCTTCATGTGGAAATAAACAATATTTATGTTTCCCGCCAGACACCTCTCTGGGCAGCTACACGGCTGCCCGCCACCCTCCCACATCCTCAGCTCTCACACTAACGCTTTAGTGAACGGACATATTGTGTGACACTATCTCCTTCTACCACGTTCTTCAACCATTGCCACTATGTCCAAGAGGCCAGCCACTACATCATTAACTCCCCCAAAGACCAAGAAATCAAGGCAAGCAATTACACTGGAGCAGAAAAACAAGGTGCTGGAAACACTGCAGCGTGGAAATGGTGCTTCAAGTGTGGGGCACAAATTTGGACTGTCGAAGAGCTCTGTCCACACTATCAAGCTCAACGAGAAGAAAATTAGAGAAGCCTATGCTTCACCAGATGTTGCCAAGGGTATATATATATACACACAGCAAGCATTCCATGTAGTGAAGTTGAGAGCTGGACGGAGCTGTTACTACGTGGTACTGCACTTTTTACTAGCGATCAGCTGATGCGAGAGGGTGGTCGCACTGGAGCCGCACACTGCCAGCCTCTCGTCTGACTCACTCCATCCCAACCACTCACCACACACACCACTCAACACTCACCAAATGCTTTCACTTTCCTCTCAACTTAGTTTTTCATTACTTTATACTATACTTTATACTATCAAAAATAGATTTTCACCCACCTTTAGTTAGGCAAGTCATCCTCTGAAGATGAAGAGCTCAACTCGGCCAGCTCATTATCTACATCACTGTCTGGTGGTGTGTCTGTGGCGGCACTGAATGTCTTCTACCCATAACTTCAGGGCATCTTCCATCTCACCATACATAGCAGACTTCAGGTGGAGTTTACCCTTGGCAACATCTGGTGAAGCATAGGCTGCTCTAATTTTCTTCTCGTTGAGCTTGATCGTGTGGACAGAGCTCTTCGACAGTCCATGCTGGAAACTGATAACCCGCGCTGGGCATTCAAACAATGGCGCAAAAAGGCGCGCTTTCTGGAACGTCAATCAGGGCGTTGGGGTTAATATCATTTTTATCATCTTTAAATTTCCTAATAGTATATACATATTGAAAACCTCTAATTTTGTTATTTTGTCATAATAAATACCAAATTAATGTACCTGGAATTTTTCAAATTTACTCCTGGAAAAGCCAGGGAATTTTACAATAGACCTGGAATTTCATGTGAATTCAGTTCTACCTCAAAATATTTTTATTTTGACAGCAATCTTACCATAAATTAATGCTGTACTGTATAATAGGTAAATAATTAAACTTTTAGGAACAAATTCCAGTAAATAGTTCACTCCAATAACTGATTTGTTTGTGCACCTTTCATATTTCATGTTAGTGATCAAATAACCAAATATTACAGGTTATATCTACTAATATGAGTACTGTCAGAGATAAATTGTTCATATTATTAAGTGACTTTATTTAAGTGGCTTAGTCCACTTATTAATCATGAGTCATATAGGTGGATCAGGAGTGTCATTGGAAATCCCTAACCCAGGGAGCGTCTGTATTCGTTATTGTATTAATTTCATCTCTGCTAAATGTAGGGCAAGTATTTTATGTGTCTGATGTTTTGATTTTCTTACTTTGTGTTGATTGTCATTTGATAATTTCTGGTCACAGGAGCTACATGCAACGTGTCGAGCAATGCAGCAGCGTGTGGTTGAGCTTGTGGGCCGCGTCAGTGATGACATTCTGACGGCAGACCTCCTTCGTATCAATGATGATCTTAATAATCTCTTTCTCAGGTAAGGTCTCTGGTTGTGACAGGATTACTTTCTTGTAAATTTTGTTCATCCTGTCTATCACAAAGAATGTTACATGTTGCTTTAATAGGATAGGTTTAAATTACTGTACAGTGGGTTATGCTATAACGAATCTAATTGGTTCTAGAACCTCATTCGTTATAGCATTCGTTCGTTATAGGATTAATCTGTCCCGGGCCCCCAAATACAACCACTTAACACTGAAAATTTTCTGTGGAAAATGTAAAAAATACGGTACTTTATCTTACCTTAGTGTTGTTCAGCATGCAGGACAGGAGGCAGAGGTGGAGGGGGGAGGAGAGAATTATGGAGAAGAGGTGGAAGGAGACGAGTCATCCTTCCTAGCCCTCTTTGGTGACTGTGTTACAGGCACTTTGTCTGTTTATTTATAATTTCTTTCTTAGTTTCAAGGGTTATTAGCTTTCTCACTCGCTTTTGACGATTCATTGTTACAATTGTACACTTGTATAACAAAATAGTTATAAAAAAACACGAATTTCCACATCAAAAGACGAAATTTCAACAAGTTCAGTGGTGCACTGGCTACACAATGAGTCAAAGATGGCATCTGATGCTCTTGTTGTGAGCCGCGGTACAACAATATTCATGCACCAGACGAAATAGTCCCGTATTCATCCGCGTTCATTGTAGGAGTTGCGTTCGTTATAGCATTCTCAATTTTATAGGTATAACCGTTCGTTATTGGAATATTCGTAGTAGAATCCGTTCGTTATAGCATACCCCACTGTACTGTCATTAACTTTTATATGTAACTGAGTTTGTTAAAATAAAACAATCAGTTCTACTAATGAAATTAAAAACATCAGTAGTCCCATAAGTATAATTAATTAAGGACTAATTTTTTTTGCCCATAATCATCACATAAGCAGAAGAAAGTTGTCCATAAAGTGAAATAATTGATAGATGAATATTTTGGCAGATATGATCGACACATGAACAAGGTAAAAGGTATCAGTAGTCCCACTAAATCTCCACAGCAACAACCCACTCCACAGCCTCCACAACTGCCACCTCCACAACGACCTACACAACAAGAAGTGTCACTAATAGACCTTGCTGATGAGGCGCCCTCAGCCCAGCTGGCCACTCTCAGTAAGTCACTTCATTAGCTGGTAAAGGTTGTTACAGTACAGTACAACTACACAGGATGGAAATGTAGTGCTGGCGGCCATCATTAGTGGAAATAAACAATAAAGACAGTGGCCAATAAGTGTGTTCCTTCCATTACATTTTTGCACATATAGGGGTGGAGTCAGGAATCCTTAGATAAGAGAAAGGATTCATGAAAATGGAAACAAGATAAAAATTTTCGAAAAGAGCCACATTTGAAGGAAAGGAGTCTTGTCATTACAGGCAGTCCCCGACTTACGACGGGGTTAGGGACCCAAATCCAGGTCGTAAGTCGAAAATGCAAAAATATTACTTAGAAAATCTAAAATGGGTGTCTCTTTTTCTTCTCAGCACCACAAAACTCTCACTTTTAAGCTTGTCAGCCATTTTAAAGGGAATTACAAACGAAAATTTTGCCAGTACACAGCGCAATCACTAATGTCGGGACTCAAAATACGTAATTTTAAAAAATTTTGGTACGACTGAGGCGGTCGTATGTCCGGGTGGTCGTAAGTCGAGTAAGTCGTAAGTCGAGGAGTACCTGTATCTATATTCTGTAGTACTGTACAGGAGACCAATAAAGTGGCTCTTCTGTGTGTGTATCTGCTCAGAGAAACCAATCCCCTTCAGGAGTATGGTACCTCTGAGTGTTGAGTTTTTGGTGCTGTAAGAGGTCACCCCCATAAAGCCCAGAAATTCAGTGTTATTTTTTGAGTGGGTTATTGATAGAAAATGGTGTCCTATTAAGAAACTCTTGTTATGTTTGTATTGTTGTCATTGATTTGATGTTGCAAATGAATTTATGCATCATTAGTTCAATATCCGTCGCTGCCTTATGTATCCTTGGGTAGGTAGCTGAACTTTGACACACAAAAAGTTTGTGGGTTAAGTTGGCAAAACCCAAATGGTCTTTTCTCCATTTATTTATAACAATAGAGAGTGTACACTTCAATAAGGAGAATACCTTAATTAACACTAAGCTGTGAGTGTTAGTTGAGGACGGAGTGTGGCTGGGCTAAGCTTTGGTTCGACGTCCTGTTATCGTGAGAGTTGAGTAACTATTGACTAGTGAGCTCGCTCCAAGAGAACTGACCTAGGATATGCTGGAGATGCGACTTGGGAGTGGAAAATACACACCAAGTGCTCTGAACATGATACCTCACAGCTCATGGAAAATTACAGCTGCTCCCCGACTTACGATGGGGTTAGGGACCCAAATCCAGGTCGTAAGTCCGAATGGTCGTAAGTCCGACATAGATAAAAAAAAAATCTACAGTGAAATACAGTACAGTAAATGTAATAAATAATGAGGAATGGATACAGTACAGTGAAAGTAATAAATAATGAGGAATGGATACAGTGTGACTGAGCACTTACCTTTAATGTAGTCAGCTGAATGCACATGGGGCCCCCATAATTTTCTAATTATACATGGAGACTACATTAATTGGAAACGTTTCGGTATAGAAAATGCGTGCGTCATTTGAAAAAAAAAATGGTCACTACTGCGGTGGTCGTAAGTCCAAGCAGTCGTAAGTCGAGGACTACCTGTATATAGCACAAATGTATCAACCCATATTTATATAAGTGCTACTGTCTAATAGCCAGGGCTAATACAGTTCTTTATTTTGTGTAATTTCATTATATTTTTCTTGACAGCTGTAGGAAACTCCCCAAAGGCGAAGAAAAATGAAGATGCCGACTTTGATATGTTTGCACAATCACGAACAGCTACTTACGAAAATAACAAGACCAGGTGAGACAGTGGGCCCTCAGTATTCTGTTCCTAAAATTTCTTGCCTATAACTGTTACACAAATAATAAGGATCCTCATGTATTCCGAATTGTATTTATCATGCCGTCACTTGTCAGTTTACTAATCTTTCTGTTATATGTTACTCTACTCTGTTATGACTTTTATTGTTCAGTGTTAGTACAGTAGGTAACTGGGGCTACCTGGAGAAAACTTGCCATGTTTGCCACAATATAACAATTTTCTCACATGTGTCCTGGATAGATATGCAGTATGGTGATAGAGAGTGAGAAGAGCTGCTTGTACTCACTAGACTTTGGTCATGTACACAATAATCTGGAAACAAGATAGGTTTATTTTTTCTACTGTCATTGACTGTTTGAAAAGCTTTCTTGATTATCTCTCATTGATCTGTTATCTATTTTTCTCTCACTTATGTGGGTAAGATCAAGGAAATGTAAACCTTAAGATAGTGGAGAAATGGTGAGGAAAGATGGGGTATGAAAGTGTAGAAAGACAGAAAAGTTTTGAGACAAAAACCAGACTATTTATTTATTTTTTATGTAGAAATACTCGAGTCTCCTCTTAAGCATATGTTTTACGTCTTGTGTTGAAGGTGAAACATTGTCTCAATACTCCCTTGAAACAAGATATGAAATGTTTGTCTATGTTTATAACAGTGGGAGCACATACTTGGACAACAGCGAGATGGACGTTACATCAGTGTCTCTGGGTCGCGCGGCACAGTTGAGAAACAATCCAGTAAGTACACCGTGAGCCTCCTCTGCTTGCATCACACACCAGTCTTATTCTGTTACCATTACCTTACACCTCCGGACACAGCAAATGATTTTCCTGTTACGTGCTGGTATTGTAAAGTACATCGGTGGTTGGAGTGGAAACCTAAGTCAAGTACAGTAGGGTCGGGATATATCACGAGAGGGTCCAAGGATGTTCGCTATATACGAAATCTCGATATATAATTACATGTAATCAATGGTGAAAATAGGGTTAGGTTCTGGAGGCCAATAAAAGTGACTAAACTTGACTTAACAAGTTTATTTTCTTACTAATTAAAGCACCAATGAACACTAGACTCTGGATCAACAGACTGTATGACTGATAAATACACACTAGGTAACCTTCGCAAACCTTCCCTGTGGCTGTCAACACAAATCATCCTCAGAGCCAGGGTGAAGGTGGTTTTAGGCTTAAAAGTTTTTTCTTATAAAATGGCACAGACTAAAGTTAGCAGAATATAAATTGCGTTGCTGGAATCCTTGCAAGACAGCGAATAATTTGAGCATTGACATCATATATTTTGCACGAGATAAATTTTTTTGTCTTTTAGAGTACAGGTGCTCCTCTACTTAAGAATGTTCAACTTACAAACTTTCAGAGACACAATCATCATCACTGAGGGGGGTTACCTGCCAAAACAGGTGTTTAATGTGGATGAGACTGGATTATTTTGACGAAAATTCCAGACAGAAAAAACATTACCTAATAGGAGAAGAGTGAGCCAGGTTTTAAGGCTGTATTAAAGGGTATAGCTGTACTAAATATCCAGTGTCTTTTCATTTTTTACAATATGTTAGGTATCTACAAGAGTAAAGTTGGACTTACAAACAAGCCTCAGGAACGTAACTCGTTCGTACGTAGAGGAGCACCTGTACATTTAAGTACTGTACAGTTTTTCTGACCATGCGGTTTTTGGTTTTATGTGAGGTCCCAGGAACGTAACCCCACGTAGGCTGTGAGTCTACTGTAAATAAATTTATCGCTGTTTATTGGAAAATGTCGATAATTTTGGTAGTCGCTATATAAGAAAATTGCTATACTGTATATCCCGACCCTACTGTACAGTAATGTCTATCATATAGGAGAAATTAGAATAATGTTTTATAATCTTCTAATGGGCCACATTATAATTACATTTGGAGCCTGTATATTGTATAGCATTTAAGGTAGCTAATGTGGACACTTAAAAACTAATATAAGAAAACCACTCCAATCAGTCACAGTTCTCAGCCTCTCTTAAGTCTGTGTGTCCTTCTGTTACCGCCTCAGACACATTTTTCTTGTTTTTATTTAACACAATGTTGGCAGGCCAATGAAGGAGTTAATTCAGGAGTATTTTAATGGTAGTTTTGTGTTAGAACATTACTGTAGGCTGTCTGTTGTCTTCAATACAAGTGAATGTTTTCAGTGTGAAATGTTATACTGTATTTATGTTAAAGATATGCATCTCAGATATGTCTCATGCATGATATACCGGTAAGTTTAAGTATAGAACCTAAGTACCGTACTCAAGTTTGTGTAATTTTTGTATGTGTTATTTTTTGGGGTTCTCCGGCAATATTTTATTGCCTGTTAAACTTTGTGATTGACAGTAATGACACACACACATTATGAAATGAGGAATTGAATCATATTGGTTACTGACAAGTACAGGAAATCATTGAGGTTGATAAAAAAAAATAGGTAATACTGTGTTTTTATAATTTTATTGTAAATCGTACATAATACAGTATCAGTATTTAAGTTTTCATCATTTGCTCGAGGTCTAACACCCTCATAACTCTAATTTTGATCATTTCTTTTATTTTTGCATCATATATATTGCACCTTTATTTTGTTTGGGATATGCCCTGTTCATAATGTTTGAGTCCAGCTTGTGTGAGGCATGAAAAAAACTGTGTTCTGCAAGCTACCAGAGATATGGCCCCTTTCCCACCCTCATAAAGACTCACCTAATTTTTTTTTATTGGTTCTTGGCACTGTGGAAGAGCAGGAGCAGCTATGGGTAAGACGATGCCTCTCTCATGTGCTTCACTCACACGCATTTAGTAGACTGCAGTCAGTGGGAAGTAAAAAGTTGATACTGTACAGAATCTTAACAATTTATTGCATCTTAATTTCTAGTTCTTGTAGTGGGAGTGTAATTCAGGCATGTTGGCCACATTAGGGGTTTGGGTCAAAAACTTTAGTCAACCTATAAAAGACATTAACTGTATTAGGCCGCTTATACTGATCAGGCAAGCTTTTGATTCCCATTTGATGCTTTATTTATCTTTTATTTTATGAAGTTTTGTTTTTTCCAATAGATTATGCTGCATATTCAATTTAGTTTTGTTTTATTTGTAATATTCAGCATAAAAACTGATCTTTGGATGAAGGAACTTAGTGTACATTTTGTGGTTTTGTCCTGTAGACCCAAGATGCCTCAACCTGTAACACTTGACGTCTGGATAAAACAATATTAATTTTTCAAAGTATATTCAGTTTTTAATGAATATGTAAGAGTGAGTGTGTCAAATCAGGCAATCTGTAAATTACCCGAGAAAATGTTCTGTTTCATGTTGTGTATTGGGTGGGTTAGGTTAGGTTTTCAATGCTAATTACTTCCCAGCTATGGCTTTCTTAAGTGATTTTTGGGTGTTTTGTGCTATTTTGTAAGCACTTAATGAGTTAAACCTATTAAATTTCAAATAGAGTAAAATGCTTTGTCACTGGACCAATAAATGTTGCTATCTGGGATTTTGTTCAGAATCTCAGTACAAGTAGTCTCGAGGATGCTGAGTAAAAATTTCTGGTCACCAATTCGATTGTGGGGTTATTAGTGGTCGTAATATTGCTTGGAAAATTTTATTGACTTTTTTAAATTCTAATTACTAACCAACTATGGTCGGTCGGTCAAAAAATTTCTAACGGCCTCGTGGATAGCTGAATTTCAACTGTGAATGTTGAATAAAGGGTCACAAATAATTTTTCTTGAATAACTAAATATTCCGAGATTTTCTTAGATTATTTTATATAACTTGGTTTTATCCGAGTTATTTTTAAATAAATTCTGAGAGCGTAGCCAGCCCAAGTTATAAAATTCTGATTTATTAAATACCGAGTTATCAAGGGTTTACTGTGCTTTTTCCCCCATTTAAAGCAAGAAGAGTGAATATGCCTTTTCAATGAAACATCACAAAATATATAAACTGTCTTCTGCTACCTTTTCAATAAATAAGAAAAATACAAATGACTAGTTGCCTCATTGAGTTCATATAACAACTATTCACTGTTTCCACATAATATTTGATACATTTGCTTTAGTTATGCAGTTTATTATACAGTATTATGTTGTTTATGTTTCGTTATATTATTTGCTTAAATGTTTTCCCTTTAGATCTGTATGCACCTACCTCTCTACAGCACTTGTGTCATCCATGTGCTGCTGCTACTTGAATATTTGCAGCATGAAAGGTTCTTCCCTCTGCTCTAATCATACAGGAATCATAGCTCATTGGAATATTCTTTCAATGGCCCGAACTGTGGATATTACCAGATATTAACTGAAAATGAGAGATTGCCCCAAGATTGAATTCTGAGGGTTGACCATAAATGTTGAGGGCAATATGTGAAACAGAAGAATAGTTTTGAATAGTAGACTTGGGTATTTCCTCTTGATGACTACATGGATTTTGTCTAGACAGTGGACATGCAGTCATACACTTCACAGTAATGCTCACCTTTACACGACCCATAACAGGCAAACTGCAGTACAGTACAGTAACAGGCTTGACTCATACTGATTTCTGGTCATTAACCCCTAAAGGTGGCCATCATAAGTGGAAGTTAGCTATAGGAACAGCGGCCATCATCAGTAGATGTTTCCTGTTCCATTTTAATGCATATGAGGGTGGAGTAGGAAATCCTTAGATGATGATGAGGTCAAGTCCCATATCCTGAAATGATCTAAGGAGGACAAATCCTTTGATGCTGCAGACATGTTCAGTGCTATGCTGTACAGGGACATTATGTGAAGAAGTAGAGCAAGTTTGATTGTCCTATCTTTATATTGTATATATATATATATATATATATATATATATATATATATATATATATATATATATATATATATATATATATATATATACACATACCCGATTTACGCAGTCAATTGAATCCACGGAGTAGTGCGTAAAACGAGAAACGCGTAAACGGAATAACAGAACATATGGGACTAATTGAAATAGAGACTGGGCCGACTCCCAAACTCCACTTTTTCCGACAATACCGAAGTAATACCTAGTTGTAGTAAAAATAACATCTTAATTTTATGATGGTATGCGCACACAATTAATATTTAAGAGAAATACAGTTGCCAGGTTAATGTCCATTCAAATAATGGACTCAACTCCCCTCCCACGCTCGCTAGCTCCTCCCTCTCTGAGAAATGTTTGGGTGAAAACACTAGATTTTAAGGTATAGTAATAAATAATACCTCAGACTAAAGGTAGGGTAATATAATTGACATTGCTGGATTCCTTGCAAGGCCAGGAATATTTTGAATATAAACGTCATATATTTTGCACAAAAGATAAAATTTGGCTTTGTAATCAAAATTCTTAAATTAGATCTAAAATTTTTATGTCTAATGCAAATTCCCCAATGTTTATATTTAAAATAATCAAAATTTTATAAGAATTCCAGCAATGTAAATTATATTCTGGCCAGGTAATTTGTATGAATTTTATGAGCTAAAACAAATATCATCAGTAAATAAACAAATTATTATTCACCCACACACTATCTGTCAATCAAAATACCCCACCTCCGCTCCCCCCTCTCCCCACGCTTCCTGGGTCCCTACCCCCCACCTTCCCTCTCTACCAGAGAAATGTTTGGGAGAAAACAGTATATTTACATTTTTAGTAATAAATAATACCTCAAACTAAAGTTAGGATAATATAATTGACATTTCTGGATTCCTTGCAGGTCAGGGAATATTTTGAATGTAAACTTCATATATTTTGCACAAAAGATAAAATATTTGCTTATTTTCATGATATCCTTAAATTACATCTAAAATTTGTATGTCTAATGCAAATGTTAAGATGTTTATATTTAAAATGATCACCATCTTGTAAGGATTCCAGCAATGTAAATACTATAATTTATGAGCTAAAACATATATATCTTCAGTAAATAAACAAATTATACTTCACACGCGTAAATGCCGAAATTTACCGCGTAATTAAAACATTTCATTCTGGCAAGGTGCCGCGTAAATGACCAATCGCGGAAACAAAAACCGCGTAAATCCAGACTCGACTGTATATATACATACATAGTCATGCGTCGCTTTACGTCTGTCCGAACAACGTCGATCGCATATACGTCCGTGGCCCATAGAAAATAATGGGGATAAAAAAAATCCCGTTCAGACAACGGGACGTAGCAGACGTAAGTGGCCTTAGAGCGGGCGCGCTCACTCATGCTTCACATGTTCTTAAACAAAATAGATTGTGCTGCCAGGCGTATGATGTTACAGTACGGTAACTATATACTGTATCCATATGTTTTGATAGATATAAGAAATGCCTTTGTTACTGGTTTATGTTTTTTGGCTATTGTAGTGTACAGTACAGTACTTTTAATTTGATTTCCTTACTTACAAAATAAAAAGTTTACAAACTGTATAACAGTGTATGCTTGGTTTTGCCTCGTCGGCAATGTAGACATTATGTTATTTTATTAGCCTTCTTAACCTCTGTGTTTCATTAGTTGTGTACGTTATCTAGTGAATTTAGTCATTGCACAGTACAAGTACACTGCGATATTCCATTTTTTCGTCATGCAAATATTTGTTTTGAGTTTACTGATAGGAGACTGTAAGTCCAGTTACAGGGTAAACAAAGAGATACGGTCCCGTAAATGCTTTTCATTATGGGGGCCAAGATACGGATATAGATAAGAGTAGCTCGTAGATCAACCAAAATAGTAAGATATAACATTAGATAATAAAGCTCAACAGTAGTGCCAACAACTAACTGCATCAGGAAGTACTAAAAGTCATTACCAGAAACAGTAATTATAGTTGTTGTGTGATGTTATTTGTAGAAACTGCTGCAAGTATAGCATTTTGCATGCATCAGTATGTACTGTATTAGCATTAAGTGTTAATATTCTCATTGCTTAGTCTGTAGAGAAAGCATTTTCATCCATGACTGCTTTTTAGCCTAATAGCAAAGGAGCCATCCTGACTTACTCTCAAGACCTGTACCAGGGCAGACTGTGTCATACTATATTCTTCAATACGTAACATCAAATTTATTTTGGCTTCATGGATCAAAGACAGAGCCCGGGTTAATGCTAAGAGGAAGGACCACCAGCCTCTCTTGGGACATAGGATTAAAATCTTCTGGTATGGATTCAAAGGAACATAGCAATGGGATGTCTTGCAGAAAGATACCATTGTGTGAAATAATTAATTGTACGCGATGATATTGTAAAGAAAAACTAATGTATTCTATTTAATTCCATATTACTCACTTCTCTCTCACCCCATTTTATAGGTGAAGGATATAACCCAGTTATTAGTAACTTTTACATACATTTATTTATGTGTTAAAATTTTATTTGGGATGAACATTGGTGACTCTTTACTGCCTCTTCCACAGTAAATCAGTGAAGTGACGATGGGTGAGAGAACACACTCTGATGCATGACTGTCGTCCCCTTTTACTCACCGTCCAATTCCACAAACACTCACCTGTCACTCTCACTTACCTCAACCGCCCCACGTCTCCAAGAACCCACACATGACCGTCACCTGTACTTACTCCAAAGTCCCTAAAACTTATGTGCCACTCACACTTATACTGACTCCCATGCCTACAAAAACCCAAATTGATCTTCTCACACCACACCTCTCACTCCCTTATAAAGGCTACAGAAGCCTAATTACACCAATGTGTGCTGCACAACACATTTGCTATGGGGAGTGCATCCAGATTGATACTATACTACAATGGTCTCAGATCAAACACCTATGAACTACACGACAAACCTGTTACCGTTTGTTGTACGCTTGTGGTTGTTGCTGTATGTTCAGCACAAACATTGGCAATCATTTTTTCTCAACCACAGCTCTTCACATTGCACATATGCCTCCTGGGTTAACATCTTGCATAACTTTTGCCATTGTTATACTCTACACTTAATATGTCTCAGCTTCTTGAAAAATACAATATAGCAAGCAAGCCCCTCTGCTTACTATAGTATAATATAGCCGACGTCAGCACTATAGCTCACTGCACGTGATGGGAAAATTAAATAACAATTGAATGATTTTTCGTAAACATTGTCTCTCTTCTCTGTGTATCGTACCTGTCCCTCACCCACATACTTGCTCTTGTTAAACACAGTTGCACCACCCTGCTGTCTATACACATTGATACTGTATAAGGAGGGACATTCCTGTTGTATAATTTGTCTTCGGTCAATACTTCAAGTGTTTGGTATTGCATGATCATGAAAGCTGTAAGATAGCTGGAAAATATTTATATTAATCAACCTTCATTTAAATAATAAAAATCAACTTTTAATCGGTTTAGAATCACAGAAATTTGAAAGATTATTTATGGCACAGATAAGCCTTTGTAAATACAGTACAGTACCTTCCTTTTAACAATACTATACAGTAATACCCTTAACCTAGCCTTTGTATATTCTGGCTTATGTAAGCATGGCATATCAAGTAAAATAATGTTGTTATTTAGCCTCCTGTACTCGGGGCGTATGTCTTATCATATCTTACCTTATTATAAAATGCAAAACTGTGTATTATCCATCTGGGAGAACAAGTACAGTATGAGTATATGCAGTAAGTAAGTATATAGTTCCCTACTCTGTTAAGTACCATAGCTTGCTCATCTTAACCGCACGTTGACATTACAGTATAAGGGAATGTACAGTATATGTAACAGATCCCAGGCAAGCTTTAATAACTCATAAGTGTATAATAATAATAATGATCCATTACTGAAATAAAACAAACACACACACTAAAACTAACACACCAATTGAAACAAACAACATTCAACAGATACACACAGTACCACACTTTATTATCACACATCCCCCCACACACACATTATCATCACACATCCCCCCACACACACATTATCATCACACATCCCCCCACACACACATTATCATCACACATCCCCCCACACATTATCATCACACATCCCCCCCCACACACACATCCCCCCCCCCACACACACACACACATTGACACAGTAGTGTTATGTATTGGCCTCCAGAGGTGTACAGTATAGTAGTATAACACCACCTATGTTGAAAAGAAAACTTACAAAATTTTCCTTAGCCAGTTAAGGTAAACATCTTAAGGTACTGTACCAATGAATACTAAAATATTCAAATACTTAAAAACGTCCTCTTGGATCAGATGATATTGTTTGTAATAAGATCGCTGAACTATGCATGGCTGGGTCCCATTACTGTTAGCCCTATGTTTGTGCCAGTCACTTGTACATGGGAAAGTAGATGGGTTTCAAAATAGGGGACGTTCAGTTTTTACCAAAAGTTTCTTGAAAATTAATTGAAAGGGTGTTGTTACTTAAAACATATTGTATTGGTTTTTTGATCGATGCTGCCCCTTATATTTTTAAACCCCGACCCATCATTCTCGCAAACTTACTTGGCTAATGTGATGCTTTTGTGTGTGTACGTTTTCCAGCAACTTAAAGACAGTGACTTTGACGAGATGGAGGCGTGGCTGAACGAACAAGTAAGTAATGTTTGCTATCGACAGCTGCTGCATGTTCAAATATTCCTTCCTTCATTCATTGTTTTGTGTTGCCGAGTATTTCTCTCTCTGCATGAATACTAAAATAAGCTCATAATTGTATCACATACTGTACCTATAGATGTATGGTAGCTATGGCTTTGAAGGAATTTTGTTTTATAATTTGTTTTTTAAAAAAATATGATTATTATATTGTACTGTAATATGAAGTGTACTTTGAGGTATTATTGAATTTTCCATTATTTGTACAGTATATGTTTGTGATAATTTAATAATTTACTCCTTTGTTATTTGGAGTACAGTTTATGATACGGTATTGTACTTTTAATAACTTTAAAGATAAAAACATTATATAAATATTTTCTTTAGTCTTGAATTGCTTAGTATTACATAATTTTAAATAACCATTGTGATATTTACTAATAAGTTACATATTGTACAGCCAAATGAAGCAAAACCCGGAGCAGGTGCAAAAGAGGAAAGCATCTCATCATCTGAATTTGACCGCTTTTTGGCCGAGCGTGCAGCAGCAGCAGATGCCTTACCAACCATAACCGCTGCCACAGGATCCTCGGGCCAACGGCAACGAACTCTGGCTCGCGACGAGAAAGACAACCAGATGTTTGCCCTCTAAATGGAATGTGATACCCTAAGAATATATGCCTAGGACTTGAAGCTGTACTGGGACCAGATTGTCAGCCGATACAGCCCCATTCTATATGTGGTTGCTTGAATGTGATGATTTATATAAGTGACTCACGGCCTACATGTTGTGCATCATATTGTAACAGAGTTTCCACTGCAGTAAACTGCTTTATGGTGTGTCTAATGTGACAAAGGTGTCATATTCGACTTATCCCATATTCCATGTTAGATAACGTTGTCCAGGATACAACTGTAATAAGGAATTTTTTTTTTTAATAATTTTATTAAACATAGAAAATTCTTAAGCAGTTTATGCTTCAATTTAGACTACTATTTATTCTTTAAGCATAGGCTTGAAAATCTTTGATAACACTTCATTAGCAAACCATCTTATTCACAAGCTTTAATATTAACGAAAAACTTCACTAAAAAGTATATTAATTATGTGATATTTAATATAAAATATGTTCCATAACAAAATAATATAAAGCAAAGTTTAGAACTACAGTAATAGAATAAAAGTCTCTTTCTGCAAACAAGATATACCTCTTCTTTTTTATTACTTTTAAAGAGATTTTGGTAAAACTATTTATAAAGATATATAAATTCATATAGATGTGCTATAGATACATATATCTATATTGATGTGCTCTATATAAGATGTACGTAGATGTATTTTACACTATGTAGATCTCGTTATTCACGCACTCTGTATAGTCATGTAGATCTATGTGATAAACTGTATTTGGGAGTATAAATCTCTATAGACACACCATGTAGATATGACATTATATATGCATTATACTTGCTATATTTAATCCAAAGGTGAATTTTATTTGAAACAATTTGAAAAGTTGGTGTGACAAGTTTGAGCAAACGACAGCAACTGCGATACATGTGTACAGTACCTACTCGTCAACGTGATCCTCCTTGTGACTGTGCTTAGGCAGTGATTGGAGGCCTCTTGCTGGTGTACGTATTTCCTTGTGCCTTTTCTTCATTCCAGTTTACTTGTGGTACTTTTACTCTTCACATCCTGAATGCACTTCAATGTACTATCACTAGCGTGGCACTTTAAGTCGTTTCCTTGCTTAATGCACGACAATAGTCATTTCTACTTGGTCTCTACTTGTGACTACCCTATATTCAATTCAAGACATGGTGATATGTTGCCATTACTCAGTAAGGTAATGAAAACTTATGTTTTTCCTGTAAGCTTTTAAGAATGTTTACATTTTAAAAGTGTCTCATTTTCCTACAGATAAGCAAAATCTTTCTCACTGGCCTATTATCCTTGAAAGTAAAAGTACATCATTGTAATTAATAAAAATCTTCTCTGAGTTATTGTATTTTTCATTTTCAGTTGTACAGTAGAGTATGGTAGTTAATTCAGAAGTCTCCTCTATTATTAACCTGGTAATAATATCCTGTAGCTTGAGGAAAATCATAACAGTAATACAGTAGTTATAACTACAGTATGCACATCTCTATAAACTACAGTATAAAAAATGGAAACCCTCTTTTCATGGTAATTAAGTACAGGTACTTGGTAGAAGTGAGATTAAGTGAATACATGTGCAGACAAATTGGTTTAACCGAGTGCCTATAAAATTATTGCCTACACGGATTTTAAATTCTGATCTATACACCATCCTCACACTGGTGTGTCCTCTCCAATTTCATCCACCTCCATACAACACACAAAGGAAAAAATAATGAGATATGGTTTGGCAATAGAAAAAAATATTCTCAATACACTTTAATTACAAATGTCTTAAAACAATGTAAGCAATTCCATTACCTTAGCTTAATTCATGAGTTGACTAAATCAACATCCTTAAGTCAATTAGTGATACAAATCTTTGGCCGTAGAGTAACGTACAGTACCACATTATGAAAAAAGGCACATGATTCCTCTACCTTTCAATCACATCCTTGCCATTTAGAAAATAATATATAAGTGACCAAGATTCATGAAATCTTTACCTTTCTCATAACCAACTACCATATTTTCACAACTCAAATGCAGCAACTATGCAGATGAAGACTGTCAATTAACATGTATAAAATAAGTAAACTTAACTATTATTTGACTACCAATACTTACGCCTACTTATCAACTTAAAGGTTTAATGAGTATCGGAAAATGACAATTTCACAGACAATCTAAAAAAAAATTAGGAGAAAGTTTTACAATCTCATGAAAATAACAATTGAATGGCTGAAGTATATTATATTTATTAACCGAGTGTAATTTCTTAAAACCATGCTTCAGATATTAGAAAATTAAGACCTACATACAAAAGTTGACAAAGCATATCCTACACACCTCACATTGAAATATGGTTTAACCTTATTAAGCATTTCAGAGAAATAATATAAAATGTCTCCTGCCAATCATGACAATCGAACATGTACTGACTAGAGTTTTTCTAGAGATATTGTGATCACAGTGTAAACAATGAGCAGTAGGACATTGTACACTCATGAAACAACTCGGCAAGACACTCACACAGTTACTGTTCAGCCTTTCCAAATGTACTGGCATATTAATTTCTGTTTATTATACAAAATATTGTATTTTCTATCAATATTCCTACAATATTCAAAATAACTTTCCTCTGAAGAAACTTAGATTGTCTAGTCTCAGGTGCACAGCATGAACACTACATCCACAGGATTAGGAGAATTTACAAACTACTACTTCCACACATTTTACAGCATACATTCGACTCACAAGCAGTCAATAAGAGAAACTGTAACAGCTGACAACAGTGTCCACAAGACTGGTACTGTAGTACAGTATACTCACGATTAAACAGAATTGGATATAACAAACTCTCGATTTAGCGGAAGGCATTTTTTCCGTTACTTTTTGCTCGATTTAGTAAATTAATCTCGTTAGCCGGAACAATTGGTGCAAATCACTTTCGGGAATGAGAGAGTTCCGGGTAACAGGCCACTCTCTCAAAGACGGAAAAAATCCCTCATCCCCGGAATTTTTAGGGTAAGTAAAAATTTTCTCGAACGTAAAAGAAATTGCCCATTACATCAGCGCTTGAACCTGGAAATATATCCATCCCTGGAATTTTCCGGGTAAAAGACATTCTCTCGGAATTTATGGAAAATGCACCCGATTTTCATCTCTCAAAACCGGAAAAAACTACTCCCCCCATCCATTTTCTCTGAATTTTTTGGAAAATATTTCACAAAACCCCTGGTAGCCCCATGGGGCCCCTGGCCTTGGTAGTCTCACAGGCCCCATGAAGCCTTTGATCCTAGTAGAGCTCGTGGGAACCCTGGTAGTGCAATGGAGCCCCTGGCCTAGGTACTCCCATGGCTTCCTGGCCGGGCCCCTGCAGACCCATTAGTTCCCTGGGGCCTCCTGGTAGTCCTCTGGCCCTGGTAGTGTCCCTGGGGTGCCCTGCCCCCCTTGTGCCCTCTTCTCTGGCCCCTGGGACCCCTGGCCTTAGTGGCCTCCCCAAGGTTCAGGGGATCCTGGCCCAGCCTGAGGGGCCTCCCATGGGAGGGGGGGGTCCCTTGGCCCTGATAGGGTCCCTGGGGTGCTTCTGGTAATCCCCTGGCAAGGCCCCTGATGGCCTCCTGGTAATTTTCTGGCCCTGATATGGTCCCCGGTGCCTCTAGGGTCCCCCCTATTGGGACCACCTGATAGTCCCATGAGGCATGGGGGCCCCTTGGTAGTCCCATGGGGCCCTGAACCCTGGTAAGGCCCATGGGGTCCCCCTGGTAGGTTCCTTTGCAGTCCGCTGGGGGCGCCCTGATGTTCCCCAATTGTCCCTATGGGGCCCCCTGTAAGTTCCCTTGGCTTCCTGGCCCTTGCAAGGCCCCTAGGGTCTCCTGGTAGTTGCCTAAAGCCCTGTGGGCCCTTGGTAGTTGCATGGGACCCCTGAACCTGGTAGTCCCCTGGCCCTGGCTGTGCCCCTTGTAGTACACAGGCCTTGGTAGGGGCCCCTAGTACTCCCCTGGCCCTGGGTGGTCTCATGGATCCCTGGTAGGTCCTGTTGCAGTCCCCTGGCCCTGGTAGTCCTCTGGATCTGGTATGGTCCCTATGGGGCACTTGCCAGGGCCCCTAGGGGCCTCCTGTTAGTTCTCTTGGCCCACTGGCCTTGGTAGGAAGTCCGGGGGGGGGGGGTGAGTCCTGGGGTCCTCTGGTAGTTCCATTGGACTTCTGACCCTTAAAGTCCCTTGGCCCGATCGGACCCCTTGCTACACCCATGGAACCCTGGTAGATCCTCTTGTAGTCCCCTGGCCTTGGCAAGGTCCCTGGGGCCTCTTGGTAGTCCTCTGGCCCTGGTATGTTCCCTAGGGGCCTATGGCCTTAGTACTAAATCCCATGGGACCCCTAGTGGCCCCCCTAATGCTAAGTCCCGTGGGGCCCCGAGGCCCTATGATAGTTCCATGGGGCCTGTGGCCCTAGTACTAAGTCCCATGGGGCCTTAGGGGGCTCCCTGGCCTCAGCACTAAGTCCCTGTTAGTTCTCTGGGCCCATGGGGCATCTTGGTATTCCTCTTAGCCCTGGTAGGGCCCTTGGGAGCACTGGTAGTCCCCTGGCCTTGGTAGTCCTCTGGCCCTGTTATGCTCCCTGGGGGCCCCCTGGCAGTCCCTTGGGGCCCCTGCCCTAGTAGTCCCATGAGGCTCCTGTTAGTTCTCTGGTAGGGCTCCTGTTGGACCCCTGGTAGTTCCCTTAGGCCTGGGAATCCCTGGCAGTCCCATTGAACCCCTGGGGGCCCTTTGTATTTCCATGGGGCCCTTGGCACTGATAGTCCCACAGCAACCCTACGGGCCCCCTTGTAATACCCTGGCCCTGGTAGCCTCCTTGTAGTCCTTTGGCCCTGGTATGGTCCCAAGGGGCCCCCTGGTAGTCCCATGGCATCCTTGGCCCAAGTAGTCCCATGCAACCCTTGGTAGCTTGTTAGTTCTCTGGACCTCGTAGTCCCCTCATCTGGCAGCCAGTTAGTCCCCTGGTCCTGGTAGTTCCATGGGGCCCCTCCTCTGGTAGGGCTACCTGGTAGTTTCACATTTCCTATAAAAGTTTCCCATTTTCTATGATGAAAGTTTCCAATTTTATGATAAAAGTTTCCCATTTTCTTTGATAGAAATTTCCCATTGGTACATGAAAGCAATCTGTATCTTCTGTACAGACAAAAATTTTTTATAAGAATATTAAGAATAGATCTTCCACCTAATGACATACCTAAGAATGAAAAAAAAAAGTAGTAAGCAAAGGAAATCCTTCAGATAGAAACACAAAAAATATTAATTTCATGTAAGAAATTTTAAGCCATGGGAAAAGTACAATCTTTCTTAAAAATCTTCAGCCATCTCTTATGGCAAACCTAACCAGAATAGATTACTTCTGCATGTCCAAGGAACACTGCCCTAAATTTAACTCCTCCAGCCAGTGTTAAAAATACAGTATGCCCTGTATTAACATCTATAACCCCCCCACACGTCCCATGCATCACCTTCCAACCAATCACAGAATCCTCCATTTTTAACATTCCAAATTTTCTCACCTAGTTAGAGACTATAGCTTCACTAGTCCCCATCATAAAATTGTTCCTGCTGATTCCCCAACACAAAATTTCTTGAAATTATATATCCTGTCCTGCCACTGTAAGACATGCACTCTTGTTATTCCACAAGCAAGAGTAAACATTTCACAAAGGTTCGCTCCTCATGATTATCTTTGTGTTTACTCGAGATAAAACCCTCACTACATTCAGTACAGTATTCTATAAATCATATTCATATCTAAATATCTGCTTTTTATTCTTGGTCCTGGTCACACAGCAGCATACATTACTGGGCTAATGTTTGCAAATGGGAAAACTACAGTACTGAAACTTTCACTCATGCAATTATTGCAACATTACTTTTGTTGGTTTACTAGTTGCTGGATTTGCAATTTATGAAATGATCCACAAATTCATGTTTGGTGAAATTTACTCATATGGACAGGGACCAATTATAAATACTTTTATAAAGCAGAAATACATGAGAATAAGTCAACAAATATGAGACACAACAGACATACAATTATACATCCTCTACTTTGGCATCTAGGAACAATAGACAAAATACTAAAGTCTTCAACTCTTAAAATACCACTTACGGTGTTGCACCACAAAATATTACGGTGACGTACAAACAAGAGAAGACAACACATGTGGCCTTGTCTTTGCATTTTCAGATGGCATGGCCTATAAATAACCTAAATTAAAATAAAAAGTTATGACAAATTGCCAATCGTCATACATACATACTGTACTATGTCAATAATAACCACCATTAGCATGATTTCTTTGGCACAAATGTATGAAAATCTACTAAACTAAGTAACCACATGAGTGATAATTACAAAGATGAGCTATTCATTATAATCCTACAGCTGCTGAATGAGATAGCAAACTTAAAACATTAGTAAATTAGGTCATCGTCATAGAGGAAGGATGAAGTCAAAACTGAAAGAGCTATTACGGGAAACAAATGATCCATTTTAACATAGTACACACAGTTTGGTGATCAGATAAGAGCATTATTTATTACAGATTAGTTTAACATACAAGCAGTGTTAGTGTCACTGTAAGACAAAATAAACATCAATTTGCTCATTCAAAAAAGATGTTGTGTTTCTTCTCTCTATCACCAAAAGACGACATAAGAAAAAATGCATTTGTATTCTTTGCTTGACATTGAAAGTTATTTTGAACACACGTACAGTACATCAAAATACCTCTGGCAGCTCTGGTTACGCAAATACAGTGAAACCCCCATATAATGGACTTCTCTCGCCAAATAATCCTATAGATGGGGGCTTAACCTCTAACTGACCCTTGATACAATGGACTTTCACCTCTATATAGTCTGTGAGATGGAAGTTTCACATGTAACAGACCCTTGACATATAATAGACTTTTCTCCTCACATAGTCCATACTGTATACACATTCACTTTATAATCTGAAAAATCACTTCACAGCAACCAATGACTGAGATCCACTGGTTAACATCAAGGCATAACTATCGAGTTATGGATGGGTTACGTTCCTAAAAAGTTGTCCTTGACTCAAAATCCTGTAACTAAAAATTCCATAGCTGTACAATTGAGTAACCTCATCAACAGTGATCATTAGTACACCAATTGTCACTATTCAGTGTGATGGCAATTTTGAAAGTTTGACATATAACTATACAGTACTGTACAGTACTTGCATAAATATTTCCTATTTCCAGCCAAAAGGCACAACCAAACTTGTTTTCTACGAGATGTAAAGTACTGTATATATCAAGTTAATCTCTTCTAACACTTACCACTACTTCAAATACAATAAATATGTAAGAAAATATACATATGTGTTATGATGAAGTTTAAGCTCTATTCACCCAATTCCTATACAATATATATTACAACTAACCTGTAGGCACACAAGGCTCTGTAGAGTCAATTCATTGAGTTAATACAAAACTAGTGTTAAGGCCTTTGCATTCCTTTCATGAACTGAGAAATACCTTATTAACTAAGTATATACTGTATACCACGGTGTGCTGTCAAGGCAACTGATGTAGCTACTCTGTTACATGTAATTACTGTACAGGGATCACCTCTTACATCTCCCCATATAAAATATCTTAATATGGGGTAACTATTTTAATTTATACTGTACTATCACAATTTTCATTACATGTGATACACGCTACACACTATTAGTATCTTTAATGGAACAACTTTATAACACAGCAAATATATTAAAATTTATGTTGCTTTTACATAGGAATGAAATTCACAGCTGTGAGAGAGGTAAATGCCTTACCTTAAAGAAGGTTACAGCAGTTGAGATGAAGCACCAATACTGTTATGCAGAAAACACAATGAGGGACATCTAATGCACGTTGGGTAACTCCCAGAAATACATCAGAGACTGCACCAACCCCTACGACACCTGACAAAACGTGTTAGTGGGCGGGACATTTTGGAAAGCAGATGAGATAAGTGAACTATGAAGTAATGTATAAGTTATCATATGTACCAGGAGTATCGGAGAAGGAATGAAAAAGAAATGCATCAGTGAAAGACCTGGCAGTATTATCCTGGGCAATCTCCAACACTGAGAACCTATGACTTGTCTAATAATAACAATAATAATAACAGAAAACTGACAAGAACGTTAAAACATGAACTGATAACTGATTGTGTATGGTGCATCAGCCGACCAAAAATAAATGATAATGACAATTAAGACAAAAGACAAGACTGAGGTTCAGATCCAAGGTTTATGTTGTGAGTCAGCTGCATATTAAACTTAAAGTAGACAGAGGTTCATCTTTAACATTTAAGAGCATTATGGCTGAACCAAAAGCCGAGTTACTTTAAGTTAAAAAAAAATCAATATTGTGCTGCCCTTTCCAGTATGTGAAGCAAGACACAAAAGAACCTTATCGATCTTCCGGCTGCTAATCAATGCCACGTACTAGTTAAGAGAGATCATTCAACAGCAAAGACGGGCATTAACAGATACTAGTCTAGGTGGGGATCTGGCAGAAAGATAGGTAAAGCTGTTGCCACATAGCTGCACTAAAGAGGCTGTGAGAAAGAAGGACTAGCCTTATGAAGGATTCACAAGGAAGGAAGGAAGGGGACAGATTTAAGTAAAAAGTAGAAAAAGACAGAAAAACCAGAAAACTTACGTAGTTACCTTTTATCTTCACTTCAACTATCTACAGGTGGACCAGGGAGAAAAAGTACTCTCAAGAAAGTGGTAATATTACAAAGTGGTGATGCAAGAGAGTGGGAAAAACAAAAGGAATATGTTGAAACAAATATTTCAAATAAGTTTAAAGGGAGGAAATAGAATTCTCATGTTCAGCCAATATGGCAAACAACTCAAGTGACCACAGTGCAACTATAACATGTGAAGAGAAATATGAATGGAAGACAAAAATCCTCCTACAGTACTACAGTAAGTCCTCGCTTAATGTCGGCCCGCTTAATGTTGTTTCGGTACTATGTTGCTAAACTTTAGAAACCAAAAATTCACTTAACGTCCCGGTAACTCGGTACAACGTAGTTTGAGTCTTCAAGGACTACTTTTTACCTTTTTCACAATATGTATTTAGGATGGTGTGTGCATGTAAATGAGTAAAATTTAATGAAGAAAGTTACTTTATCTACCAAAAAATAAGTTGAAAAAACATGTACAGAACTTAAATGTACTCAAGGGACTAAAAAATTTATCTCTCGTGCAAAATATATGATGTCTATATTCATATTATTTGCTGTCTTGCAAGGATTCTAGCAATGCAATTTATATTCTGGTAACTTTAGTCTGTGCCATTTTATAAGATAAAAACTTTAAGCCTAAACCGCCTTCAATCTTGCCGGAAGTGTGGAAGGGAGGTGATGTATAATGACAGCTGGCGCCAGCCCGCTGGCCAACCAAGGTTACCTAGTGGTATTTATTTATCTGCCATGAAGAGGAGTTTTAAGTTTTTCTCTTATAAATCTCATTGAATGTTACTTTATAGTAATGCATACAAGCACCTCACCAGGCATCACACAAGGAGCTTTGAATTTATGTATATGTAATGTATTTCATGGGGCAAAGGAAGGCTCACGAACGTAAATCCCATATTTTATCTATTTCTTATGGGGAAAATTGATCCGCCTAGCGTTGTTTCGTTTAACGTCGCGTTTTCAGGAACGTAACCCCGACGTTATGCAAGAACTTATTGTATTTTTATGGCCAACACGTCAACAAATGTTTTCTACTTTCAATGCTGTACTATTTGTGCTAAATGATCATAATCTTTATGATCAAATGGACTTCAGTGAACTTGCAAATTTAATTTGTGAAAATATCAAACAACTGACTTCCCCAATATTCTGAGACTGGAACTAGAGAATTAGGACAGAATTTAAATGTGTAAAGTAACTGTATGCAATTCACATAAAGAAAAAGCTTTGAAACTAGCAAAATAACTTTCCAATTTTGTTCCAATCATTTGTACAATAATTACTACCTTTACCAAAAGCAGTAGTTCATTACACAAGGATATGAAAAACCTCATAACTCCTCGAAGAATGCGACCCGGGTCCTCGTGGTGCCAGAACGAGTGCGGCGAAGGGTGGAGTACTTGGTCTCTCCTGACCGCAGCTGCTCGTGGTACACAGCGTCCAGGACAGTCTGATTCTCTTCCACTTTTAACACCTGAAGAAAAGAAAATCATAATAACACAAAACTTCCACTTCACTATATGTTTTCAGCCAGGGTACTAACTCGATAAAATCACAAGAAAGCTGCCTGTATGAGTTCCAAGCACATATATTTAGGAGAAAAGAAACAAAATGTCTCTCTCTTTCTCTCCTTCACAAGCTATGAATGCTTAGGTGCCCTGACAAATGGGCTCCAGTCCTAATGGGCCCCAACTTGAGTCATTTCTATGTCAGGGTTACACATGAAGTGTTTTTGGCTAGATGTATGAATGACAAAACTCGTTGGCTATATGAAAGCATAGACTCAGTAGTTCAGTATTAAGGCAATACCTGTGAGGGATTAAGGGGTTAGTATAGTGCAACGTATATATTGTACTAACTAGAGAATAAGTTTCGTAAAATTATTCATGTGTTGTATTAGTAGTTGCAGAACAGCTTTCCACTAACTGTACACTTTCAGTTCTTAAAGTTCTTTTCTCTATAGCTGACCCTAAAACAACTTTAACACTGTGTTATGCATTGTGGTCCAAAGGTACAACTTACTATGGTTAAACTATGGAATTATTCACCACTTTTTTCTCATGCACATTCCATCTCACTCAACACCAAAATTATAGATCCTGATTCTCAGTTCCCAAGAATACCGTGGGTCTTCATTGTTATTCCCTTAGACTGCCTTTACCTATACAAATACATTCTCTTTATCCAATTCAAATCCTAGAGTTTAATGGTACATGATTGTCACTAGCTGCTGACACACCTTGCAGAGCACTGTTACATACAAGGTTACACGACTCTTACTTCAATTTCAGATTTTAAATGACGCAGTTGTTGCTGGAGGTGTCTTGATCTCTCCAGGTACTCCCCTCGCTCCTTCTCAATCTCCAGACTCAGCTGCTCCACATCCGTATCATTTAACAGGTCTAAAGACATCAGTTCGCGTCCAACATACGTAGAGCTCAGAGCGTCCGTGCTGCCACCCAACGTCAAGTCGGGCAAGTCTCCGGTGGACCCAATGGCCATGTCATTACTGCTACCCACAACCAAACTAAGAGAAGAGATAAAATATTTATAATAAAACAGCCAATAAAGACATAACTGATTAAAATTTTGTTTCACTGTAGGTATTAATAACAGGTAATCAACATGACTTAGGCAATGAATTCATACAAGCCAGGGTATGGTCATGATATATCAATTGAATAAACTACACACTTCAATAACCAATGTATGCAAAAAATATAAATCTTGTTACCTGGCACCTCATCAGAGAGGACTGAGCTAGAATAACTTTGCAAGGCACTGGAATTACATAAGACTTACCCTGTAAATATAAGGTAAGTATATTGCTTTGCTAACACACTCAGTGGGGTGATCCATTAATGAACATTACCTGTGAGAAAGTGCCGACGCTGGCAGGTGGGGTGTGGAGGAGTTCAGAAGGGAGGCATTAAGCAGCGAAGCATTAAGAACAGAAGAGTTGACTGCTGTGTGACTAATGGAAGCATTAAAGCTCTGTACAAAACCAGTCAGCTTTTCCTTCGCCTGTTTCTCTGCAATACGAGCTCGGATAAGCTCCTGTTGCAGACGGTCAGACTCTGTAGCTCGCCTCTCTCCTTCCTCAACCAACTTTGATACCAGCATTTCTGCCTCCCTCACCTGCAAAAGACACACAACAAACATATTATTAGTGGAGACTGGAATGATAATTTTGTACAGTGAGAGTGGAGAGTGAAGATTATGATGAGGGTTATACAATGAAGGTTACATTAGAAGTGTTCTTGAGGGAGAGTAGGTACTGCACACATATTCTGGCACCAAGGAGTGAATAGCAGTAAAATTTCTACAACCTAGACTGAGAGAAATCCTACACAAAACACAAAAACTCCCTGCAAGTTATATGGATGAAAATTTGTCAAAAAACCTTTAGTGAAAAATTAAAGTGGGTCTCACAAACATGACAGCCTTTCTAAATTATAAAAATAAATAAATAAAAAAGTTCAGAAAGATTTTACATAATTCACCTCCAGTTTCATAATTGCTTTTCTTGCCAAGTCATTTCAGGAACAATAAGACACTAACCTTGTGTTCCATAATCATCTTTTCTTCTTGAGTCTTGGCAGAGATGAGGTGCGCCCGCTGACACTCTTGTTCTGCCTCTGAGGCCTTCTGAGTTAGTAGCATTGTTTCTTCCTCCGCTATACGAGATTTCTCAACTAGAAGCTCTGCTGTTTCTTCAGACCTTGAGGAGAGAAATATTGAGATTGTAGCTGGCTCCTGACAGATGACTGAAGTGTTATTAGGTTCATAACCAATACAAACAAGCTTCTCTCTTAAATACCTAAGGCAGTTGGTAACAGAACAATGCATGGAGAGCAAAATTTAATTACTCTACTCTATTACTCTTAAATCACTATCAGACATGAGTTCACATTACATCATTTACTAATCCACAACACATCACTTGTATAAATGACCTCCCAATCAACTGTTTTAAGGAAAGTGGTGTTGATTCACAGTGATTTCAATTATACTTCAGAAAACACAGTGCACATGTCACATTTAAGTTTACCTAAGCTTCAGTGTGGGATGTCAAGCCATGCTCCCCCCTCAATCTTCTAAGCATTTTCTTACAATACAGGGTGTCTGCAATCCAAAGTAAACACAATTTCTCTTCATTTTGTCAATCATTCACCCATACTGATGAAAAAAAGCGTGTTCTGCTATGGTGCTCCTCAGCTAATACAAGGTCTAACTCAAGCCTAACCAATGTGTTTGATATATTTGCTCCTCAAGACCAACTACTGTGTTAAGAACAAAATATCAAATACCAATAAAACCTCAACATAATATATTCCAGACAAGATGAACTATTGAGCAAACAGATTAAACACTCAGGAAGCCACAGGACACTTTACCTTCTGAGAGCATCATTGGCTGCTCTCATTTCTTCCTGGTACTGAAGTAAACGCTGTTCAAGCTCCACCTTTTGCCTCCCTACCTCCTCTCTCAGCTGCTTCTCCCGAGCTAACTGTGGGGTGCAAAACAACGATCATAACTTGTTTAGATATTGTCATTACTGTATAATTGCTTTAGTTTGTTTGAAAATGACACAATTAACACTGTAGAAATTATATTACAGTGCTCAAAATTAAAATTAATACATTATGACACTATTATTAATGATAGGTACAAAAAAAAAGTGCTTATTCAGTAGATATGCTACAAGGTGCATCTTTGATAAGTTACAAAATGTACACTGATTATCAACCAACAGACACCTGACCTTTGACATGATACCATAATGGGGTTACCAAAACATTTATGTGCCTTTGATATTGATCCAATAATCATCATACAGACTTTTTGTACTTTCAAGCCTTTTCCCGTTTAATGCATGGTACAGTAGAGAGAATAAAAAGCAAATACATACATTGATTTTCCTTTTATTCACTCTTATTACTGTAAAATATGCATGCTGTACTGATACTTTTCTCTATGACAAGACCTCAAATCTATTAGCAGCACACCTTTCCCACTAATCACTCAATGACTTTATTCAAATAATTTGGCAATTATGAGCTATGGATGGACAAATTTCATGCATATAGTTTTCAAAAAGATGAATAGTAACATAAAGAAGTCTGATGATCATCCATTTAAACTCCCCAAGACAGATCACAGTGGAGTGTACTGACCTGCCTACGAAGTTTCTCCTCTCTGGCGGCAGCTTTCATCTGCTGAACCTCTATAGTGTCTGGCTTTCGTCTCCTTTTGAATAAGTCGTGATTTCCTATACTGAGGTCTAGGATCAGCTTGTTCATGCGGCTATTTTTGGAGAAGAACACAAAGTTGGGGGCAGTCTTGTCCGTGGGCCGGATAGTGAACTTCTTGTCGTCGACGATTATGTTCCGTATCTCAGACCACGGGAAGCTAATCTTGGGCTCTAACTTGTTCTCACTCTCGTAAACATTTAGACCAAGTGCTGTCACTCCTGTGGATAAACACAAGGTGGATGTAGAGTAAAGTATGTCATAAGAACTTAAAAACAAAACAATAATATAGTAGTACCTCTATAAAGAATCAGGTTTTCTTCATCCAAAATAACAAGAGAATCAGGTCCTGTCTGGATAAAAGTAGCAAAGCACAATATAAATGTTTTCATATGACACTCATCACGATTCATAATTTTCTTATGTTTTATATATAGTTTGTGAGTGTTGATCACAAACACATGATAGCCTACCCATAACATTTAATTTGTGATTTTTCATAACTTTAAATTGAAAACCAAATGGGAATATTCAAAACTTTATGAATTTTATGTTTGCTTGGTTATCACACGTAATAAGCATTAGCAACAGTTCACACCACTGTCAGGAACATGTCGTCAAGACAAACGGCAATTGCCTAACTTCTACAGCGGCAGCACCAACAAGCAAAACTCTGCAGCTAAAGTTCCAGATTCCTATTTTGTTTGGTACTACAGGGGGCCCCACAAATTCGCGGGGCTTAGGTTCTCAAAATGGCCACGAATTGCCAAATCCATGAATAACATTTGAGGACCGCGGGGGGTGTTTACATTTTCACAAAGAAATGTATATTCCCTTCATGTGTTTGCCCGTCGGACAATTATTTCTTTTACCTGTATTGTATATGTGAGTCTACCCTCAACTCCACGCTTTATTAATAAAGTAATAGAGCACAGCCTTCAGGGCAGACTCACATTTTTAATAAATTTGTTTTTTTATTATTTGTGAGAGAATTTTTCCAATTATTATTTTTTGTTTGTGTTTTGTGTGTGTGTCTACACACACACACATATATATTTGCAATACAGGTAAAGGAAATTACTGTCTCTAGAACGAATGGCTCCCTGTCCCAGTCGCGAAAATGCTGGCAACTTTAAAACTACCCACAGACATTCTTGGGTACATCCAGGGTGTCATCCGCGAATAATAAAGGACCGTGAAATAAAAATCCGCGAACTTGGGGGGGCCCCTGTTTATAGTTCTAAATATTACTGTATAGTGTTGTACTATCTTTAGCACTTAGTTCCAAAGATTATTATTAATAAACCTCTGGCAGTTAATGACACTATAAAGATGATGCTATATAACAGGTGTCTTCAGAAGAATTCTTTATGTATACTGTAATGCATCCCTTACAACAATAACAATGTTGGGAAGGGCAGTGTCCTTACCAGTGAGGCTGAATGTAAAATAATACTAAGGATGTTTTATCCATATCTGTTAAAGGCTAAAATAGAAAAGTTTAACACATTTTCTTAAAAATAAACTATGGTAAACACACCTAGTGGGTTACTGCTCAAGAGGGGCAACAACCAAGCTCCACCTAACCTATTTATGGTGGCCTCATTAGTACTGTACTGTACACTCTGGTCAGTGAGAGCAACTGACAGATGCCCCCCGGCTATTTATGACTTGAAAACTTGGATAGCCTAGTGTCTACTCTAATTTTTCTTTTCATTTAAGGTTTTTAGATCTTAATTTTTAAATAAAGCTGGGGGTTTTTTTTTTCAATTAGAGTAACTTTTTATATTGACTTTCAAAGCCTATGAGCTTGTTCTAAAAAAAATTAATTAATTCGATTTAATTCAGGCAGTGGTGTTTTAGGTATGTTTAGTTATGAGGTAGCAGCAGCAGGTAGGGTAGTACGGTATGTTAGTACAGGGACACAACCTTGTACCTAGCTCCTCATCCCCTAGGGTAGGGAGCGTGCCGTTGTCGGCCGGCGAAAGGTACTGTTCTCTCGGTCTCCAGGGACAACAACACTGCGTTTGGTGTGCCCCCGACCAGTGGCCCCTCGTGGGTGGAGGCGGTAAATAGCAAAAAGACGGCAGAAGAGCACAGAAGGATGCTTTTAGAGAAGAGATAATTAAAACAGGGATATAGTGAACACTCCCTCCAAAAAGTATATTTATGATTTTGTATGAGACAACATGACACAACACACAGGATTTTGAAAACCCTACCAAGACAACAGGAGTCGCAGTGTTCATTTTAAAATTGATCTGACCCATTCATAAAGATACTTGTAGGAGTGACTGTACGATGATATTCGGATGAACCACAGAGAAAAGAGATTGGAAATTATACAAAATCTTATGGATGGTGGCCTTGATGTTTTAGGTATGAGAGAGAGAGAGAGAGAGAGAGGGAATACAAGGGTTGTGTGGTGCTATCTGGCATGGATACGAAAGGAATAGGGATAAGGAGAGGTGTGGCAATACTCCTAAATAACAAATAATAGGATACAAAAGTGAGAATGATAAGAGATAATAAAGGTGTGAGTGTAAGGAAGGCGGGGAGGCTGTCTACACTGAGCACGAAGTGAAGAACAATGCATTACAAAGACAACAAGGCAGGGAGTATGGGGAACAAAAAAGGCAAAGATATTACATAGTGGCAGGGCAGCCTGGTGCCGAGGGGAGCTCTCTAGCGGTGTGAGGCATCACTGATAAGATGTTAATAAGAAAAAGATTGAGGAGTTTCAGTGAGGATACTCAATGGGTGACAGGATACTACTGTACACATGGCTGAGGTAAGTGTTCATAAGAATAAACAACAAAGGGCAGGGAATGCAAATTTATAGTACAGTAAGGTGCCACCTAACAAGCAGATCGGTTCCTCAATCACTACTTGTTAAGTTAATTCTTATTCAATGGGCCCCATTGTCCAATGGGATCAGTGTTAAAAGCTGAGATGTTTTCCAGCCCAGAAAGTTTTGACCCAAAACCCCTTGGCATAAACTTACACGTGCTTCAGCCCAAAGAACTGTCGACCCTACAATCGGTCACTGGTGTGGTACATGAACACTACTACAAATGGCAATATATCATCTGTGGTGTTAGGAGTACAGTACAGTATCTCAGAATAACAGCAGCACTGACAAGAACCTATCTCAACCAATAATACTTACTAAAAAAAATTTATGAGCACATTACTTACAAAAATTATTATTAAGGAACCAACATCAATAAGCAGTGTTGGATGGTGTGAGCTCAACACCTTGAATGGTAATAGATAACTTAATACACTACGATCGTTAAACCCAAGTCTCATTCAACAGGACCTTACTGTATGTAAAACAATGGTGTGGTTTTAGGAATGTACTGTAGACCAAACCACCAACTGCATCCTAGTAAGAATACAGCCAAAGTCACATTCAAATGCAGTGTTTTTTGACAATTACATGAACTACACAGACACCATGATTAAAGTTTAAAAATACTTTTCCTTACATCACTCCCCTTCACCATGACACACAATTACACAATAATAGTCATCAGTCAATGCCAGGAGTCTGCGACAACATTAAGAGAAAGTAATCAAGGTCTGAATGAAGAGACTAATATATATATATATCTTCAAAAAACTTACCAAGCCAGAGTTCAGTTTGTTTCTTGTTGGTGATATTGAAGTAGTTGACACCATACATGCCTAAATCTTGTGCTATCTTAAGGTACTCCATCTCGGCTTCGTCCCGGGTCATGCCCTGGTGGTCAGCGTACCAGATCCTGATACGCTCCTCCCACATCTCAGGTGTCATTTGATACTGACTGAAGCATAAATAACAACAATTACTGTATTCCCCCCCCCCACAAAAAGGGATTTTAAGCAGTATTTTCAGTGTCATATACATACATACATACATACACAAAATATTTCCTGATAATCAAGTAAGAGAAGCACCACAGAACAACACTCCTGATACAGTAAGTATGAATGAGAACATATGAAGAAAATGTGTATCATTCTACATTGCTGCAGGAAAATGTTTGAAAATTCAAATAACTGTTACAAAGAACAGGTACAGTTTATATTACTCCACATCACTATACTGGCTTGAAAAACTTTATATCACATTTGAAATTTATAATTAATTTATAAAAAGGTTTTTAAAAATTAATGATAAAAAATACTGACAAAATGTTAACAGGTCTTTATACCAACAACAATGACCACAACAATAAAGTTTTTGAGTAGGTGAGCTATAAGTTATGGTGAAGATGCTGCAACAGCTGGAGAGAGCAGAGTGCTGACCTGATAACACGCTGAGGTAGAAGTTCCTTCATGGACAGTGCACCCCCCTGGTAGGTGGCTGGGTTGTAGTCACCAAACTTGGCCTGGACTGCATATGATGCTAATAATACTGACATCTCTGGAGGACAATATATGTCCATGTTCAAGATGGACTGCTTAACCTGCCAAGCACCAAAGAAATAATGACCTTTAACACCTAATAAAATTTAAGTCCTACAGTTATCATACTTATGAACTTACACTAATACAGTCCGTCATGTCTCTTACAGCCAGGATTTGTCTTTTAATAATATGATTAACTGGCTTGTCTTCTCTTAACAGCACATCAGTGACAAAAATTCTCTCTCATTCTTATAGTTATCTATTTTCGGTTAAGTCCTCACCACTTATAATCCACACAGACTGGTGGCCTTGACATTCCTAACCGGCTGGGTCCATCCCTTCCCCGCCTCCCTAAATACACAAACCAGGCAATTAATCGGTGGTCAGCCAAGGAGCAAAGTCAACGCTTATCCCCAGACACATTAATAATGGATAAGTTTTACAAACAGAAAGAAAATACATTTTTTAAGTTATTTATCCATGCTAACATGTTTGGGGCAAGTGCTGACTTTACACGGATCCCTAGTCTGTGCGTCGAGGACGACCTAAGTCCTATACAGTATTGAGATTATAAGAAAAATTTCAACACCAAAACAATGTTAAATGAATCAGAGAAATTCTCAAATTTTCAAAATCCAGCCATTGTCAAAACAATTAATAATCAGAATTTGATCCCTTTAACCACAGATCTCTAATATGCACATCGAGGAATACCTACCCTGAGAATTTGAGCAATATTAATTTTTGGTCCCAAAATATTAATTTTCAGAAGCGAATTTGCCGGTTAGGAATTATGAGGCCGTCGGTCTGTGTGGCTTATACATTAACCTGCAATCCATGTGATGGAACTAAGCATTAACCCTTCATGTTACATAAATCATGTATGAGGCTTCTCTTTTCTGACTAAAATCGCCTGGCATTAACTATATAAAATATCTGATGTGGCATAGCCGTAGTGAAGGAGTTAAGATAAGAAGTGTAAATCCTGTCTAGTCATCAACACAACATCAAGTTATTTCAGAAGTCATGACACATAAGAGACATTCAGGTCTTCCTTAATATCCATAAAAGTATAACATTAGTAAATTAATTTGTTCAATCAATTATCTAAAAAAAAATGAATTAATGCAACACACAACACAAACTCAATACGGAACTACAGACATGGCAGCTGTAATGTTTTGATATTACAAATAAATACAAGTTTAAAATATAATAATTCAATACACCAAGAACTTCATTCAGACCAAACACTGACACATTAAGATATGAGGTGTAAAATAATGACTATGATAACATTGAAGTAACTACCACAAATCATCTTATTGAGCCAACACCTGGAGAGTAGGGCACATTAATCTGAAATCACTGATGCTACGTAAAAGATTGGAACCAAATGATCTTTTTTGCACCTGCAAGAAGAAGAGATGTTGTGTGACCTCCTGCACAAGTTCTTCACTAACATCCTCTGGGTAAAACTTGGCCAAGAATACAAATGGCACCGGGGAGCGACGGGGTATGTCCTGGTCTTGAACCTTATTCATAAAGGAAATTACCAGAAAGCAAGAAACAACAAGACACTTATAATGATAAGGAAACCATAAAAATATTTTTTTTTATCCAATGTAATTATTCAGCCCAAATTTTGGTGTTTTTGTGTTATTCTGAAAGTACTACATAATTAGATAAACCCCTTAAATTCCAATTCTAATTAAGTACTACCAGAATAACACTAAAACACCAAAATCACACTGTGCAGGCATCTGTTCCCACCATACTGAAGTGGAGTAAGTGCCCAGTAGCTTCTCACCCATTAGTGACTACTGTACACTACAGTATAGGGTGAGGAAGAAACTATTCACTATCAATAGATGTTACTTTATAAATTTATTATTATAAGACTGCTTACAACCTTCAACAGTGCAATGATAACTTACTATCTTTAGCAAACATCTGCAACAGTATAGGTTAACTATACAGTAATATCTACTTCCCTCCCCAGCACCGAGCCCCAGCTAGCAGCCTCCCTCAGGAGACATAGTCCAGCACTCTCTTCAGCAGCACCTGCTGGGCCTCCCTCAGGTCACACGTGAGTTATTGTCAGAGTTATCCTTAGGGTGAGTTACTTTCGGTGGGAGGTGTATCCATTTCATGTTTGTGTAAGAGAGTCATTGTCTAGTAACTTCGATATAATGATTTATTAATGTGTCCATGTTTAAATAGCTAATCGGCCACACTACCAACTTTCCTCACTTTACAACCCTCCTTCTATAAATACTCTTCCTATATCTTCTACCCAAGGTACACTTGTTACAATAATTTAGCTAAATATCTTTCTCGTCAGAAACGGTCATCCCAACGATTATGAATAAACTTATTTAGAAATACATCATAACTTCAGGACGAAATTGGACAGGTTTGCAACAGCCAATCAGCTGTAACTCTTCAGAAAAAATGCACTATAATTAACGATATTACTGTACCAGGCTAGATTAAAATCATGGCTGCTACACTGTCAGTTGTAGGCACTATTGGTCAAAATTGGAATTTTCAGTAATGGTAAAGTACATTACACATAAAGTGAGAGCTTAAATCATTAGCTAAGCAGTTGATATATGTTTCAAAATACAGGAAAATACATCAGTAATGACACTAACTTTTGGGGGAACAATACTGCCTGCAACTCCTCAATGAGCAACTTAATGTTCTTCAAAGATCCACCAAGAGCAGAAAGTAAATGATACACATGAACAAAGAAATAACTTCTCACTCACCTTCTTTTCCATCTTGAGCCAAGCAAAGTCACCTTTAGAGTCTTCATACTGCAGACCAAAATACCAGGTTTCTCTGAGTCCTATTGTCCGTCCAACCAGATCAAAGAGGTCCCGGCCATTTGCTCTCCAGGGCAAGTTAAACTCCAGCTCAGCATCCAGAGTCACAATCTTTACAGGAAAAGATTTGGCACTTCTGCCCCGGAAGAGATTCCTCAGGGGCATTGTGAGACCTGTTCAGAGATAACAGTATCCACTCAGTGATGTGAGGGGAAACTTCTTTTTCTGACACCTATCCAAATATTAGGTGTTCACATATTATATTGTTTGTCTCTTGTCTTTATAACAGTCAATGAATATTTGTATAACTAGGATTATTTTTTTTATTTTATGACCATTACATCGGAGGTTTTGGTAAAAGTTAAAAAATTCGGAAACTTCCCAGTCATACCCCCACCATATCAGACAAAGTTAGGAAAGGTTAGGTTGGTTTCTTTGGTTAGGTCAGGTTCTGTTCCATTTTCATGTTCAGTATCATGCAAATAGTATCTCCAGAAATTTTGGTTCAATTCAATAAGTTATTTCTGGTGCCAACGGTCTGTTCCACCTTTATCTAGTAATTTTCTTTTATAGTCTTGAGTAAAATAATAGGTAAATTTTTACTTTAGGACACGAGTCCCTACGGGTTGACCAATATGTTTTTCCAGTGTATTTTGGTGTGTTTTAAACGAATCTGACCTTCATTTTGGGCAGAAATGTCTAGTTTTTGCACCCCCCCCCCCTCATCAACAAAGGGGGAGAGCCTGGGAAATCGGGGTTTTGGGTGGGGGAGAAAACGAAAACGAGTCATCTGACCTAACAAAACCTAACCTAACTTCTAGGGGGGGGGTCTCTGCCCCCGGAACCCCCCAGGTAGGCCTAACCTGACCCCTAGCAGGGGGCAGTAAGCCTAGCTTAAACTAACCTAAATGTTTCAGTAGTTAAAACTTTGGGGCATGCCATGTCTGAAAGTACAATACATTAGTTAGAAGTGGAAGGACCAGGGATACGTAAGAATTGGATAGAATGATCCTCTTTCTCGTAAAACTTGGCAATAAACTTAAAATAATCGTAGGATCACAAATGACAACCTCCACCACGGCCATTGTGAGACTGGTCAATGAAATTACCCAGGCTGCTTCCTTTGAAAAAAATCAAATATGATTGGTCGAAAAACATTTGCGTCGTGACTTCATTGGTCACGACTGGATGACGTCAGTCAACATTGCGCATGCGTGATACGCCGATAACATCATCTCACAGACAAACACTGAAAACTATTTAAAATCAATTGTGTCGCTATTATCAATTTCCGCCAGGTATATATGGGATTCAAAATGCTCAGAATAGCGAGACCTAAATGTTTCGGTAGTTTATAACTTTCGGAGGCGCTATGTCCAGAAGTAAAATAATACAAATAATATTATTTTCGGTATTATTTTCTTGTAGCTCCGTTCATTTCTACCACTAATCTATTATCATATTCGAATAAGACGTCTAATTATAAGATAATTTTTATCTATTACATTACCGGCGGAAATGTATAATAACGGAGATAGCTCTTCCAAAATATTTTCTATTTTCTTCCATTAACATCCAGCCATTATCGTCTGCCTCTCCTCCAACACTGCGTGTCTCCTGCGTCCCCTTCATAAATCATCCTGCGCATGCGTTGCTGTACACGTCACGCGGCCAATCAAAAGCCTTTTTTTATTTTGAAACCAATTAAAATGTTTAGGGGTTTAATTCGCAGTATTTTTGGCCCAATCAAATTCGAGTATTCTTTTTGGTCTCTCATATTGTGAAATTCAAGTTCAGTTCCGACCATGGAAGTCTGCGATGGATGTCACTTAAAGTATATGGAGCTGATTGCGAGTTTTTGGAAAAAAAAAAACGAAGAAACTATAGCATTTTTTCGATCGCATGGTGTTCTTCCAACCTCAGTAAAGTGTACTAAGAGCAAGACTGAATGTAAATATCGCAAACACCAACATATGTGGAGTTGTGTAAGAATCCCAGAATGCAACGACGAACAAGAACCAGACCAATAAGGTAAGAAATAGGCGATTCCATCATATGGTGAGAGTCAGTTAAGTTAAGTTAGGTCAGGTTAGGCTAGGCTAGGTTAGGTTTGGTTATTGTTTTTCTTGTGTTTTATTGTGTATTTCTTAGTTGCTTTGGCACTTTTTCTTCTCGGAAAACGTCAAACGAAAAAAATTCGCAAAAAAACCCCCGGCTAATTTCCGTCAAAAAGGAAGGTCATATTCTGTCTCAGCACACACAAATACACTATAAAAATATAATTTTAACTTGCTACAAGTGAACGGAGCTACAAGAAAACTTTACCTTATTTTCTGTCCCCAAGCAAATCTTGTTAAGCTATCTGGGACACAAGTGATATTATGCAAAATGTACTTTATGTCCTTTTCTCAAGTTAAGAAAGATTTTATCAACTAAGGAGACTTTTCCAATCACCCAAACAATGAACAGAATGCCATCCAACTTCAACAATTAATTCTGAATCTGTCAGTAAAATCCTAAAACTATAAAACAAAATACAAAAGCTAACTCAACAGACCACTCACGTATAGTCCCAACCACACACCCCTAACTACTCAGGGTCATGAATCACTACCATATATAAAGAGTAATGATGTTATCTGACCTGGTAATGACAGTTCAGGTCATAACGGCCACTGTCCTCCTGCTGGGGTTTGTTTACTGTGAGTTGTTGGCCGCCACCGGGTCCTTCCTACCACTCCTGTTAAAGAAATACCACGAACAGTATATGATGATAACCACAAGGAAACAAGAAAACATAAAGTTCCCAAGAGCTTTTGTCTAATTCACATCTTGAGGGTTGAGTACATGCTAAGGAGTAATAATTGACAAGGTTAATATATGAGTGAGATAGTTTGGTCTCGTTCGTGGTATATATTTAGCATGAACCAACAGATCCCTTTCAGTGAGCAACAGGTTGAAGTATAAATTCATAAGAAATGTCCATAAAATTATATTTTATGTATTGTACAGGTGATATTATTTGGAATTAAAATATTAGAAAATTTCTCCCTTTGAAATTAATTTATATACCTAAAAAAGGTGTTGATTTTTACTCACACTTGACATTATTGATGATTGTAAATTTATGGCTGTACATCCACAGTTCATAATAATGAATATAAATGCAAATTTTATTTGGAAAATAATAAAGTCTAGTGGAAACTATCAATGAGTTTTCGTCAACTGATGAACGTATATTTTTAAATGATTGTTGTCGACTTCTAGAGATCCACAAACTATAGATAGATATCCGAGTGAATGTTTAACCAATTTACTGATGCTACTATATACCCAGAAAATATCTCATAAAAAAGACATAAAAGATAAAAGTATTCAAATGATAAGTTCACTGGGAATATTCCTGAAAGTCTCAACAGGAGGAGCAGTGAGGTGACCCCCGTGAAGGAGAGGACCGGGAGGAGACAAGTAGCCCCTCATGGTTCTTATCTTAAACGCCAAAGTTTATACTTCATTCATTTCTTAAAGTGATAGGTGCTAAATTACAGTAATTAGGTACTGAATTACAGTTAATAGATCCTAATTTACAGTAGTTAGGTAGATTTTTGTTTGTAAACTCATTTCATTTGTTTTAAGAATACATTGGGGGTTTTCTTGTAGTTAGGCACTAAACTACAATATTGTAATCGCTCCTTGGATCGATTGTGGCTGTGCAGGACAATATAAACCCTCTACGTTGATGCGAAGAATATAATTCGGTCAAAACCTGTTGATACATCTTGTGGGGTTATGAGATATTGGTTCACACTCAGGATGGGATGGAGAAAGGAAACTCACAATGCGCTCTCTGTATACATATTGTATTGGATGTACAATGCAGCTTGGTGCTGGGAAGGCAGTATGGTTACAAGCGTTGAGTAGAGAGAGCTGGTTGGTGAGGGTGCCCAGAGGAGGGCACGCAGCTTGAGGGACGCCAAGGTCGCCGGCGGGGGCGGGGGCCGCCAGGCTGGAACGGAGGAGGTGTTGCTTGCTGGTGGCCGTAGGTAGAAAGAGGGTGGTCACAGCGGTGTGAGGTCTTATAAGGCGGGGGTAGGCGTGGGTTGATAGTTGACCCCCACTCCGTCAGGCGGCGCTGGAGGCGTAGGCTGGGGAATTCGAGAAGGTTCGGCTACTCAGCGAAAAATGGCGCTTGTAGGGGAGGATGTAGTGGATTTCTCCCCTAAAAACGCTTGTCGCTGAGTAGCCGATCCCGCTAATTCCCCAGTGTATGCCTTGTGGTCTAGGTCAACCAGCGCCGCCTTACATGACGGAGGTCAACTATTAAGCCACGCCTACCTCCGCTATAAAAGACCTGACCTCGTGGTGACCACTCTCTTCTTCTAGCTACAGCCACCAGCAAGCAACACCACCTCCTCTGCCGCTGCCTGGCGGCCCTCGCTCCCGCCGGCGAGCATGGCGACCCACAAGCTGTCCTCCTCTGAGCACCCTCACCAACCAGCTCTCTCTACTCAACGCTTGTAACCATGCTGCCTTCCCAGCACCAAGCTGCATTGTACATCCAATACAACATGTATACAGAGAGCACATTGTGAGTTTCCTTTCTCCATCCCATCCTGAGTGTGAACCAAACAACCTGTTCCCCACTACAATCTCACATGTAACAACAGTACATAACTACGATTATTAAAGTCGTTTAGCGTTCTCAGGGGATTCAACAGTTCACAATCACACTCACGTTTTTACGAAAACATATACGATGTCCTGCAGGAGAAATGTTGGCTGACGAGAATCAAGATGTTGCTTCTACAGGAGAAGGCTGTCTGATGGGCAGCTGCGGCAGGCCTTCAGCCTGCTTAGTCAGCTATCTTAGCTGTAAAGAGACCCTCTCTCCTTGTTATTCTTTCTATTCTGCCTATATCTTCACTTCTACATGTTGCTTACGTGCACAATTGTGTGTGGCGGTAACAAATAGTTAGGTACTAATTTACAGAAGTTGATAACTGCACACCTTATTTCCTTGGGTGACAAGAAATAAAATAATTCGAAATGAATATCACTTAGAATATTTCTGATACATTTCAAGGCAAGCAAAGGACTGTAATTATCATAAGTAGGAGTATGCAATAAATTAACAGTATCACAGAACATATGAAATTATTCTACAAAATACTGAAATAATAATATAATTGTCTTTCCAAGAATTGAAGGAACAGCTAAGGCATAAAAAAATATAGAAAATAAAATACAGTACAGTAGTTTTGTGTTTTTATCACGCTTTTTAGTGTTCTCATTTTGTTTCACTCAAGCAAGTTGCCTTCTCTCTTGAAAAAGAAGCTTTACACCCACCACTCGCTTTGAAATTGACGGTTCTTGTAATTTAACATTGTGATACTTGCAGAGCTTCACTCAGTGTATTTTTATGCTAGAATGATTTATAATGTACTCTTTGACACGTAGTGATAAATAATATTCAGCATAGTGAGCAGCTTCACTCCCCGATCCAGCATGTCCAAGCTGTATGCAGTGATCGGCCAGGATGACAGCGCCTTACGACAACAGCAACAATCAAGAGGTAACAATGGACCAAACACTGACTCCAACCACAGCACATACGAGCAGTGGAGCAGCGTGATGAATGCAGCACTACACCCAACACACACCACTTCACTTCTTCCAAGTCCTCCCTTGGACATTTTATATTTTTATACTTAAGGCAGTTAAGTCGTGTGGAATGCGGCCTTGAAGAGATGGACACTGCAGATGGAACTGAAAAACTCATCTGGAATATGAAAATGATGCTGTACAAAGGAAACTCAGATGGGGATAGAAAACCCCATCTGGAATATGATAGAAACTGATGCAATTGGAAAGATGCATTATAAACCAGGAGGAAGTGAGAAGAAGTCAGAAGGTGTGGAGACACAACGTACAAGGTGCGGTATTGAAGAAAGAAAAACATACAATCTGAAGAGAGAAGAAAAAAAACGTACTGTGCTGACATAAGAAGAATCAAAGATGAAGAGGTGGATCATTGAAAGGACCAACCTACCACAACTGCTGTATCCCTGATACCAGCTGGTGAAGAATGTGAGCCATGCTGGGCCACAGTACTGTATTGCTGTTGTATAGGTATAATGCTTAAAAAAAAAAGTAACGTGGTTGACATTTTTTGTGTATTTCGAAATATTTAATTCTATGTCATCTTGTAACATTTACTACATTGTTTTTTTTTTTATTATTTATGAAGGATTAGTCTCCTTTTCTATGAGTTCATTTGATCAATGTTTTGTACTACCTAATGCAATGGTGTAGCCACACTGCTGGTTGAGGCTTATCATTATTTTGACATACAGTAGGAAGGCAAGGCCATGTATCACCTGTTATTGTTTGTAGAATGTGAAATTGCATATTTTCTCCGATGCTATTCTAGATACTTAAGATCTTTAGCTCAGTTAAGCTCACACTGTAGTCACTCACTGTGTACGTGTTTTTTCTCCTGGCATAGAAGCTTTGATCTTGGAAGGAGGTATAGCAAGTTTTGTCAGATCAAACCAAGCCAGTAGAAAAACATACATACATGATGTTCTTGTTTGTAAAACGCGAAGTTGCATTAACGCCTCAGGGGCTACTCTAGTTACTGCATATGATATTACCATGATCACTGTCTATGTGTGTCATCAGTTCTCTGGTATGTAAGCTTTGGTCTTGGCGGGAGGTGGTGATTGTTATCAGGCCTGAACTGGCCCTTTAACCGTTGATTCCTTCTGTGTTAATGAGGCTGGAACATGTAAAATTATATAGGATTCTAGTAGCAAAATCCAATTGTCTGTTATCTATTTATTGAGGAACTATCTCATATAAAGTTCCAAGTGTATATCACTGTAGCTATGAGTGTTAAGATGAGGACGGAGGATCCATTAAAGAGCTCTTCTAAATACGTCCGGTTGGCGTGAGGTGTTGAGTGACAATCCCAAGGCAACCGGCTTTTACATGCTAACCTTAAGTCTTAGGGCTGCGCCTCAAGGAACTTACCCATCACGTGATGTGACCATGTCACCTCATAGCCAAAGGAAAGTTACAGGGGGTGATATGATTATATACACCCAATGTACTGCCTTGACATTTATATAAGAACTAAGGGGCTACTACAGGCCACTGTAGTACCTTGTACTGTACCCTTCTTGCACCCTCAGAGCTAATGCTCTCTTCTCTTCGTATCACTGACCGACCCCGGCCACTGCTTACAGCCCAGAGAAAAACAACACATATAGCAGTGACCGGAAGTGCAGGCGTGTACACCCTCGTAAGTTGACCAACCCTTCGTCATTTAAGTGAGATTAAGACCTGACCCAAGCGAGGTCTTGGTCACAATGAACCAGGATTCTTACCGCCGCATCATTAGTAACCTGGCGACATGAACGTGTTACTCAAGACGCCAGTACACCTGTCACTTGGCCACACACACCCAGATTAGTGATGACATCTTCTGGCTTGTCACCACCAATATAAAAGGCCTGCAGCTCCTTCCAGGAGGCATTAGCATTATTATTAGAACAGGGAAGGGGCCGACAGCTTCTTCCCAGAGACAGAACTCAGAAGACATGAGTCATGCTCGTCACTAGTCGAGGTAGGGAAGGAGACTTCCCTCCCTACTCCCAAGCTAGCAGAGTCTCCCACAGGAGACATAGTCCTGCACTCTCTTCAGCAGCACCCACTTGGCCTCCCTCAGGTCACACGTGAGTCATTGTCAGAGCGATCTCTAGGGCGAGTTACTTACGGTGGGAAGTGTATCCAATTCATGTTTGAATCAGTCATTATCTAGTAACGTAAATATAATGATCTATTAATGTGTCCATACCTTTGAGTTAATTAATAAATAGCTGTACCTAGAATTGGTGTTCAGAAGATTTCCCCTACGAATATAATACCAAGTTTAAATAACTAATCGGCCACGCTATCAATCTTCCTCACTTATCCTACAACTATAAATTCTTCCTGTATCTTCTATACGAGTTTTTACTTGATATATCAGTCATCTTATAAGTGGTTGGCCATCTTGGAAGTGGTCGGCCATCTTGGGAGTGGTTGGCCATCTTGGAAGTGGTCGGCCATCTTGGAAGTATAGGGCCATCTTGGAAGTGTTCGGCCATCTTGGGAGTGGTCGGCCATCTTGGGAATGGTTGGCCATCTTGGGAGTGGTCAGCCATCTTGGGAGTGGTTGGCCATCTTGGAAGTGGTCAGCCATCTTGGAATTGAAGTCTAAACTCTTTCAGGTACTGTACCATGTGCTTTGTATAGTGAGAAAGTGATGTAAGAATATTTGTATCTGTGGATATTGGCAGAGCAAACGCAAGTGTAGCGAGAGAGACCTGTAGTACAATATTAAGAATTAAGACAAAATTGGCAGTACTGTACAATACAGTACTGTAGAATTATTATGCCTGCCCCATTTTATGAAGTTATCAGGAATATTGCCAGTTAACAATATTACAATATATTATTTTAGTTTGCAAAATAAACAAAATTATTTTGAATTAAGAAAATTTTTTGCAGTACTGTACAGTACATTGGTCCCTCAGTTAACGAACACAATTCGTTCCAGAAGGTCGTTCGTTCGTTAACCAAATCCATTGTTTCAATGGGATATTGGGTAATTGGTTCCAGCTCACTGAAAAGTACATTCAAAGTAAAAAAAAAAATGCAGTACAGTACACTTACTTTGAGGTGTGTATGTAGAAGGTTCCTGGTTAATGATGATGGGAATTAGAAGTGGGGGTGGAGGAGAAGGGAGAAGAGAAGGAAGTGGGGATGGAGAAGAAATCACCTTCCAGGGGACCCATGCTCGATGCAGTCATTTCACCCATAAAATTTTAAGTTCACTAGGTGTAATTCAAGATTATTTTGTTCAAATCAACACTGCACTGTGCTATATATTGTCAATATGTTAAATGAATTTCAGAATGACCAATAATTGTACTGTAAAAACGTAAAAATACTCTGTGTTCAAGAGACCCACAAGCAAGATGTTTCCTCCACTGAACAGACGCCTTGGTGGGTGAGTGAAGTGGCTGATGGGCGCACCAAAAACTAGTTCCCTGTACTGCAATTATGTTAAATAAGTGTTAAAATGACATAATTTTAATATAAAGCTTGGAAAAATATTGAATAACACAACCTTCTTGATATTTACTCCAATGGAAACGAATATAAGCCCTAGAACCGATTACTGTATTGGCGGACTAATCTTCCAGCTGGTGAGCAAGCCAAAACATTTTGACACGTTTTCGTAAGAATTTCGTTAACCGAAATGAAGATTCTTATGGAAGGTAATTCGTTAACCGAAATTTCATTTAACCGAGGCGTTCGTTAACCGAGGGACCACTGTATAATTATTTATTGTTCAGTACTGCAGACATCAGCTAGCAATTTAATTTTATCTTGATAAGGCCGGGCTTAAAACTACCTGTACTAAGTAATTTTTCCTACCAAAACTGTAATTCTGGGTCTTTTTAAATTAAATTCAAGTATAATTTAGTGTTCTGTCTTTATCTACCTTATAATGTATATAGTACTGTACAGTACTAAAAGTACATAACTTGGAATGGGGTTTAAACATGTGTTTTCATAAATTATATATATGGCATAATTCAATATACAGTAGTGTCTAATCATTAATCGATTATGACACTTTTTTCAACCCTGATTATAGGTTTGGTTTGAATATTTCCTCTAAAAAATATTTCATGTAACCAAGCCTAACCTCATCCTACTCTAACCTAACAAACACTGAGGATACTTACTGTAAGCACCACCAAAACAACAATCCAAACAGTGAAATAAATATAGCACGGGAAAAATCCGACTGTGAGAAAGATTTAGGAGCACTGTAATGATAAATAGGAATATTAAACAAGTAAACAATGTGTATTTGCTCGAAACAAGGCTAACAAAGGACTTGGGTTCATACAAAGGAGTGTTGGTTACAAGACTGGCGAGGTCATCCTAAAACTATATCTTGTGCTTATGAGACCTCACTTGGATTATGCAGTTCAATTCTGGTCACTGTACTATAGAATGGATATAGAATCCCTAGAAAGAATTCAGAGGAGAATGACAAGACTAATCCCGGGCATTAGGAACCTGAGTACAGAGACAGGTTAAAGCATTATAATTTGCACTCTCTCTCGATCGAGGTGTATAAATGGAAGTCAGGGCTAAACAAAGGGGACATTGCAAAGGTACTCAAACTATCCAACCAGGAGTAAACTCGTAACAATGGTTTTAAATTAGACAAATTTAGATTTAGGCACGAAATAGGTAAACACTGGTTTGGAAATAGAACAGTGGATGAGTGGAACAAGTTACCAAACATCATCATTAACTCGAACACGCTGGATAGCTTCAAACATCGGTTGGATGGATATATGAGCGATAGGGGTTGGGTGTAAATTGGACTACCCAGTATGGGCCAATAGGCCCGCTGCAGTTTCCTCCATTCTTATGATCCTATGTTCTTATGTAATTATTAGTGTCGGTCTCACATTTTGTATCATCTTGGATCTTTTCTATATAATATTTTGACGAACTGGAAATGACGTTACATTTATCTATCACAGAAAATTGTGTTCTTTATTTTACTTGAGGCCACGAGATGTCTGCAGGAATACGATGCTAGATAATTTGTTAGAAGTGCGATGGGGATTGGGGGAGACAAAATATCTTAGGAGTTGAAGGTAAACATCACAGGGGTACACAACGGTGTCTTAAAAATATATACACTTCCATCGGAACTGGTTATTAGGACATTTAAATATTGGTTTTCCTTATTTTCTCATTTTAATTTACATATATTGTATTTAAGAGACTTTTATCTATTCATATATAACTATAGTTGAAACTTTCAGGATAAGTCTTTGGGTTCCAACCCACATACGAAGACTTTGCCCAAAATGTTCCAATAACAATTCAGATTACTAAATACAGTAGTAACCCGAACCAAATCCTGTAAATTTAGTTTAAAAAAATTAATTATGGCTCGGAGGGCGCTTTCAGGATAATAATAAGTAACCCGAATGTTAAAAAAAAATGGCTGTCTGTTATGCACTGTTGGCAAGTACTGGGCCAACAACTAGATACTGAAAGTATCTGTACCTGCCCCAGCGTTGGTCAAGTCTCTAGCGTTTCCAGTGCAACCAATATTGTTGGTAACTTAAAGTAACAAAATGGTCCATATCACGTACTGTACACTGCAAAGAAATTGCTCAAATATCCCTTATGTTTTATCATACTACTAGATATATGGTACATTTTACACCCTGCTAGATGGGTTAAAACTACTTGTTTCTTATCATTTTCTAATGTCATTATTACAAGTGAAATTTCTCAGGAAATGTCATGATGATCACCAAACCTAACCTACTGTGTTGTACCATAAATGCCTTAGATGCGCAGGAACCTAAGTCAGATAAGGTAAAGTTTCCTACTCCTGGTTTGATATAACAAAGTTTACTCTCATGTGGTTAAAACCTTGGCAGCCTTACCTAACCTAACCTTGGTTTCTAATCATTATAGTTGACATTAACTGTCATGACAGTCTTGATCCACTTTGTAGTTTTAATCATGTATTTATAGCCAACAGCTCTGTGATAACACATATACTCAGATAAGCAATTGTTTACTATTTGATAATACAGTACACACACACTGACAGCTCTTGTGTTTTTGTACAGGTTGTATACTGTAGTAGAGAAAATGGCCTTAATTCCACCTTGCAGAAGCTTATGAGACCTCCAGTCACTGTAAGTTAGGAAGAAAAGTTAGCCATTTTAAATTGAGTTGTGGACTTGGTAAGTCTTTGGTGATTCACTACCACAGGAGAGTATGAACTCTTAAGCACTTACGATGTTCGTAACCCATTAGTGAATATGGGCCCTCATGTTATTCCATTCAATCCAATATACAACTACTACAAAAAAAAATTACAAATCGAAAGAGAAGCAATATGCACAATATGGGGGTAATTTAAACTTTGTAGGATTGCAGAATAAACTTTTATTCTGAAATAAGAAACATTATTGTGTGAAGATTCAATGTACAGGACCTACACCTGTATGGCAGAGTATATCTTGTTGGGTACCATTTACAGCTAAACATGTACAGCATTAGAACTTTTTCTTTCTACTATAAATAATAGATCATACTAGATGTCAGATGACCTCACTTTCAATATAGATAAAGTTTCATGACTCCAGTCTGCTACATGCTAGTGGTTTGTACTAACTGGCAAATACTTTAAGTGAAAATACAAATGCTCTTTGTCATGGAGGTTAACTAACCAAGCCAACTTATTATTCAGTACCTTTATATTTATGTCTCCCTGGATAAGAGATGCGATACATAGGAATTATTTCGACCTTGAACTTCTTGTTTTAGCTTCTTCACCTCTGCTTGTAGCTCCTCATCACTGAGAATGTCTGTATCAAGAGCGGCAGCCTTGGCCAGGAATTCTTCAATGATCTTCTCGCCTTCCTGAAATACCCGACAAATTTAAAATACTGTACGTCGTTTTAATAAAAAATGGCCACGATAATCTACATAGTAAAACTACTTTTTAACGGACTATATTGAGAGAGGTCTGTTAGATGTGGAACCTCCGTCTAGTGAACTACTGTATATAGATATGAAAGCCCGTTATATAGCAGAACCGTTAAATGTGAAACCTCTATCTGACAGATTATATGGAGAGACAAGTCCGTTAGATGGAGGTTTCACTGTAAACCTCATCATGACAACATCTCAACCTAAATTTTGTACTTCACCTGTTTCTCCAGCTTTCTCCTCTTGACGGCCTCCTCTGAGTCATCGTCATCACCAAATTCATCTTCCAGTTCCCCAGCCTTCCTCTTGGCATACTGTAACATTATACTCATATAGGACTGTATATAAGGTCTGGATATACTGTATAAACAGAAATAGGAATTTTTCAACTGGGACTTTAAAGGACAAGATACATGGCAGGGAATATAAATACTGTATATACATTTAAAGTAACAGTGTTGAAGTATGCATAAAGTAGATAGATATTGATAATCTCTTTACATATGATCATCTTTTATACTTTTAACAACAAGCAATACATAAATTATAAAATCAATCCCTTAGAGTGCCTCTTGACTCATACCTCTATCACACTAGCTGGGAAGTTGGCCAACTCTGCCACGTGGATACCAAAACTGCGGTCACAAGGTCCTGGACACACCTGCAGTGTACAGTAAGTTATTAAACTAACAAACTGGAGTATGTAATGAAGGGTAATATGAAAGTTATAATCTACTGGAAAGTTATAATCTACATCACATTATTTACAACTTTGTATACTCTGCAGAGAAAATTAACTTCTTTCGGCTGCATTCACATTGTAAATGGAAAGCTATGCAAGTGTGTAATGCAGTACACCAAGAGTTGTATGACTGTAGCTACACAAAGAATTAATTAGTGGGAGAAATGGCATTCTATCCATTTTATTCTCACAGTAGAGCATCAATGGTGCCTGAGGGCAACTGTGTGAAGGTGATCTGTTCACAAGGTCAAATTTTCCAATATTCACCGAGTAAGTCCGATTGCGGGAAATCATTTCTTTTGTATTAAAATCCAAAACAATTTAAGAGTTATTTGTATGTACAGTATATTACCTACACATATTAAAACACACTCTCTCTCGACACATGGGTAGAACAAATATAGGAAACTGACCTGATAAAGGAGGGTAAGTGCACCATGTGCTGTGGTAGCTGTCACATGGTAATTCTTGACTGTATTCAACTCATCTGCAAGAGCTGTCAGCTCATGGAAATGTGTAGCAAACAAGCAGAATGATCCAATCTCTTTAGCTATGTGCCTGTAATGAAGTTTATGGTTAAACATAAATGTTCCTCTAGAGGTAAAGCAAAAGCAAAACCTTTCTTACATATTTCCCCTGATCCATAAATCATTAAGCACTACTCTCTAATCTTCAATTTGCATTAGGTTATGTTACACTGGTGTCAGCAGCCAGTCTCCTCACAGTCATACAACATTTCTCTCCTAACTTATTTTCCAGTTATAAACTTTATTTCACGTTGCTTATGTCACATCTAACAAACAATGATCAGGAGTGCAAGTAATGTATCAACCATCGTATGTGTGCACAACTGTCTTTTAGTCTTCAATTACATCAACTAAATAACTCTCAACATCTCTTGTTTCAGTTACAAATGCTTTATATCTGTGACAGGCAAGCTAAAATGCAGAACTTCTGAAATGGAGTCTGATATTTAAAGATCTGACTGAGTAGATTTTCCCTATGCTTCCTGACTTTTAATGCATTGAGCCAAAGATGGAAATTTAGCTCTCATAATTACCAACTAGTCAGCAAATTCTTCAAACAGTTAGTTATAAATTTACAACACCTTTAATTACATACAAGATAATGATTAGTGCAAGATAGTAAAGAGGACTTATAATTCATATAGAGACTCACTCTGATATGGCCCAAGCCAATCCAAAACCATCATAAGTTGATGTTCCACGACCAAGTTCATCAATAATGACAAGAGACTCATTGCTTGCAGACTATGGTGGGGAAAAAAGTCATATATTAAAATGTGAATAAAATGGTAAAGTATCTTAAAAAATGCAAAATATACAAAAGTCAACATCTAGTTAAACAAATGAAATACAGCCAAGGTTTTGTCCTAAAATTACACCACTAGTCTGAACCCCTAAGGCTCCCTGGTGACAGTACCCTTAAATATATCAAGTACAGTCAGTATACAGAAACTGGTTAAACTTTGGTGAGGATTTATTAAGAAGTAATTCACCAAACATCTATTTTACAAATAATAAAATGCAAGGCACCAGAAGAGTAGCAACATCGACGTAAAACAAATTTTGTCATAAAAAATATAAAACAACACAACTAAGGATTAGAAACTAACTCTAAGGATGGACGCCGTCTCCAACATCTCTGCCATAAATGTTGAAACTCCCTTCAGCTGGCAGTCTCCCGCACCCACTCGAGCTATTAAAAATATATTAATTAAAAACAAGTTACCTTAGTGGGTAAAATCTGATGATAAAATTGAAGATTAAGTGCAATTAAAATATATTTTCTACAATTTCATCTAGGGATGCCATCACCCAAACACACTACTGTACACCACATAATACTGTACTGAGGACCAATGTTTCACAATAAAACATGAAGCAAACCAGTTCAGGCATTGTCCTGAAACAAATACTGTACCCCAAGCACCTACAAAGTTGGCCACAAGGCTACATCATCAGATAAATACAGCAGTATTACATGATAACAAGGTGGGTGCTTCATACTTAAATGAAGTTATCAACTAACTGTTGAGATTTTGTCTGAGCGGCCAGCGGAAAATATTACATAAACCCAACAACACCATAAAGGCATCTCTGGTGAGAATATGTAATCAATAACTGCACAGTAGCTAGGAAAAAACTAGGCAAGTCTAGGCAACAACTGAATTATCTGTTCATGTTTTGGGCTGCCGCGTATCGTGACTCTTGTCCATGGCTGTGAAAAAACTTCTCACCACCACATAAAAATTCCACATTCTCCCACGTTTGAATCTCGATCCATTCCCAGTAGGCCCTGCCATCTACTGAAGACAGTAGCAACCTCACAACAGGAGGGGAGTGTGTCTGCTTCTTCTACACATATAAGTTACGTATTCATTCTGTAACTTTACTATAGGCTTTGTGAGTCTGATAAGAGTTGAAATAATAAGAAGGAAAAAGAACAAGATAAGTTGGTAAGTAAAATCCTTGTGAAGTGTTTCATGCATGTTGCCATGCCATTGGAAAATTATATGGTGTCGTTTTATAAATTTTTCTTCGGGAATAATGTGGTTAAAGGTTTAAACATAAAGAGAAGAACAAGAGTGAAGACACTCAACTTACCAAGGATGCTGTCCACCACAGATATTTCAGCCTCCTCACAGGCCACAAAAGAGCCCACCTGAGCCATTAACACAGCTGTGCCAACTGATCTTAGGTAAGTGCTCTTACCTCCCATGTTGGGGCCAGTGATGATGTGGAACATACCATTATCTGCAACACAATTTCTTTCCTCAATGTTCAACATCATATTGTAATAACAGTAAGGAAGCAAAATACACTTTCAGTACTGAATCTATGATCACAAAAAATAAAATAAAATTATTGCAATATAAAACGATAAAATACCAGTACAGTAGTATTTAATAACTATAACAACATAATTCAGACATGAAATCAAAAGGAAGCAAAAACCAGATTAACTTGAAAAAAAAAATATATATATATATAAATAAAAAAGTTTGCAACCCTAATGTGACCAAAAGTACACAATAACCAAGATATTACTGTCCAGAAAAAATGGTGAGAATCACATAATTGGCTACACCCAGCTGTATATCAGTGGTTACTAACCTTTATCAAAATGGCAGTCATTTGGTATAAAAGAGACATCATCCTGTAGTTCCAAACATGGGTGACGGACACTGTCCAGCTTGAGCACACCAGTACCCCTCTCCCGGAGCTTGGGCTTTACATAAGGTATGGGGGCAGAAACAGCAGCAGATGCCAGGGCAAAAATACAGTCCAAAGTTCCCAATATCTGACCTAAGTGCTGAATCACCTCAACATAACCAGCTGTAAAGATAAATTACTGAGTACAGTGAGCCTTCAATTTTACAGAGTTTTAGTTCCAAGAATTATTTGCAATATGTCAGGTATTTACTTATAAATGAAAAATAAAACACAGGTTGTACCACTCTAGTCCGGTAACCTCGGGACCTGACCGATGCCGGACCATGGAAATTCACCCTTTTCCTGGATAGATAGTGACTTGTGCTTATGCTTGGAAGCACTAGCACCACTTTCTCTGCGTCATGGTCTCTTTGAAGACATATTGGAGGGTTAAATGTCATACAGTAGCTTCTCAAATTTCGCGAGTTTTTAATTCAACGTTCTTTATTGGAACACACACAAAAAACAAAACAATTAAAAATTTTGACGGCGGAAACTCGAATTTCGACGGGTTTGAACGGCTCACCAATGTTCAGACATGCACAATCGTGTAAACAGCGTCATTTCTCTTATGTACAAAAGATTCATTATTGTTTATTACTGAAAGTCTTTTTGATTGAATTAATGTTTGTGTGTGCAAAATGAGCAATACAATTCATTAATAATACGTAGAATGTTAAAACACGAGAAAATGAGACAGCATTGTTTTCGTTGATTACAAAACCAGTGACTGACTGGTTCTACATATAAAACTGAAGAAAATAAGACCCTGGTTGTAGCTGTAGTAAAATTAATATGGTAGTTTTAAGTAATGTTATTTAATGTTAAGTGGAACAATAGAAGTAGCTAACGATAATGGTAAAGAAAAAAGAGAGATCGCGTATGTAAGTGCGCACACGTGAAAACATATCGTCATTACTGTACTTTACAGAAGAATACGAAAGCAACACTTATTTACTGTTCATATATATTTTAATTAATGTTTCTGAATTTGTTTTTATTGAATTAATGTTTGTGTGTGCAAAATTAACAATACAATTTATTAATAATACGTGGAATATTAAAACACACGAGGAGACGAGACGGCTGCCGGCATTGTTTTTGTTAAAGCTTACAAAACCAGTGTCAGATTGGTTCTACATATAAAACTGAAGAAAATAAGACCCTGATTGTAGCTGTAGTAAAATTAATGTAAAAAAATTAATATGGTTGTTTGAAGTACCTATAATGTTATTTAATGTTAATAAAAGGAACAATATAAGTAGCTAACCATTAATGGTAAAAAAAAAAAACGAGACTGAGCGTATGTAAGTGCACACATGTGAAAACATATCGTCATTACTCTACATAAGAATATGAAAGCAACACTTATTTACTGCTCATATATATTGAAGGGTTAAATGTTGTACTCTGTATAGACAAGCAGAGAGAAAGAGAGAGCAGCCGAACTGCCGGATGTAAACAAACCTTAATTTCCCGCGGCTTTGTTGTTGTTGTTTTTTTACGGGGATTAGCCCACCCGGGCACAGGTCACTGACCCACATTGGGGCCTGAGAGGCAAAAATTTAATACTCCTGTAATAATAATAATAATAATTCAGAAAAAAAAAAGAAAAAAAAAGCTGCCTATCTACCTATTGTACAAACTAAAATTGTTCCGGACCACAGGATGTTTCCAGACCACAGAATGCCGGACTAGAGAGGTACAACCTGTACTTGTATATGCTAATTCTGAACTAGGTAAAGCCAGTTGTGGTTTTAACAACTACAGTACTTGTTATTCCAATACAATACAGTACCTGTATGTGTATAGGCTGGCAACTGACTGACTACACAGGTATCACCAAATGAATGATGTCCAATGTCATAGAAGACATGCAACTTTTTTTGTGAGATGCGAGACAACCCCATTCCCCACATCAAGCTTTGCTTAATATACGTGAATTCAGATACTGCATAGTTACACAAGTCTTCTCATGCTTATAATTCCCATATAAATTAAGAATTTATTGAATTGAACTACAGTATTTTCTAACCTGCCCTTTTCCCAACAAGTTGCTAAGAATATTCAATTATTCATAACAGATATTATCTGCTTTTAATCAAAATAATACTCCACCATTCTATTTATATAATACAACAACTTAAATTAATTTAAATATTTTAGCTTACTCACATAAAAAAGCAGCAGTCTGCAATCCAAATTCAGTACTATACAGTATAGTATAATTTTTGTATATAAATATTTTAGTACAGATGACACCATCTCCATCCACCAGTTGAACACAAACCTGCAATATTCATGATTTCTTCAACAACAGTTTTTTGCTGTTCATTATAATCCTCCCTTGCTGAGATGTACTGATCATTAAGGTCTTGAAGGGTATTATTTCTGAACCTCACCCCGGCCTTGTTGGTGTCAATCATCCGGTAATTCCTGTTGTTACGTAACACTTGTTCTTCCTGTAAATAGCATTAAAAGCAAATATTATATGCAACAATACTTTACCAATAAATTCTATATGTAAACAAAATAGTAAAACTAAGACTCAAATACATAAAATATTCCTATTAGTCCTGCAAAATCTTTCTTATTAAATAACAAGATGGACAGAACCAAGAGCCAATTGCGGGGTACAGTAATTAATAATTTTCCCAAAATATTATTTTCTCTCGGAATTGGAATTTAAGGGGTTTAACTAATTAAGTACTTCCAGAATAAAACAAAAACTCCAAAATCTCACCTCAGGAAACCATAGTTGGCGAGTAATTACGATTGAAAAAATTTCATACAATTTTTCAAAGCGTCATTACAACCACTAATTACCCCACAATCAAATTAACCCTCAAACGACGGTCATTATCATATGATGAACTAAAAAAAAACGCCGGGCGTGGTCATACGACAATGAAGCATCTTTCAAATGTCCAGGGTAAAAATTTTCATATTTAGCCCGCCAGGTGTTTCTTCAGCAACCCCTTGAGCCAACTAGATAAGCCAATCACCATACAGTATGCCACAGTGTGGTGCAGAGAGTCATGGAAGGTGGAAATACAACTTTTGCTCCCATATCTCCCCTTGTGGGAGCCAGTGGGGAGCATAGCAGAGAGAGTGCAGCAGTGTTACCACACAGCAGAGCCCGGACCATCACATGAAAAGAGACATAGAAGAAAGAAAAACCTTTCTTTCTAATGAAGAAATTGATTTCGAGTTGGGAAGGAAGGAAGAATTGGAAGATGCTAGTGGTGACAGCGAGTGGGAACCAGGTGATGAAGATACAAGTAATTTCTCGGTGGAGGAAGATGAACCTTGGCAATGCCGCTCTATACCACATGACGCACCAACACAAACAATGGCTGTGCCTGCTACCCAGGAAAGTGACAGATAGTACCCAAGTAAGTGACTCTGATTCACCGCCAGATACTAATATATCCCTGGATAGGGCAAATTTTACCCGTTTGGAGTGATGGGAGAGATTTTGTGCCAAACATTCCAGACTTTGATTCATTGACACCAGGTCTATAAAACAAATCCAATTGAGCGATATACTGTACTGTACAGTATATCTCAATTCCATGAGATTTTTTCAATTTTCTAAATTAGCCCGTCTGTGAAGGGCAGTAAAAATTCTCCGAGCCCGACTTTTGAGGGTTAAAGACCTTAGATTTTGAAGAACAGTAATAGCATTAAAACAATGCCTGTTTTTCTTTAAACAGTTCAGGTAAGCAGTGTTACCTCCAACTCCAACCCCCCCTCCCCCAATAGATACGCATTTTCAGATTTTCGCACTTTTTGGAATGGGGTTCTGCCCCAATTAGTGTAATTCATCGAGGTTCTACTGTATATGTACTCCTGAACATGTTCATTAAGGATCTGTTGTCCTCAAATTAATACAGTGGTCCTTCAGTTAACGAACGCCTCGGTAACGAAATTTCGGTTAACGAATTACCTTCCATAAGAATATTCAATTCAGTTAACAATATATAGTGCAGTGCAGTGTTGATTCAAACAAAATAATCTTGAATTACACCGAGTGAACTTAAAATTTTATGGGTGAAATGACGGCATGAAGCATGGGGTGAGTTCTCTTCCACCCCCCACTTCCTTCTCTTCTCCCTTCTCCTCCACCCCCACTTCTAATTCCCATCATCATCATCATCATCAACCAGGAGCCTTCTACATACACACCTCAAAGTAAGTGTACTTTACTGCATTTATTTTTACTTTGTATGTAATTTTTGGTGAGCTGGAACCAATTACCGTACCCAAAATCCCATTGAAACAATGGTTTCGGTTAACGAATGACCTTCTGGAACGAATTGTGTTCATTAACCGAGGAACCACTGTATCTGTATAATTACTTGTCCAAATAACATCTCTACTATTTTAATTACTTTTTAACACTAATTACTCGCTGCCTATGGGTTTTCAAGGTCACTTTTTGGTATTTATGTGTTATTCTGGATGTACTTAAGTATTTACACACATTCAATTTCAATTCTGAGGGAAAAAGATGTTTTTGGCCTAAAATCCTATAAGGAGTAAGGCTTATTGTTTTGGCCATTATCTTGATCCTGCCAATTTTGTTTAAAATCTCAGTACATGTACTCTTGAACACGCTGATTAAGGATCTGTTGTCTGCAATTAGATATCTGTATAATTACATGTCCAAATGACATCTAAAACATTTTAATTTTTCTAATGTTTACTACTTGCTGCCTATGTTTTTTTATAAAATACAATAAGGATGACAACCAACTAACAGATCATAATTACTTTTGTTATAAGCTGCTGGTTCAGGTGAACTTAAAAATCTTACTTATACTGTACACCCATAAGTAATACCTTGAGTGTGACCCTGAAGAAGTAACCCAACTGAGCAGTTGACTCCAGTTTTATACTCTTGCCAGCATCAAGACCAAGGTCATTCGCAGCCTTCCTCAGTTGACTCTGGATGTCTGCTTCCAGACCATTCATTGTTTCTCGTAGTTCTGAAGAAGTAAACTACATCAGTGATACTGTATCATTAAAGACTCAAAACCCATCACAGGAACTTGAACAAGACAGACAGCATTCAAAGAGGTAAACTATGCTAAGAAAAAATAAACAATAAATGCCAAGGATACATCAATATAGCTGGTGAAATGCAACTTTGCCATAATGAATTTTGAACTCACTTATGAAAGGGTTAAGGGGCTAGCTTTACCACACAATCATGACAAAGCAAATTACTGTATCTTACTTTATATCAAAATCTATTCTTATATTTTTGAAGCTAACTGTTTCTAAGTATTCTCTTACTCTTCCACTCTGGAAGATTAGTTCTGAAACATTCCACTGTTTCTCTAACATCCATTATTTACAAAACAATTTAATTTCACCTATTACCTGCCAAGGATTCATCAAAATCTGGCTTGATGACGTACTCCCCTTGATTTGCCTGCTCCATATCTACTGTTGTCTCAATCATTTCTTGATATTTTCCTAGATCTGACAGCACCTCCTAGATGACACAAAAACATTTATAAGAACTGAAGAACAAGACACCATCACAGATTTAAAGTTTAAACATACAGTATTTACAGACTGACTGTAAAATACTTGTCCTTTGCATGAGAGAAAAAAGTTCAATGGTTAAAAGAAAAATTCACAAAGCACATCCTCTCACCTCCACACACAATTTTCACAAAACTATGACATGACAGAAAAATTTTGAAAGGCAAGGACAAAACATGACAAGAAAACAATCAGATTTTAAGAACATGTGTAACTTATCTGCCTCACCTGGACAGGGGTTGTGAACACTGCCGCTAATGAAGCAACATGAGGACCATCGTATTTGGCTATTGCTTCACATAAATTCGGTAAGCGTTCAACACATTGGTAAAATCTGTAAATAACAATAATTATATAACATTAATTTGCTGCTTATGTCTTCAACATCCAGTATGTTCAATAAATAAAAGTAGAGTTTTAAACCTATGATCTCCACAACCATGGTTAGTGAGGAATGACTACTTATACAAGGACTCCTAAACTGAAATTGCAGTATAGTAGAGTATCATGAAGCCTACTCATGATAGATCTGCATGACAAAACTTAAACATACTTGAAACAGTCTTGGAGTGTGGCTGCCTTGCGTGCCAGTTTCCTAGAGAGGCGGTTCAGGTCAGGTACACGACGAAGGTGTTCCTCCCCAAGACTGTGCCGCAGCTCCACAGATGACACCAGAGCCTCAACCATATCTTGTCGCTCTTCTGCAATATACTGTAGTAGTAATACAAACTCTGAATGATCTAAGTACAGCAGCTGCCTGCAGACATTACTAAGAGAATTAAAATGAAGAGAGGGAAGAATTGTCTTTCTTCTTTTATAAGTACAGGTTGTACCTCTCTAGTCCGGCAACCTCAGGACCTGACCGGTGCCGGACCATGGAAATTCACCCTTTTCCTGGATAGATAGTGACTTGTGCATACACTTAGAATCACTAGCACCACTTTCATTGCTTCGTGGTCTCTTTGAAGACATATTGAAGGGTTAAATGTTGTACAGTAGGTTCACAAATTTCTCGAGTTTTTAATTCGACGTTTTTTATTTGGACAAAAAAAAGTGAGATCGCGTATGTAAGTGCACACATGTGAAAACATATCGTCATTACTCTCCATAAGAATATGAAAGCAACACTAATTTACTGCTCATATATATTTGAATTAATGTTTCTGAATTTAAAACAAAAATTCTACCCACCAGTGGTGGTAAAGTTGAAAACATAAAGACAGCCAATGTTGTTGTGTGTGTTTTTACTCGGATGACGAAGTTGCCAAGCCATCAGGGTCAACTCTAGCTAAAGCTGTAGAACATAAGAACTGTTCTGTGTTGTTTTTAGTATTTATTTAACTTTATCTGTGTTATTTTCGTGGGTTTATTAGGATGTTGCTATATTACAGGTAGTAATTCCCCAAAATAGTAGGGTAAATAAGGCCCAATTTAGCCAAACATCGAAAGTACCAGACTCAAATTAATTTTCTCCATGGGCAAACTAAAATTGTTCCAGACAACGGGAGTTTCCGGACCACAGACTGCAGGACTAGAGAGGTAAAACCTGTAGTAGTACTACATCAAATTATTAGTATATTTTATATTAACTTGATTTCCAGGTTTTATACTGCTGTGCTCGCTGCAAATTACTGCCAACACTCTTCTTACACGCATCATAAAAATATGGTTATTTTCCACTTTCCACCTCAGGTCCTTCACACATACCAATTATCATTACTTTTGTGTTTGCAACATTATTTTCCATACTTTTTGACTCCATTCCTTCCTTCCATTTCATAAATTTCTATAATATCTCCTTAATAGTATTTGCTGTGAGCACTATGTCATCAGCATATAACAACTGCCATGACAGACCAGTTCAATCTTACAATAGTGTCTAACATCATCATACACAGAAGAAAGTTAAGTGTATTATCTATAACTATAATCTCACTCCTTTAATGATATATTAACTGTATTAAGACAATAACTCACGGCTGACATGTTTTTTAAATAAGTTATGGAAACCTCAAGTTAAAAGACTCACCAATCTTGTTGATATCCACCAAGGGTTGTCTGAGCCACTGTAGAAGTAAACGATGTCCTACAGGAGTCTGGCATTTATCTAAGAGACCAAGAAGAGTGTGCGTCTTGTTGGCAGCCCCAGATGTTTCCGCACCTCCAATGGGCTCCACGTGCAGTGCCCGAACTGCTGCACTATCTAGTCTCATGTATTGGCTCAGATCATATGTGGATAATGAGAACTGCCCAAAGTTTGACTCATCACCGAGGAGCTACAAAAATTGGAATTCTCAAATCATTACAGACAAAAATCCTACAGAAAAAAATAAATAAATAAAAACATCAATTACGTATACAGGGTGATTCAGCAAAGAGCACATTAAATTGGAGAATGAAATCCTTGGATAATTATAAACCACAATGTCTATGGTAAAATGCCAGATTCTGCACAGTTTCCATGTTACAATACATTTAAGATGTATTAATTAGAGTGAATTTGATGTGAACTCCCCAGGTTTTTGTAATAATTTATTCACAGATGTGTACGGGCCTGCATTGAAGCAGAAGGGGGCAACTTTGAACATTTCCTTTAGGTTGTAACAAAAAAGGGTCACACTGTAGAGATCTGTGAGTAAATCATTACAAAAACCTACGGGGCTTTCACTTCAAATTCACTCTCATTAATACAACATCTTAAATGTTTTGTAACATGGAAACTATGCAGAATCTGGCATTTTACCATAGAGACATTGTGGTTTATAATTATCCAAGGATTTCATTCTCCAATTTAATGTGCTCTTTGCTGAATCACCCTGTATATTAGTGATTTACATTTATGCAAAAATCAAGAAACTCACTCTACTTTATTCTCATGAAAGATTAATGTCTCAAGTGTACTTCCCATATAATCTTGTCCTAGTTCTACCACTTACTTCCAGATATTTAATAACTGCTGCCAGTGAAGCAACAGCATTTGTACGATCAAGCTCTGGGCGAGCTGAAACAGCCGCTGCATCTCTACCCTTGGTACGCAACAGACGACCTAGGTCTTGGGCTGCATCCTTATTGTTGAACTCTCTCCTCTTCCTCTCACTAACAAGTAATGGGTTCCGAGACAACACCTGTGGCATTATAATCAGTAAATGGTAATCAACATAACCCCAAAATAAATCAAGACTGTTTATTGTGAAGAGGAAAAAAAGTGGTCAATTCAACAAAGTGTAGACCTAACTTTTAAAAATAATAACACTAAACAGGATGTGATACTTGGAGCTATCACAGTTACACACTCAAGAAGTAAAAGAATTTATGTTACTTAACTCCTCATGTACAGGGACCCCCCCCCCCCCTGAGCTGAATAAAATCATCTGGCATTAGCCAAATGAAATATTAAAAGTGGCATCCTTTTAGTTATGGGGTTAGTGGTGAAAGTCTGCTAACCCCATATGTACAGAGTCCCTTCTAAGTTGAATAAATTAGTCTGGATTTAGCCAAATGACATATTAAAAGTGGCCCCCTGTAGTGAAGGTGTTAAACCTACAAAAAAAAGAAAAATAATAATAATAATAAAATGTTTCATGAGTTTACGCTGAGAAAAATTATTGGAATCTAAAATTGTGCATTGAAAATTACCATAACACAGGTTACAACTAGCACGGAGAAATGTTAGGTTTTTAGCCATATGATTATTAATATTTTTTTTTGGGGGGGGGGGGAAAGGGGGGGGGCACATTCTGTATGAAAGATTGTGTTTGACCGCGAGTAAAAATAAAAAATAAACGCAATCTACCTGAAATTACGGGTTGATAAATAAACATAACATAAATCACAGCTCCGCTTCACCCTGTCTGAGTGCTACTGGGTGGCTAGTCAGACACACAGTTCCAGTCCAGTGCCTCCCAGAGCCCAAGCATATGTTCACTTGCCACAGATACACACCCAAGCTCTTACTTTATCTTATCTTCGTGGATATTATTCCTTGTTATCCCTCACTTAGAGATAATTTCACTTACTATTTTGGTTTTCAGGAATGCATCCCCATTGTTAAATGAAAGATACCTGTATACAGTATAAAAAAAATAATAAAAAATAAAAATACAGGCATCCCCAAGTGATGGCAGTTCAGGTTACGGAAATTCGCTCTTACGGATTTTGTAAATTATGACCCATACATCTGGGATACTGGCAAAAAATTCGCCATTACAGCAATTGGGTATAAATTTTATAATTTTTTTTTCAATACCTGTACTATTAGAAAAAATCACAAATAATAAAATTTATTTTGTGGGGATTTCTTGGTGGTTGCTACAAGACTGTACAGAGGGGACGCCGCGTACCCATGCCACACCAACCTACTGTTTGATGATGATGGTTTACAGGGGGAGGCAGGATCCAGTTGTGTCCCTCCGTCTCCCTCCCAGTATCACCGATTGCACCACCTTACCTCACCACCTCACCTAACGCAGCACTCAACACCGTTTGTAGTAAGTTAAATTCAAGTGTTTCGTATGTTTATTATCATATTATATCATAAAATAATCATTGTATGTGCCGAAAATATTTCTTTGGGAAAATCGGTTTCGCGTTACGGACAAATTTTCAAGAACACATACTGTACCGTCCATAACCCAGGGGATGCCTGTACTGTTTATGGTCACTTGCCATTATTAAACACAAGGTGCTTACCTGTTTAAGCTTGACACCATCAGGACCCAAATCACCCATAGGGACAAGACACTCCCGGGGCCCCAGCTGTACCACCAGAGCCTCCAGGTTACTGAAGGTGTCATTGTCACTGAACTCAGACACAGTCATCAGCCGGCTGGTAACATCCACAAAACCAACTCCCACAACCTTTAGTAAATAAACCAATTATGAATAAAACAAATGATTACTTGATGAAAGATGATAATTCACTACTGATCCAAACTGCCTATTAAAATTTCCATTTTCTCCTCCAAGAGGTAAAGACACAATAGGGTAAACATTATAAGGTAGCGAGTGATATATACTTCTTACCCTCTGTCCATTTTCTGTAGCTAGTTTTACAGCTATAACACCTGTGGTAACTGTTTGTTCATTGTTAACACCAAAAAGGACCTCCTCAAACTGACTCAGATTGCCAGGAGAAGCCTGAAATACAAGAGTTATATATAAGTTACAGTATTAATTTACACTATACAGGCACACACTCTCATTTGCATCACAGTACTTGTATTAAATCATTCTTAATAATAATAATAATTATGGTAGCCCCCCGTGTAGGGAGGATGGCCGACCCAAGGGCCACCTCGGCGTAAATTTGTTTAAGGTGTAGAAGCTGTTGCTAACACAACAACCACACCCTAAGTTAACGAGTTGCATGACCCAGTGTCAAGGAATAGTCCGAGAAGACCGGACTACTCGCCAACTGCACTGGCTAACCATTACCCCGGAACACGATCCGTAAATCGATTATCATCCAGTTTCCCAATTACTGCTGGGTAGACAGAGGCAAATGTCATAAAGAAACTTGCTCATAGTTTCACCCTACCCAGGGATCGAACCTGGGTCCCATCGCTTGCGAGGCAAGCATGCTGACCATACACCACAGGTCGCCAAAAAATCATTCATACACCATCTACTGGACTACCAAGTAATGTTATTTTGCTTATAAGTGATCTGGTAATACTTGTTCTTACTTCCCATATAGAACAATCCTCACCACAGGACCATACATTAAGTCTTTCTCAATATTTGCAATACAATACTGTATAACCTTTCTGATTATAATCATACACTGTTTCTAATATATGTACATAATTTTATATCTTCTATATGATTTTTGATCACTACTTCTTGATCATCTTATTTTTCAAACTGTGAAAGAGAGTTACTGAGGAGTACAGTACAGTATCTCTTATAAATGGACCACAAGAACTAACCTTATATTCCACCTCCCAGTCATTTTTACAGGTAGACTTCTGTTTGTATACTTCTACCCGGTAGTGCTTCACCAGCAGGAGGTCCCTAACGAAAGACTCAAAGTTCAGCCGCCTTAGCACCACCGACTCCAACTTCTTATCACCTGTGAAATATATAGACACAGTACAGTACTATGATACTTCTAGTTACCAGTACAGTTCTATCTATCTACTGTACTGTATCTATTTTCTCTGTTCCTTCCATGTTGGGTTGGATCAAGTAAGAAAATAATATTATTAACTTCTAATAATTTGTAAAATGCCCAATAAAAAAAATTAAAAAAAGAAAAGAAATTATTATCTAGTGAATATTCCACATCACGTTTAACACCATTCCTTATGTACAGCAGTGTAATATAAACCTTCTTTAAAAATATATGGTAATTATGTACTGTATAATTTTTTTAATAACTGTACAAGTTATTTAAATTTCAAATACTATATGCAATCCCTGAGTTGTGAACGTTCTTTGACCCTATTCATAAATGAATCAGTTTGTAAGTCAGAATGGTGTTAATCCCAAAGGTGAGGTGAGGGGAGGTTTGGTTAGGTTAAAATACAACCTTGCCCTACAAAACAACAGCCTAAGATCTCATACTTAAGAAATAATGTATATAAATACCTGTAAGTAAAGTCATGCTTAACAATATAAAATACCTGTAATGTAAAAAATTTAATTTAATTAAAGTTTTTGTGATGAATACAGCATAGTGCTGTATTGGGATCACATCTGTAAGTCAGGTGTTAGTAACTCAGGGACTGTCTGTACTGTACAATAAAACCAACAGAAACATTAAAATATCTGGTGACATGACTTGGTATTCAATATAATTGTGTCTGCAGGTAACTCTGGAAAACCTGCAAACAATTGACCTTTAGCAACATATATTAATAATCATTGGTTGTGGAGGAGCTTGGTGAGGGGGATATGACCTACCTTTACAAACAAAATCATTCAAAATGAAGAACATTATCTAGAACTGACCTGATCCAAGTAATTTGACCACTGAATTAGTACGGAAAAGTTCTCGAGCGGCCAGCAGCGCGTCCTGGCCATGAACAGTGTAGAAGTCTCCTCGGTCAAACACCCGCACAGTCGTGGTAATTTTCTGAGCGAGGAAAATGTAAAATGTGAAGAAAATACAAATTGTTAGAGAATTAACAAGAAAAAAAGCTAATAAGCCCTTCCTTACTCATTTGGCAATGATCAGTGGTCCTCTCCTACTAAAATCAGATCATACATCAGTAACAGCCTCTTCTAACTTGCTGCAGCACAGATATTTACTAAGATAAGGTATGGAATATGATCTACCAGCCCAAGCCGTGGAATTCAGAGCAGTACTGGGCTTCAAATTAGCCCTTGAAAAAATTACCAAGAACAATGGAGGGAACCTAATAATGCCTCTTACAATTATATATCCAACACTTATGGCCAAATCATGTTACGAAATTCTTTTTTTTTTTTTTTTTACATTTCTGACACTGAAACCATAATTCCATCCCTACAAGAAATATTCAAAAAACATTCAGTAAAAATATCTATAAACACACACACATCATAGTTTAATGGCATCCTTGTTCATATTACCATCCTATTAAACCTTTTACAAACTATTTAATGAAGTCGGTAGTGATATAGTGATACAGAATTCTACTGGTATATTGAGACAAAGTTTAACACAAGGTGAGGGAAGTGTTGTGTCTCACCTCAGGTAGACTCTGGTAGAAGGACAGGAACCCTTGCTCATTGGCACTATCTGTAAGTTAAAACATTCATCTATTAATATTAATTACTGTGAGTGTGTATCATTATGGTACAGAGGTATATAAGGGTGTTATTTACCTAAAGTGAGCTGTTCCTTGGGCTGTACAGTGGCCATGGTTAGCGCGGGAACCTTTAATCAGTGTTGCCATTTAACATAAGGGTTATGTCCTCGCACTTAATGGACAAGTTAATATAAATGTCCAAATAAAGAAGATACACTAAAAATATAAAATACCAAAATGGGTTATTAACAATTTATTAAGTAAAAATAAGGATAACAGTAAAACATAATATCTTATTGTACATTACAGTACTTATAACCCGAGGAAAATAATAATTGATTCTTCTAGAAGATTGAAAATAATATAAAATAAATAATATCACCCGTTTTACTCTCCTAAATGTGCACCTTCACTGGTGTTATACAGTGAAGGTGCACTGTATACTGTATACAGTGCACCTTCAAAGAAATGAAAAGCAATGTAAGTGATTTATATAATCACTTCCATTGCTTTTCATTCAATTGTTTTTCATTCATAGAAGTGTAAAGTGTAAAAAAATGCAAAGTACGTACACAATAGAAATTACAAAATAACAGCAGTTAAGTCACAGTAATAACACGTAAAACTAAATCACTTCATGTTTCCTTATCTGTACAGATACTATACAGTATAACAAAAACAAATAATTACAATGGTTGATTTTCAAGGAAGGCATAAATTATGAATAACTTCAAGCTTATCAACCCATTCCTATTGGGCTACTTCATAACAACACCCTGTTCAGTGTTTATACCTTCACTGCCTTACTCAGCATCACCGTCCTTATGCGTATCTAAAGCTATCTTCTTCACTAGCTTATCATTAACAGAAATACTGGAGCGTTTTTTTTTCCACATACTGCTTCTAGAATGGAGCAGCCCAAGGAGTGTTTTTTTTTTCAAAACGCTTACAGCTGAGAAAATCCTTTCTGCTGTTGCACTAGAATTCAATTTTTATGGGTAACTGCATCAAATATTCTGTCCCTGCCAAAATTTCCCAAATTTACAGTTGATTTTCCCATTTCCTCATTTGTGTCACAGATTCCCTAAATCTGGGGATAATACTCCATGGCTGGCAACAATGCTTTTAGGTGGCGGTCTATAGAGGTGAAGGTCGTGATGCGCAATTAGTCTTTTTGGTCATTTAATGTAATATCTTAATATATCTCTTACCTCACTAACGGTAAATTGTCATTCAATTACATTTATAGCTTTAACTACGACACAAAGGTTCAGGTACAGTGATTCCTATTTAGTAATAGTACCGACATTATCTGCAATTTTAACTAAGGGATTAAATTATAATTTTGCCATAATTTTACCTGAAAAACCTTGATAAAAACAAATTACAGCCAGGAATTACATATGGCACGAAATCATCATCCGTACCTGTCACAAGCGGGGTACCACAGGGCAGTGTATTGGGCCCGCTGTTGTTTGTTTGTTTCATAAATGACATGCCTGACGTTGTACACTCCTCCATACAAATGTTTGCTGATGACGCTAAGTTATTTCGGGATATAAAGAACCAAGCGGACCGTGAAGAGCTGCAGAAGGACTTCTGTGGGCTCCAAGAATGGTCGAAGAAATGGCTGCTGAGATTCAATGTCACGAAGTGTAAGAGGATGCACCTGGGGCGTACCAACGATAAGGAGGTTTATCATATTTTTTTTTTCTTTTATCCTCTTCACCACTGATCGGCTCGTTAGCCACTTGGGCGATCGGTCACGTCTCTGTTACGCACTGTTGGCAAGCACTGGGCATGCACCGGCTCCTGAATGTACCTGAACCTGCTCCAGTGTTGGTCAAGTCTTGTCTTGAAAGAGCTCACACTCGGTGCCGTCACAACACTTTCTGGTAGATTGTTCCAAGAGTTCACAACTCTCACTCCGAAAAAGTTTGCCCTCACAGTTTTTTGGACTTGCAGCTTCTTCAATCTAGAGCTGTGACCCCTTGTGGGGCGAGCGTCCGCCAGCTCCAAGTAAGGACACTCAACTGAGTAGTGCCCTTTGAGATGCTTATACACCTCAACTAGGTCACCCCTAGCCCGTCTGTCGTATAAGCTAGGCAAGTTCAGGCGCGCCAATCTCTCAGGGTAGCTGAGGTGCCGAAGTGCAGGCACCAGTCTGGTGGGCCCTCCTTTGAACATTTTCAACCAACTGACAGTCCCTAGCATATCTCGGGGACCAGACGGGGTGACAGTACTCCAGATGGGGAAGCACTTCACTCTTGAAGATCGTTACGAGGGACGGACCGTCTAGATATCTGAACGACCTTCTTATAAAACCCAATAATTTATTTGCCTGATTTTCCTTCTTCTCGCAATGGCCCGAGAACTTCAGCTCAATGTCAACATACACACCTAGGTCCTTCTCACACACAGTCTCAAATAGTGCAGTTTCTTTATCCCGTTGGGACATATGATACGTCTCCTTACCGTTGGTACGCCCCAGGTGCATCCTCTTACACTTGTGGACATTGAATCTCAGCAGCCATTTCTTTGTCTCAACGGGATGAAGAAACTGCACTATTTGAGACTGAATGCGTCCAGAAAATTGTGAGGGCAAACTTTTTCGGAGTGAGAGTTGTGAACTCTTGGAACAATCTACCAGAAAGTGTTGTGACGGCACCGAGTGTGAGCTCTTTCAAGACCAAACTTGACCAACACTGGAGCAGGTTCAGGTACATTCAGGAGCCGGTGCATGCCCAGTACTTGCCAACAGTGCGTAACAGAGACGTGACCGATCGCCCAAGTGGCTAACGAGCCGATCAGTGGTGAAGAGGATAAAAGTAAAAGTAAAAGTTATCTTGTAGTACACCCGAGCGGAGTAACCTGGGTTGATACAGCACCACTGTGACCGCCACACCATCCACAGCAACGTGTGAGCGCATTCAACACAGTTACTACCACCACCACCAACACTAAATTTCCACCACCACCATCCCATAGCAGCCAGGACTACTTCCATAATACCAAATCTACACCCCACTACCACCTCCATAATGTCACTACTACTACCATCTGATTAACGGGGGCCTGATCCAGGGAAGCCCTGGGGGTCCAGACCCCTTTTCATCAGAAAATTCCAGTACTGTACTTGTTCTTTAATGCAGTATTGTACTCAGGCATTTTTGTACAGTAAAAGGTAATTACTATTGACCTCAAAATGGCCTCAAAATGCCCATGATATTGGTCAGATTAAAAAAAAATCGGGGTGGGGGGGGGAGGGGCTCACAGCTGGGTGGGCTCGCTGTGCTCGCCATGTTCCACCACCCCCGACTTCTTGGTCCCCGCTTTGATATTCCTGGATGAGCCCCTGCACCACTACCACCTTAACACCTCTACTACTACCCTAACAACAGCATCACCCCATTACCACTACTATCACCACCCTACCACTGCCACCCCAATACCACTACTACCACCACCCTAAGGGCACTGAGACCACCACCCAATACCACCACTACTACCACCACCACAATACCCCCAACAGCACCACAGCAATACAGTATCACCACAACCACCACCCCAGCACCACCACCACCACACCACCACCACCACCACCACCCTCGCCTGCCCCTCCAGGATATTTCCTAATAGCCTCCTAAATCCTCCGCTGGACATTATTATAAACAATTATTGACAGTAATTGTAGCCATCAGCGGTGGTCCAAGACGGGAGGGGTGAGACCTTACTAAAATCTCCCGAGACAATAATTTTCCAAGCACACACACATACACGTCTCCCTGCCTCTCTCCTCCATGGTTAACGAGACAGAATTATTTTTCAGAGTGGTGATTAGCGCTGTCCTGAGAGATAAGGGTCTTGAGGTGTGCAGGGCCCTACAATAAGCATAGGTTAACAAAACAAAACTTGATTGATGACTTTTGATGTCATTATAAAGTACTAAATGTCTCGTCTAATACCTTCTTATTTAATCTATGGGTGACATGATTACATCAATAAATGTCAAGGAAGGAAAGTCGTGTGTTAAATGGGAGAGATACAAGACGTGGACGAGTGGAGGAGACTGTAAGGGAGAGAGAAAAACAGAGAGAGAGAGAGAGAGAGAGAAAAACAGAGAGAGAGAGAGAGAGAGAGGAGACGGGTTGCAGGTGAGGGAATCGATCAGCTGGCATTCCTGGCTCACCTGGCCAGGGTGGCGAAGCCCAGTCGCTCTCACTCCGCCATGTGCGCTCAATCCACGCTCACTCCTCCCTCCTCTCACTCTCGTACTCATTCATAATTCACCCACCACCAAGATATCGATTCCGAATTCTTATTATCTAGTCGGAACTAGTAAGTTGTCGACGATGCGGTGACGAATGAAGAGGGACATGTTAGTGTGACGGTGGTGACGTGAATGATGTTTGAAAAATTGGTACCTGTTGTGGAGTACAGATGGGTAGAGTGATGGCGCCTAGAGTACAACAGTAGCTAGAGTGACAGTACTTACATCTTGCCAGAGGGAGAGCTTGACAACTCCTACAGCCAACTTCCGAGGTAAGGCAAACGCTACAGCAGTACCTTCATATATTCTATCAGGTTACTTTATTTTATTTAAAAGATTTAGAAAGGACATTACAGGTTGAAGTTCAGGCTCAAATAAAGTTTTCAAATGATAGCAGTACACTAACACTGTGTTCAGTTTCAATGTATAATATTGTTACAGTGTTTTGTACACTGAAAGTCAAGGCACATCAATTTCACACTCAAACAAAATACTGTCCCACACAAACCTTAACAGTAAGTTATTATTAAAGAGGACAACAGGGGAGGGGTGGTCCTGTGACACTTGGTTGCACTCACTACGGGACCACCTGATGATATCTCCAATTCCCCAGTAATGTTCTATAGCAATCTTTACATTATATTTCCCGCCATCTTATTTAACTTACGTAAGTCAGTAAGGCATCGTTTTTATCTAGTTCCAGAGAATTTAACTTACGAACCTTTGAGAATCAATCTTTATGTCGTAGTTTAATTCAACCAAATTTCATATTTTCAGTTGGGAGATAAATTTAGCGTACGAACCTTTGTGAACCAGACCGTTGGGTGTTGAAGGCTTTAAAGGAGTTTAGATGATGTTCAGTGTAATGGCGTGACACATACCTTCTAACCTTTGCCTACAGCCACCGCTTCCCTTCCCCTCCTGTCTTGTAGCTATTAATTTTGGTGCATGTCTGCAACAAGGGGGCATACACTGTTGAACATTCTGTTTCATTGAACACTACCTAACCTGTAAACTAATGAACACAGACCCATTTCTTGAATACTTTTGAAACTTAACTATAAAATGAGATTATGACCATTAAGCAACTTGTTCAACGATGAAAATCTCCTAAAATTGCGATCAAATATTAAATCCTTGTGGCAGCCATGTTAGTGAGTTAAGTTTAGTGTACCTGGAGTTGGTTAGTTCAGCAGGATAACACAGGCCCTGGATTATAGAGAATGATTATAGTTGGGGTTAATGGGGAGAGTGTGTGGGGTGGGGAGAGTGTTTGAGGAGGAGGAAGCGAGTGTGTAGGGAGGAGAAAGTGCGTGTGGAGGGGGAAGGGGAAGTGTTTGAGGAAGGGGAGAGTGTTTAGATGCTTAGATGAGGGGAATGGAATGGAAGAAGGGAAGGGTAGGTGTGAGTTAAACTGTGGTCAGGAGTTAGAGAGAGGGAGGGAGACAGACAGACAGACGGAGGAAGAGAGGGGGGGGGGTGAGGGCAGGAGAGGTAAGGAGGTTCGTGTCAATACTTAAGCTCACCGCCGTTCGAGTTAGCCTAGTGTACCAAATTCCTCGGAGTCTTCCCTCTAATCTGGCGTAAGATAATCCTTCCCAAGATCTCCACAAAGTATCAACAAACATTTTAAATGAATTTTCGACCAGGTGTTGCCGAAGCTTAGGTGAATGTGACAAAACATCTAACTTAATTTAATAAGGATACAAAGATGGGGACTAAATTAAAGTAAAATTTCCACTGAGAATTTAGCATAAATGCTTCCTAATGCACAAAGGAAAAAATTCAACGCAAGAACTTTAGAGAATAATGATCCAGTCGCCTTTTCGGTTCAGTTTTTACGACACGAGGCTTTAATACTCTTGTAAAATACTGTACCTGCACTGTAAGGGAGGGGTTCTGAGAATTACAGTCCAAGTCATTTTTTTTCTCTCGAGAATAGAAAGACCTGTTTATGATGCTATTTTCTGTGTTTAAATAAGTTCATACAGTATTTATCGTTATGTTTAGCCAGCCTTGTATACTACGTACCTTCCCTTTTATTTATTTTCAGATATTTTTTTGCGAGAGGATGTTTTTACCAGTACGGGTTAAATCATTCCTAACCAAATTCTAAGTTCATAACCTGTTTTCCATTTAATTTTGGTCGTCTTCTTAGCCGCTAGCTTTAAGTCACCAACACGGTTATGTTTTTACAGTAAGACTATCTGTTAAGCTCCTCGGGTTGATGATCTTGGTGGCCTTGGGACTACGTTAGGTAATTGTATCTCGTGTATATATTTAGACGTAATCAATACTTGCCAGTTTTCCCGACAACTTTTCTACGGAGGTGTGTTAAGTTTCATGGTGCCAGGGAAGGATTACAAAGGATCCTACGATGGATATTCCTAGTAATTCAAGATGTAAGGATATACTGTCACATGAAGAATCTCTACCCCAGCATGTATCACGTAAGGATTAACCACCCTAACCTAACCCAACTTTACCTAACCTTACTCTATCTGTCCTTACCTCTCTCCCTCCAAATAGCGTTAGGGTGATTAATGTTTGGTGAAATAAACTGGGGTGGAGATTCTTCAGGTGGTCCGCAAAATTATAACGAGGCTGTACCTTAGCTTGATAACGTTCACTAAAAAGCACCAGTTTTAAAGTTAGGAGACGTAATTGAGGCAGAGAATTTTCTTTAGCAGATTATAACTCAATTTTGTCGGGTGTTGAGTGATCATATCCATTTAAAGTCGAGTCTTGAGGTTCATATTCATACCATCATTAAACGTCATTTTAAAGGGTTGCAGATAGATGTACTGTACTACTTTCGTGAATCTGCTCCATTTAGTTCTACAATGACGGGATTAATTAACGTCCACCGTCAAATAAAGACTATTGTGTATCCAGGGTTAGGATTTATAAACAATGATAAGCCATTAGTACCATTAAACGCCCGCGGTGACCTGTTAGTAGTCTGTCACACACATATCACCTTTGGTTCAGACGATAAGAGCGTGGACTAGACTCCGTGTTTCATTATGCAACACTAAACTGTAAAATAATTATTGGCACTCCGGTCTCTGCCTGGACACAAAACTACGAGTATATGCATAGAATTATCAAAGGATTAATGCGCACCTAGCGTAGAGCAGTGGTCCCTCCCTCCAGCTGGGGATTAATAATGCTATACAAGGTGGCCCAATATACGAGTATGCTGCCTGGAGTCTTGAGAAGGTCGTGCAGGTAAATTGTTTTAATTACTTTTCAGGCGCCTGATTTACCAGCAGGTAACCCGGGATTTTTTTTTTTTTTACTTTTCTATGAGCACGTTTACCTGTGCGAATATTTTAAGTGTAATTAATTGATTTTATTTACCCGTACTTTCCTTACTCATCAATCTAATGCGAGTAATTATCTATATTTGATGCTTTATTAAGTATGGCCAGTTTTGAATAATTTTTTCATTTGTTTTGGTGTATAATTTTTATTTATTTGCTCGCTTTATAATTGTCAGTTACTGTACCGGCAATGGTAATAGTTATTATTATTATTATTTTCACTGTTCATGTGGGTACTTACTTAATCATTCACCCTTTACTTTTTCGTTACGATGTTCTTATATTGACAGTGTTGATGTGGGTAATTTATTGTGTTATTTTTGTCTTTCTATTAGAGTCATATGCCTGAAGGTGTGGTGGAGTCCAGGATGCAGGTGGCGGACAGTGTGAGGTACAGGGAGGCTGTGACCAGGCTCAAGAGGCTACTGTACGAACCCCCAGGCTCGGAGTCGCCCTCTACACCACCCCACAAAGACTCTCACTACCACACAACCACCAATTCCGTCCACCACACCGCCACTACCAACTCCCTCCACCACCACACATACCACGCCTCAGGTACCGTTTTTGTGCTATTAGTATCCAGTTATCTGATTTTCTTATCTTTGATGTAAATTGTTCCTAATGCTCATGGTTATTTTTCCCATTATATCGAATTTGTTACTTTTACTTACTTTTATCCCCTTCATCACCGATCGGCTCGTTAGCTACTTGGGCGATCGGTCACGCCTCTGTTACGCACTGTTGGCAAGTACTGGGCATGCACTGGCTCCTGAATGTATCTGAACCTGCTCCAGTGTTGGTCAAGTCTGGTCTTGAAAGAGCTCACACTCGGTGCCGCCACAACACTTTCTGGTAGATTTTTCCAAGAGTTCACAACTCTCAGTCCGAAAAAGTTGCCCTCACAGTTTTCTGGACTTGCGGCTTCTTTAACCTTGAGTTGTGTCCCCTTGTGGGGCGAGCGTCAGCCAGCTCCAGGTAAGGACACTCAACTGAGTAGTGCCCCTTGAGATGCCTGTGCACTTCAATCAGATCTCCTCTTGCCGTCTGTAGAATACTGTAAGCTAGGCAAGTTCAGGTGCTCCAATTTCTCCGGGTAGCTGAGGTGCCGCAGTGCAGGCACCAGTCTGGTGGCCCTCCTTTGGACATTTTCAATCAGCTGACAGTCCCTGGCATATCTCGGGGACCAGACGGGGTGACAGTACTCCAGGCGGGGAAGCACTTCACTCTTGAATATCTGAACGACCTTCTTATAGGACCTAATAACTTATTTGCCTGATTTACCTTCTCGCAATGGCCCGAGAACTTCAGTTCACTGGCAACGTACACACCTAAGTCGTTTTCACATTCCGTCCCATTTAATGCAGTTTCTTCATCTCGTTGGGACATATGATGCGCCTCCTTACCGTTGGTACGCCCCAGGTGCATTCTCTTACACTTCTTGACATTGAATCTCAGCAGCCATTTCTTCGACCTTTCTTGGAGCTCACAGAAGTCCTTCTGCAGCTCTTCACAGTCCGCTTGGTTCTTAATTTCCCGAAATAACTCGGCGTCGTCGGCAAGCATTTGTATGGAGGAATGTACAACGTCAGGCATGTCATTTATGAAACAAACAAACAACAGCGGACCCAATACGCTGCCCTGTGGTACCCCGCTTGTGACGGGTACAGTTGATGATTTCATGTCATTAACCACCACACACTGCTTGCGGTCATGTAGAAAGTCTTCTGCCCACGCTATATATAGGACATTTCCCCGAATTCCGTACCCTTCCAGTTTAGTTTTTAGTCTTTCATGGGGTACACTGTCGAAAGCCTTGGCAAAATCTAAGTAAATATTGTCGATATTACCACCCTGATCTAGAATTTGTGTCCAAATATCCATTACCCTGAGTAATTGTGTCAAGCAGGAGCGCCCCTGCATAAAACCGTGTTGGCAATTATTTACGAGGTTGTTTCGTATTAGATGTCCCATCATGGCATCTCTTATAATGCTCTCAAGTACTCTACATATTATGCTTGTTTGACTCACTGGTCTCTAGTTGTTCGTGGAGTGACGATCGCCCTTCTTGAAGATAGGACTCACATGAGCCATTTTCCAATCACTGGGGACCTTTCGTTCATCCAGGCATTTACAGAACAGGATCTTCAGGGGCTCAGCAAGCTCGTTGCACAACTCCCTCAGCACTCTGGGATACACCATGTCAGGGCGGGGACTTTTATGGACCTTTAGCTTTGACAGTCTATTTCTTATAACCTCTTCTGTGAACACAATGTGGATCAGTGCTGTGTCATACCGCCTGTCCTCAAACGCAGGGAGATTGTTCGCACCCTCTCTTGTGAACACCGAGGAAAAGAAGCTGTTCAATGCCTCGGCTTTGTTCTAAAAGTAGTTAGCTTCCATTGTTGCAGTATTTTGATAAGTAAAAGCAATTAACAACACAATTTTTGAAAGGTGTTGACAGACCAGCATACGTGTAAGGTGGCCCCTTCTCTTGCAGTCAGTTCAGATGTGGGTGGAGTCCGTGGTGTGGGCGTGGGCGGGGTGGAGGGGCCGTCACGCTGGCTGTTGGAACTACTGAGGCACCAGGAAGAACTTATAGCCCAGCTGGAGAAGGAGAATGATTTCCTGAAGGTCAGTTAACATCTAACCTGATCTACCAAACAATAATCTAACTAAACTGTAAAGTAACCTAAACCACTTGTTACCTTCCACCTTAAGACTAATATGTGTGTGTTTCCCTGACCATGATAACTACAATAACTACTACTACTACTACTATTATTATTATTATTATTATTATTTGTGTGTGTGTGTGTGTGTGTGTGTGTGTGTGTGTGTGTGTGTGTGTGTGTGTGTGTGTGTGTGTGTGTGAGTGACCCGGGTTCGATCCCCGGGCAGGGTGAAACTATGGGCAAGTTTCTTTACGCCATTTGCCTCTGTCTACCCAGCAGCAATTAGGGATCTGGGTGTGGGACAATGTCGAAGGGGGTGGGACAATGTCGGAGGAGAGGTTGATGTGCATAATCATGGTCTTGGTATGGTTGATGGTGACGTGATTGTTGGTGGCCCAGTTTTGGAGACTCTTCAATAAATCCTGAAGGGCGGTATAGTGGGGAGCAGAATTGTTGACACTGATCCCAATGGTGGAGTCGTCGACACATTTCCAGCGATCAGGGTTTCTCTTAGGGCATCATTGATAGGCATAAGGAAGCATAGTAGTCCCATCTTGGTGCCTTGGGGGACGCCACAGGTGAGTGGCTGAAAGGTGGAGACAGCCCCTCGGAAGCGTACAGCTTGGCGTCGGTCACTGAGGAAGTCTGTAAGCCATGGTATAAGACTTCTTCGAAACCCGAGGTCGATACCTTTGTTGATGATTAAATTGTGGTCGACTAGGTCGAATTTCTTAGTGAAGTCAATGAAGGCGACAGCTACAGACGTTTTTCGATTCTCCAGATGGCGGTATATGTAGTCGAGAAAGCTGGCAAGACAGTGAGTGGTGGAGGAAGTTTTCATATCACCACATTGCTGAGGATCTACGGCTCCTGCAATATCAGCATAAGCCCAGTCGAACACAAAACTTTCACAGATTAAGCTGGGTATTGGGGTGATGGCAATGGGTCGTAGCTGATTTAAGGATTGTGGGCTGGTTGACTTGAGCACTGGTGACACATATGAAGTCTTCCAGTCAGCTGGGCATCTGGCTTGACTGGGGGAAGCATTGATGATGGAGCAGAGGGGTTTAGTAAGCTCCGGGGAAAACTCCTTGAAGAGTTTCATTGGTAAGTCACGGGGGTGGTGGAGCGTTTTAACTTCAGTTTGTCCAGACGTTTTACTACTTCAAATTCTTCTAAGTCAGTGGGAAAGGGGGCTGGTAGGTAAGCAGGTTGTGTCAAGCCCGGGGAGCGTCTGGCATATAGTAGCGAAATGGTTATTTGTTTGCTCAGCTGCGTCAACATTAGTGAGAAGGCTAAGGAAGGGGAGGTTGTGTGTCTTATTGTTTAGTCCACAGAGTTCTTTAAGCTTACCATACCACTGACTGATGTTGATCTGCTTCAGGTGTTTCAGTTTGGTTGGGTAGTGAGACTTCTCTGCAGTGCGTATTTTGCGGATGACTGTTGCGAAGGGACCTGTAGTGGTTGTGGTCATTGAGATAAAAGGCTCTGTCTCTCTGTTGCATAAGTCTTTTGATCCGAGGTGTGATCCAGGGCAAGTCAGCTGGGTGAGATTAATAATAAAAAAATAATAATAATAATTAACGGTTTATTGAAAAAGCTCTGCAGCCCGAAGGCTGCAGAACATTGGTGGTTTAACAAAAGCCTTCATTAGAGAAAGGTAAAGGAACATACAGTGAACATACAGATTAATGTTTACAGTGGAGGTCACGTACATCATGTGCACTGAGGCGTTGAACAGCAGACACGTAGTGTAGTAACTCCCTCCCAGGTGGTGTTATGGGGGGCTTGACGTGGTGTAGTAGTTCCCTCCCAGGTGGTGTTATGGGGGGCTTGACGTGGTGTAGTAGTTCCCTCCCAGGTGGTGTGTGTGTGTTTAGTAGTATTAATATATTATGTACTGTATAATACTTATGTTGGTCAGTGACGATGCTGTTGATCACATAATATTGTAAATAGTAATTAATATTAATTGGAGTGTACTTATAATGTATTATGACTCGGCTATGTAATGTATTATGATTCGGCCATATAATGCATTATGACTCGGCTATATAATGTATTATGACTTGGCTATATAATGTATTATGACTCGGCTATGTAATGTATTATGATTCGGCCATATAATGCATTATGACTCGGCTATATAATGTACTATGACTTGGTTATATAATGTATTATGACTTGGCTATGTATTGTACTATGACTCGGTGTAATGCACTATGACTTAGCTATATAATATACTATGACTCGGCTATTACATACTCTTAGTATAATAAGTATTACCGTATTGTTGTGTACAGAGGGAGGTGTTGTCGGTGGGTGAGGGGGTGAAGGCGATGGGTCAGGAAAATCAAGAACTCAATCGTCGCCTGGCTGATGCCCTCTCTCAAGCCATCGCTATGGTCAGTACCTCACCTCCTACCTTTATACCTGCCTTACTCACCACACTCAAGATGTTTTACAGTGGAATATTTTTTTTTCTGATTCGGCTTTACGATTATCGAATTATTTTGTCAAGCTATTTCGTGTCTAGTGATATATTAGAGGAAACTTACATCTAGTAATATTATGAAAATTTATAGCTTAGTGTGAAGTAGTAATATTTTCATAGAATTTATATATATATATATATATATATATATATATATATATATATATATATATATATATATATATATATATATATATATATATATATATATATATATATATATATATATCATGCAGATCCACAATGGACACGTGGACAAGATAAATCTTGATAAAATCACACAGGGAAAAGGGAAACAATGGAGAACCTTAGCTTTCGTCTTTATTCAAGACATCTTCAGTGTAAAGGCCTGGGACTTACGGATAGAAATCCCTTGCCAGCCTAATCAGGATCTTATAAAAGGGAAGTCAAGAACCATGCTTTTCTGAGGGATAACAAACCCGTTCGAGATTGACATCTCTTTACTATGAAAATAACACAAAACTGGTGTGGAGGGTGTGGCGATGACGTGGCAGCCACGGTTGTAGCCGGGGTAGGTGTCCGGAGATTGATAGCTATCGACTATAGTCGATTTGTGAAGGTCTGGGGAAACAGTCCACGAGTCCAGGACCTATGATGAGATCACAACCAGAATTTGAACGAACAGCGGGGTGCAGGTACAGCTGTGACTGATGGCTGGGTAGTGTCTGATGTATCGTGCGACTCTCACGAGGCAGCAGCGACCCTTTCACCTCCGTCTACCCCCCACCAAGTGGGGGACGCGAATAAGTAAACGAGCGGTGGGCAACCATCCTGGCCGTTACAGCCCTGACATTCAGAGGCAACTGAATTACAAAGACTGAGGGAGAGCTTATGTACACAGGGTGACCTTTTGTAAGGTCACCCTGTGTACATAAGCTCTCCCTCAGTCTTTGTAATTCAGTTGCCTCTGAAGATGTCTCGAGTAAAGACGAAAGGTAAAGTGCCCCATTGTTTCCCTTTTCCCTGTGTGATTTTATCAATATATATATATATATATATACTTAATTGTTACTGTGTTGTAGCCTGTAGGTCAGTGTAGAGGTGTCTGTATGTGTGTGGTTGTTTCAGGGGGAGCATCTGGACACCACCATCACCTCCAGCAGTAGTAGCGAGAGAGAGAGCGGGGACAAAGACACTGTTAACTCCAGGATAGCTACTCTTACTCGGTGAATTACCATCTTACCTCCTCCGTTTGATAAATAATAGTGACAATAACGTCTCCATAAAAATAATAGTAATAACAGTAATGGTGATAAGTAAGAGTAAAAGTAAGACAACAACAATAATAATAATAATAATAATAATAATAATAATAATAATAATAGCAACCGCTTTTTCACTATAAAAGTTCAGATGTACACGTAAGTTATGTTGGCAGGAATTTATTGGGGGTATTAAAAAAATAATTCTTCTTATATTATGAAAACAGGGAGAAGGCGGCGCTAGCAGACCAGGTGAGCCGCCTCGATGCCTCCCTGACAGCCATGACCAAGAGAGAGCAGGAGGCGTTGACAAAACTTAGACAAGCTCTCACACTCGCCGAGGACACACACTCACACACAGCCCAGGTGAGGTCACACACAAGATGAGTCACGTCAGCTATAGACGGATCCTTGCAACTAGATCCACGCACGGTACCCATAATCACGATTTCAATTCTTCATTTTTTGGAGAAGAGTATGGATAATAAATTGATAGATAGAGGATAGATAGACAGATAGATAGATAGAGAGGTAGATATAGTTAGATATAGATAGACAGAGGGGTAGATAGATAGATAAGCAAACAGACAGACAGACAGATAGATACATAACTAGGGAATATGACTGCACTAACAGGTCGCCTTCTTAGCACACTCCTGCCGCCTCTCCCAGGTTCGTGCCAGTAGCGAATCGGCCATAGAAGAGCTGACTGTCCTGCTGACGGCGACGAAGCAGGAGGGACAAGAGCTCCGGAGACTACTGGACGAAGCGGACATGAAGCAGAAGCGGCAGCAGGAGCAGAAGGACGAGCAGGTAACCCATCAACAGCAGAGGATCAAGACCTTACAGGATGCACGCGATGCACAGGAGGAACTATTGGCGAGGCTACGGCAGGAGGTGAGGGACGGGGAGAGGCGGGTGGCTGATCTAGAGGACGACCTGAAGGCGGCTAGGGCGGCCAGGACCCGTCTGGAGGCTCAGCTGGAGGAACAGAGACAGCACTCCAGGGACGCCCACGCCAGGCTCGACCAGATCATCATCACGTGAGTGTTAGGCGAGGGTAATCTGGCTAGCATATCTCGGGGACCAGACGGAAAAGCACCCCACTCATGAAGGACATGACAAGGAAGCGCCTAGATATCTGAATGAGCTTCTTATAAGACCTACTCGCTTAGTTGTTTGATTCACCTTCCACAATGGCCTGAGAAATTCAATTCGTTGTCAACATACACACCCAGGACGTTTTCACATTTGGTTTCTTATTAATAAATTTTCTTCGTCCCGTTGGGACATGTGATGCACCTCCTTACTGTTAGTACGACCCAGGCGCACTTGCATCCTCTTACACTTGGTGACATTGAATCTTAAAAGTTATTTCTTGAAGCTGACAAAGATCTTTCTGTAGCTCTTCACAGTCAATTTGGTTCTTAATTTCCCCGAATAACTTGGCATCGTCCGTAAACATTTGTTAAGGAGGAGTGTATTTGTTTTAGTCCATCAAGGCACAGGTCAATGGCACAATAACAGATCAATATATCGACGTTACTATACATTACAATGACTCGGACAACAAACATGAAATAGATACACTCCCCACCGTAAGTAACTCACCCCTGGATCGCTCTGACAGTCAGATCATCAACCTGGGACTTGGTCACATATGGCAGCAGGGTCTACCATTAGACAACACATTATGCTTCCAATATCTTCCCAGGCGGTAGTACCTCCCTGTTTGGTAGCTGCCTACAGTACTGCCTAACCTAACTTAATAGCTTCTCCATACAAACATTGGGTGGGCCATCCTCCTAGACTAGAGTATAGAATACTTGGTATAACTAATGTTTAGGTGTTAACTAATGCTGATGGATGTAAGTAACGTGTGTGAGTAACAAGTGTTTATTACTAATGTGTGTGGTTGACAGGAGGAGCGGGGAGGCGGCAGCCGGGACAGCCAGAGCGAGGGAACTGGAGGAGAGATTGACAGTTGCCAGGGAGGACACGTCAAGGCTCCTGCAAGCTGTCACCACCCTTGCCCAGGTGAGTCTTCTCCCCTGTTGAAGTGCGTCTCTCCCTTTCTCCACGCCTCCTGGATCTCCTAGCAGGTCTCTTATATCTAGTCGACATGTGTCTCTCCTAGTTCTCCTCCCTCAATATCTCCAAGGTGATCTAGGGAATGGTATTGTTAATGATTAATTTATATATGCTATTTCTATAATATATAAATAAGGTTCTGCTGTCGTAACGTTATCCACTTACCGCTTTATTCATTTTTATTTAGTTCCTACATAAAAATTTTTTTTTACCTGAACCAACTTCTTATCAGTTTTCACAGAAGAAATTCACGAGGAAATTCCAGAGGTGGAACTGATATTTAGGGGAAATGAAGAAGAGAAATTAAAGAATATCACTATCAGAAAAGAGGATGTTCTTAAGAAGAGAAATAAATTAAAGAAGACAAAATCCCCAGAATGGAGGAAACTGCAGCGGGCGTATTGGCCCATACTGGGCAGTCCCGTTTACACCCAACCCCGATTGCTCGTATAAGCATCCAACCTATGTTTGAAGCTATTCAGCGTATTCCAGTTAATGATGATATTTAGTAACTTGTTCCATTCATCCACTACTCTGTTTCCAAACCAGTGTTTACCTATTTCGCGCCTAAATCTAAATTTGTCTAATTTAAAACCATTGTTACGAGTTCGCTCCTGGTTGGATAGTTTGAGTACCTTTGTAATGTCCCCTTTGTTTAGCCCTGACTTCCATTTATAAACCTTTATCAGGTCGCCCCTCGCTCTACGTCTCTCAAGGGAGTGCAAATTAAGATGCTTTAACCTGTCTCTATACTCAGGGTTCCTAATGCCCGGGATGAGTCTTGTCATTCTCCTCTGAATTCTTTCCAAGGATTCTATATCCATTCTGTAATACGGTGACCAGAATTGAACTGCGTAATCCAGGTGTGGTCTCACATGAGCAAGATACAGTTTTAGGATGACCTCGCTAGTCTTGTAACTAACACTCCTTTGTATGAACCCAAGTACTTTATTAGCCTTGTTACAAGCAAAAACACATTGTTTACTTGGCTTAAGGTTCCTACTTATCATTACTCCTAAATCTCTCTCGCAGTCGGATTTCTCGATGGCATCGTTGTTCATCTGGTTGACACGGGAGTTGTGCCAGACTTGTGGAAACAGGCTAATGTAGTACCCATATTCAAAAAGGGAAACAGAGCATCAGCCTCAAATTACCGGCCGATTAGTTTGACGTCAGTAGTGGGGAAATTTCTTGAATCAATTATAGCAAATAACATCCGATCGCATTTAGAGTAAAATAAATTAATCTACGACTCTCAACATGAGTTTACAAAGGGAAAATCTTGTTTAACAAATCTGCTGACTTTTTTTAGGAAAGTCTTCGAGTAGTAGATAATGACGAAAATTACGATGTTATTTACTTAGACTTTAGCAAAGCGTTGACAGAGTACCGCATCAGAGGCTTCTGAGAAAAGTTAAGGCTCATGGTATCGAGGGGAAAGTTTTAAATTGGATAAAATCATGGCTCACCGATAGAACACAGAGGGTCAGCGTAGATGGTGTTAAATCTGAGTGGGGCCGTGTAACCAGTGGGGTTCCCCAGGGGTCAGTACTGGGCCCACTCTTGTTCATAATCTACATAAACGATCTAGATACTGGGATCAGCAGTGACATAAGCAAGTTTTCAGATGACACCAAAATAGGACGGCAGATTAATTCAGGGCAGGATGCAAATGCACTACAGGAGGATTTAAATAAAATGCAGGAGTGGTCAGAAAAATGGCAAATAAAATTCATCACCAGCAAGTGAAGCGTACTTAATATTGAAAGAACAAATAATGTCAATGTATACAGCCTTAACAACATCAACCTAGAGAAGTCGACTTGTGAAAGAGACTTAGGGGTACTTGTAAGCCCGGACCTACGGCCTAGAAAACAGTGCGTTAATGTTCGAAATATGGCAAACAGAGTATTAGGTTTTATATCTAGAAGTGTAAGTAATAAGAGTGCAGAGGTCTTATTGCAACTATTTCTTGCGCTAGTCAGGCAGCACCTCGATTATACGGTTCATTTCTGGTGCCCTTATTATAGAATGGATATCAATTCACTTGAGTCGGTGCAGCGAAGAATGACGAAAATGATTCCGGGACTTAGAAACCTTCCATATCAAGATAGGTTAAAGAAACTAAACTTGCATTCCCTAGAAAGACGAAGAGTGCGGGGAGATATGATAGAAGTATTTAATTGGGTGAAAGAAATCGATAAAGGAGATATAGATAAAGTTCTTATAGTATCCGAGCAGGATAGGACTCGTAGCAACGGATTTAAGTTGGATAAGTTTAGGTTTAGAAGGGAGATAGGAAGGAACTGGTTCACAAATAGGGTGGTGGACGAGTGGAACAAGCTTAGCAACTTGTAGTAAGTGCTGGAACGCTGGAAAGTTTTAAAAGGAGGCTAGATAGATTCATGGATGATAGAGAGTGGTAGTAACTCTCGACTGGAGCTGCCATGCACAGGCCAACCGGCCTATTGCAGACTCCTTATTTTCTCATGTTCTTATCTATACGAAGTTACTCATTTACTTGAAATATTTTGCCATTTCTGTGTAGTTTCTATTTTAAAATTAACGTATTTCCTTATAATTATACTTGTCCTACTGTTTTTCTTCCTGTAATTTTACTGTATTATTCTTTATAATATGAAAATAAAATCACAAAATTGATAAATATTTCTAGGGCGGCCGGAATGTAGAAGCAGACACCACTGACGATGTTAAGAGCGAGCGTCTGGCAGCGGGACAGCAGCTGGGGGCGGCCCTGACAGCCCTCCAGTCCCGTCATGGTGAGTCACGACCACCACCACCAGTTACTCACATCGATGACTCGTCCACACTCATGCAGTATTCACCACTTGTGCACAACCAATATCTGCTGTAATTATCATACACGCACGTGGCGTTTAAGTGGTGGCGATAGAGGGGGAGACTCACAGATACCAATCACAAAGAATTTTATATTACAGGCAGCAAAATGACCAATCAGAATAGCCAATATAAGTTCACATTCTTATCATAACAACTCCCATAAACGAAGATATATTTGGACTATTATTCATATTTAAAAATTGCAATAAAACGTCAACCCCCCTGTCTGCCAAATAGACCCTCTGATCACGCTCGACTTTGACAGAAATCAATATGGTAGATGATAGATAATAAGAGACATGAGATATACGGTGATAACAGGAGCAGAAGAGTGTGTCCGCTAAGTGAGGGTTATGGTAAATCAATACATACACGGAAGTTTTGATTATTTGGTGTTATTTTTCACACTTTGTTACCAGTACAGTGCAAGGTATTTATAAAGTCCCTTGATGTTTATGTTTATACAGTTCTTTGATTGTGTTATAGTCACCTGATGTTTGGGGTATAGTGTAGTGTAGTGTAGTGTAGTGTGGGCCTGAGTCAACACGCGACCACTTGTGATGATTGTTATTGATGAAAAAAAGTGAAGGGCGTGTGTATGACCCTCACGTGCTGTCTCAAGTATTGCAATCTAATCTTACTGGACAACCTTGTGTTCTGCTCTCTCTCTCTCTCTCTCACTCACTCTGAACCTAAACTTTCACTCACTCACTCACTCACTCTTTACTCTCTACATCAGCTAAACACTCTCAATTATATCTCCCTCTTAGCTAAACTCTCTCTACTCTCTATTTCCATCTCTATATGTGCTGTGAAGGAGTGCATTAGCGACCTCATAGTACTGTACACGCACATGACAATTCAGAGTTGATTATACAGTAGTGCCTGGTGGAGTAGAATGTTTGGAATGTTTAGTGGATGACAGTAGAATGTTTATTAATGATCTATGTTGTGTTGAATGGCAGAGTAGAATGTTTAGGTGAATGGCAGATGTAATGAGGGTAAACTCGGGTAGGAAGTATAGTGAGAAGTGTAAGTAGGAGGATTGTTAAGTGAGGAAAGTTGGTAACGTGGCGGATTAGTTATTTGACCGTTAATATATATGCGTAGGGGAAATCTTCTAAACACCAATTCTAGATACAGCTATTTATTAGTTAACTCAAAGGTATGGACACATTAATAGATCATTATATTTACGTTACTAGATAATGACTCGCAGACACAAACATAAAATGGATACACTTCCCACCGTAAGTAACTCATCCTGTGGATCGCTATGGCAATGACTCACGTGTGACCTGAAGGAGGCCCAGCGACTGGGGAATCTGTCTGCAGGTGCTGCTGAAGAGAGTGATCCCGGCTGGTGCTGGACTCTGTCTCCTGCGGGAGACTCTGCTAGCCTGGGACTCGGTACTGGGGAGGGAAGTCCCCCTCCCGACCTCAACTTGTGACGAGTGTGACTCTGCCTGCCTCTCAGTTCTGACTCTCCCTGTCTGTCTGTCGGAAGGAGCTGCAGGCCTCTTATACTGGAGGTGTCAGGCCGGCAGATGTCGTCACTTATGCTGGCAGAAATTTTTTTTTCGTAATAAATGGTGAAGCTGGTGATGCTGAGCCGCTGCGCGTGGATGGGTTAGTCGTTGAACACTGGAAAAGTTATGTATTCCTAGGCTCACCATTCACGTGTGACGGATCCGTGTCATCGGCAGTTAAAGAACATGCAAGAAACAAACTGTATCACATGTTGAAGTTTGCCTCATTTATTAAAAGGAACAATAATGTACCGTTTATCGTAAAGCGTCGCGTGTTCGACGCGGCCCTTATGTCATCGCTCCTGTATGGGTGTGAATCGTGGGTAGGGGATGATGTTAAACCCGTAATTAAACTTTACAACTGGGCCATAAAAGAAATGTTGGGAGTGAGGAGAACAACACCCAACTCAGTATGTTACCTGACTTACTTAAATATAGACAATGTAAATTCTTTCTTATAATGTTGTTTGAGAGAAGCAACATGAATGATGATCCTTTGGCATTTGCCATAAATTCCGTTATTTCCTCTAATACTCCTGTTGGGAAAATTGTACGCGATATTATACACAATAATGTTCCCAATGTCTGTGTTATTTGGAAATGTACATAATGCCATTGCCAATGCTGACACATCAAGATGCAATGTATATAAGGAAATTAATCCAAGCTTTGCAGTGCATGATGCTTACATCAAGAAACATGCAATTAATGATTTGCAAAGATTATCTTTTACACGTTTTAGAGTGTCTGGGCACAGCCTGGCAGTGGAGACAGGACGGTGAAACAGGCGGGGGCGTGGCCGCCTCCCCTTGGAAGAGCGCCTGTGTGTGTGTGGCCTCGTGCACACCGAGAGGCAGGTTGTGGAGGCTTGTCCTGACACTCAATATTTTAGTGACTTTTATGACATAAATTCCTTATGTGATCTGTTTTCCAAGTTCACAAATAATATTGTATGTAAGATTATCCATGACATTTTATGGTTGTATGATTGATGTTCCTTGTTCAACTCATGCTTTCTACATTTCTAATTTGTTTAATGTGGTTTAAAGATTATTTGACGGACTACAGTAGTCTATTGTTTTTAATATTTTACAATGATGATTTTGTATTCAAATATGTTGTTTGCACCTTGTGTAATATTTTTAATGAAAGCTGTGGTCAATTAACATATCCATTCTACCTTGGCCAGCTGTCAGGTGATATGACTGGTAGGGTAGTTTCGTGAATTAACACGGTCATAACGCCGGTCAGGCCAATCACGGGGCGGTGAGACCTCTGTTTCATTGTGACCATAACCTTTGCTGGGTCAGGTCTTTAATTACGAAGGGTGGGTCAACAGCTTCCGGTTACTGCTGTATGTGTTGCTTTTCTCATTACACAGAGTAAAATGTTTAGAATGTTTACTAATGATGCGGTATGTCACGTGATGAATGACAAAGAATGTTGACAAGGTTTAATGCAGACGTCTAATAGAGTGAATGACAAGTTAGAATGTCCAAAGGGCTCTACTAATGCTCTGTGGTGTGACAGAGGAGGAGGTGACGTCACTGCAGGAGGCGGCGAGACAACAGAGCCAAGCCATGGAGGCCCTGAGGGAGGAGGTCACCATGATGAGGCAGCAGTTGGCTCTTGACAGCGAGAACTACAGGTAAATCCCCCTCTTTATAGTACAGGTAAATCCCTCTATATTACAGGTAAATCCCTCTATATTACTGATAAATCCCTCTATATTACTGATAAATCCCTCTATATTACTGATAAAATCTATATTACGCAGTAAATCCCTCTATATTACAGGTAAATCCATCTATATTACTGATAAATCCTCTATATTACATATAAATCCTTCTCTCTTTACAGTACAGATAAATCCTCTATATACAGAGTAAATTCACTCCCTCTATAGTACAGGTAAATCCCTCTATATATTACAGGTAACTCCTCTCTTTATAGTTCAGAGTAGAAATCCCTCTATATTACAGGTAATCCCTCCTTTATAGTACAAGTAACTCCCTCTCTTTGGGAGTGGTAACTATAGTATATTAAATCCCTCTATATTACAGGTAAATCCCTCTATATTACTGATAAATCCCTCTATATTACTGATAAATCCCTCTATATTACTGATAAATCCCTCTCTTTATAGATAAATCCCTCTAAATCTGATAAATCCCTCTATATTACTGATAAATCCCTCTCTTTATAGTACAGGTAAATCCCTCTATATTACAGGTAAATTCCTCTATATTACTGATAAATCCCTCTTTTGCAGGTAAATCCCTCTTTTTAATACAGGTAAATCCATCAATATTACAAGTAAATGTCTTTGTTACAGGTAAATCCCTCGATATATTACTAATTCTTAAGTTAAATAATAGAGGTATTGTTATATTATTTCAATCCGTCAGTTTTCTAACAGGAAATTTCGTGTGTAATGTAAATATTTCTAAGGACGCCTTGAAATATACAAATAGTTGCTTTTTGCTTTTGTGGTGTTTAAATCTATTTACCGTACTGTATATGCTGTACTGTAAATGCTGCACTATTATGCTGTACTGCATGTACTATACTATATATGCTGTACTAGAAATATGAGGTAAAACTGGTGAGTGGTTTAAAACTCTGGGGCGGGTTCGGGTGTATACAGGAACATGCGCGCGCAGCAGGAAGAAGAGATGTCCAAACTTCGCGATGAACTACAACAGGCGCAGAGGGAGATCCAACAGGGGCAGCAACAGGCGAGGCTCCATGGTTCCCTCTACGAACAGTCTCTCGGCAAACTCAGGCGCGCAGAAGTGACAGCGACGCAGGCGGAGCGGCAGGTATGTATAGATCATACGTTAGTAATGTTGGTGTTGTTGCAGGACACGGCTGGAGGAGGTGGGTCGAGGTCTGGCTGCCCTTGCCTCTACTACTACTGCTGCTACCTCGCCATCGCTACCCACCCAACATGATGACAACACAAGGGCTCCTGAGGGCGTATCAGAGGGTGATAGTCGACTGCCCTCCACACCTGCAGTTCCAAACACCACTACCACGTTGCCTTCTACCGATCCTACTGCTGCTGCTGCCACTACACCAGGCGTCCCCGACACCAGCATACCAAACACACAGGAGATATCAGACTCACGAGAACTGACGGGAGACAACAGTGACAACACGAAGGTCGAGGATGACGTTGTGCCCGAGGATGACGTTGTGCCCAAGGATGACGTTGTGCCTGAGGATGACGTTGTGCCCAAGGATGACGTTGTGCCTGAGGATGACGTTGTGCCTGAGGATGACGTTGTGCCCGAGGATGACGTTGTGCCCAAGGATGACGTTGTGCCCAAGGATGACGTTGTGCCCGAGGATGACGTTGTGCCCAAGGATGACGTTGTGCCCGAGGATGACGTTGTACCCGAGGATGACATAAAAGAAAAAACGGAAGAGACAGAAGAAAAAGATATCGATATAACAGAGAAGAATGAAGAGGTGGAAGAGAAGAATGAAGAGGTGGAAGACAAGACTGAAGACAAAGATATTGATTCAGAAAAAGGAGAGATGGAAGAGAGGAAGACTAAAGAAACGAAAGACAAGACGGGAGAGACAGAAGAAAAAGATACAGATACTACAGAGACCGAAGAAGGGAAAGACAAGACTGAAGAGAAAGATGAGTCGAGAGGAAACAATGAGAAAGACGACGAAGGAGGAACTAGACCGGAAGACGATAACGCGAGACAGGGTGAGACAACTGCAGGAGACAACAAGGACTCAACACTCAAAGTAGATAATAATGGAGAAAAGGAAGATTCGAGAAGTAAGGGAGAGAAAGAAGGCAAAGCAGGAGATAAAGAAGGTATAAGTGAAGATTCCAGCGAAGTAAGGAAGGGTGATGACGCAAAACCTGGCTACGGTGGAGCAGAAGAGGGTAAGACGGAGTGCGGTAAATGTGTGACCTTGATGATGATCTTAGAGGTTGTGGGAGGCGTCGTCGATGGTCTACAAGTGGACATGAACAAACAGGAGACTCGCCTGGGACGGTTAATCCAGCGGTACAGCTCACAGTGTGAAAACTGCCTCAAGTACCAGTTTATGCTGTGGGCCGCCGACAACAGACTAAATAGTGTTGACAAGTATACTCACTTGCTGGGGGACAGGATTGATGCACTATCTCGCAGGTGGGCTGTTACAAGCCTCTATAATATACAACACACCAGTTATAGGCTAGACTGCCTGACTGTACTGCATAGCTAGTTGCATGCGGGTGTCAGCTGGGGCCGGATTCTCCAAGGTTTGAGGGGTTACTGGATGAGTGAGCACACAACTTTGATAGAATCTTGAATTAGAAACTTCATTTTCCACTTATTGGATACAGTACACGAAAGCGCGTTTAGTTGTGACACTTTTTGCTTCTTAAATTCTTACATTTACCCTCAGCTGTATAGGCAAGACAACATACTGTGTAACGTTAGCGTCTCTAGACCAATTTCGAAACCATTATGGCCGCCAGCTTTGTATCAGTGTGTTAGTGAGCCAGACAGATGCATCTGTGTCACCAGTTGTGGTAAACTTTAACGCACGAACCTTTGAGTATTCGGGGCCCAAGTGTTCCAAAATTGTTGTTAACTTGGATGGTAGTGAGTTAAGTGACCAGTGCTTCCACGTTTGTTTTTAAAGTGAGTCGATAACTAGTTTTTCTTTAGTATGTTAGTGCCAGCATGGAGGTCAGTTAGGCATCATGTTCCTGACTATATACTGTATACCTTTTGTGATAAATTACTGATAGTGATCAATTCAGTAAAATGTGTGTTTGTATATAATGAATATCTCGTGTTTCACTACAGAGTTCTGAGCTGCTAGAGTTGGTGAGAGCTGCGACCCTTGAGAGAGACACACTACGGCAGGAAGTGACTTACCTACGGCGGGTTGCTGCGGCTGCCATCACCTCTGGAGACATTTTAACAGCAGCAGACCACAATATCCCACCACCACCTTCAGACACCCCTGGAGGACTCTTGGATCAGGGACCAAACCACATGTCGTCAGTACAGCACACCGCCCCTCCACGCCACAGCCAAGTGACCCCAGCCCTCCTCGCTACTCACGACGACCTCTTCAGATACGTGACGGTGGCTCCAGGAGTCTCACTAACACAACTCTATCAATAATAACCACCATCTATCTATACATAAACATATATCTTCACTTAAATGTGTTCTTCCACTTGGACCAGTACAGTACTGTGTAGATGTGTGGACATATTAGAGGTGTTTTACTAGTGATCATTATCATTGTAGGGTTAATTCATCATCATTAAATCAGACATTAACATTATAGCTTTCACCTAATCATCCCTCACTGTTAGCTGAACCCTTTGACCCGTGAGTTAACTACCACCAGCATCCACAAGAAACATGTCGGTATTACTCCAGATGTTATACAGCCAACACAGTGAAACTCTACACAATAAAGGCTAAAACCAAGAAGCAGTTGAACACCTTTTATAACTTCCCCGAGAGTCTATTAACAGCCACATCCTCGTCATATTATCAAACTACACAGAAACTACGATACATGCTTTTCCCCTTGATTCGGGTACACACACACACACACACACACACACACACCCTGGTCTCGGAGTCTATCGATGGCCGGTAGTTCCAAACATCCACAAACATACTAAACAAGTATTTCTGTCATATTAAAATAACAATGTTGAAGTTGTCATCAGTGAACAAATTAATAAAAAGTTCTTAACAAATACTGATTAGTTTTTTATATTATACTGACACGACATACCTCAGTTTAAGTCGTTCCCAGGTAGAGCTGACAATATTAAGATGAATTATTTATCGTCTCCTGTACACACACACATTAATCTGTATGTTCACTGTATGTTCCTTTACCTTTCTCTAATGAAGGCTTTTGTTAAACCACCGATGTATGTAATAAGTCATTTATGTCCAATGTATATTTTCAGCCTTCGGGCTGCAGAACTTTTTCAATAAACCGTTAATTATTATTATTATTAACGTCTCCTATATAATGGTTGCCTCTCATGTAACGAGGATGGCCAGCTTTTGGGCCACCTAGGCATGAATTTGTTTAAGGTGCAGAAGCTGTCGCCAACACAACAACCACACCCTTAGTAACGAGTTGCATGACCCAGTGCCAGAGAAGACCGGACAACTCGCCAACTGCACTGGCTAATCATTACCCCGGAACACGATCCGTAAATCGATTAATGTCCAGGTTTCCAATTACTACTGGGTAGACAGAGGCAAATGGCGTAAAGAAACTTGCCTCCTATATACTGTACACACACAATTACCTACCATCTCCCGGACTTACAGAATGTAGACCAAAATAAGTCGCGTGTAGAAGTATTGACCCAGCTGGATTAGCTAAACATTTAACAAGTACAAAGCAACAAACAGTGATAAAAATGAACATATTTATAAACAGAGGATTACTAAAATACAAAATCTATACAACAAAAATATATATTAAACAGTAAAACCTACTTGACCCTGGAGTGACTCGAACACCCAGCCTTCTGATCTGGAGTCAGACGCGCTACCATTGCGCCACAGGGCCACTATTAACCGCCTGAAGCAACCACAAACAACCGCCACTAGCTACTTACTTCATGTAACTTCTATAACTATCAACCAATCTCTCCTTACTACAACCATCAACCAACCGCTCATTATCCTCTCCCTACCACAACAAACAACCGCTTCTTACCACAACTAAGAGCAAGTTTAAAGAACACTTCTCTTACCTTACTCCTACCACAACTACTCCCTTACCTACAACTCTACCACAACCACTAGTAACACCCCCTCCTACTGTACCTCTCTACCACAACTACAATCATCATTAACCACCCAATGTCTTAAGTATAAAAAGAGGGAGGGAGGTAGGGAGATAATTAAGGATAAACTACCAGAATATCACCAAGGACTCCTGATTAACGCACTCTAGTATATAAAAATAACAATCTAATAAATATTTACTATAATAACATTAAAACATAGTAAAAATAATAAGAATAAAGGTTAATAATGTAAGATAAAAACCTACCTCGCCCGAACAGGGACTCGAACCCTGGACCGTTAGGTTAAAAGCCTAACGCTCTACCGACTGAGCTATCCGGGCTTGATAAACTGGATTTAATTACATTATTTATACTACAGCTCCTCACCTCATACATATTTATTAAGTGAATATTCTTTATTTAAATTATATAACAGTGCCTTGTCTGGTTAATTAATACTAAAATTGTAGGTATTATTTCATTTGTTGATACTATAAGGATCTAGAAAACTTTATAGATGTAGTTGGTAGTTTTGGTAATTCTATGACACCTTTCTTCAATGGTATTTCTGGCGCAAATTACGTTCAAGGTTAGGTTAGGTTAGGTTTGGGATAATTTTTGCAATGGGTTTCGGTGTGTTTTGAATACCTTTTACATTAGATTTTTATAGTGTGAGGAACAGGTGGTTGGGTCACACTCAGGATGGGATGAAGGAAACTCACAATGTTCTCTCTCTGTATACATGTTGTTACGAGTTGGTGATTTAGAATATAGTTAAAAGTCTACCCAGATCCCAACAGGCAACAACAATAAAAAACAAAAACAATTGGACTATAAAAGGGTAGACAAAGGATGAGAGTTTTCGTTGTGTATAATAAAGTACCATAAATTCCTTAAAATAATATTCAGCTTTCTATAATTTACCCTTAACCAAACTTAACCTAAACATTAACAGTATATACATATTAATACAACATACAATAATTTGAAGCAAGGTGGAGGTGGGGGAGGCAATACAAGATTACAAATACTTAAGTGAGGAGCTGAGATGGCTGACGAGTAAGGCTGAGTATTGTAGAAGACGGTAGGTAGTCACTGTGCCGTAGGGTTAGAGGATAGATGATCCTGTGGTCACTTCCCGGAGTGTACTGACCTCTCCTCGAACTGGAGCTGACGAAGAAGACTTGGAGGAGGAAGTGACGCAACAACCAGGATATGGAGAAGGGAAACCCCGGAGTGCGAAGACGAGTCATACTCGGGTCTCGTCCCTAGATGGCGGTGCTCGTAGTGCTGGGTAGGTAGATCAGGACAATAGATGGCGTGGTTCGTAACAATATATATATATATATATATATATATATATATATATATATATATATATATATATATATATATATATATATATATATATATATATATAAATAAACATAAGTGTAAAAGGGTAAAAGAAATTCAATCTATATTTTCATATATTCAGCTATTTTTATTTTTATTTTGTTTAATTTTCAGCGAGAAGCCTAATTAAGACCTTTAAATGTTTGTATATACCTTTAAATTTTATTGGATGTAACTTCCTGGTTTTTGGTGATTTCTTTTCCTCTGGGGTCTGTGGGACCCCCCATTACCTTAGGTGTAGACACATTTATACCATTACAGATCTCGGGTTAAAATTAAGTAAGGCAATTTAATATAATCCAGGTAGGTGTAATTATTATCATTCTTTGTTCATCTTCCATATTCACGCATTTTTATATGAATTTAATAAACGGACTTTAAAGCAATAGTTAACATTAGTGGGTCAGCATGATGAATGGTTGTGGTGATGGTCGGCTGGTGATGATGGTGGGAGTCTTGGTGCAGTACTCCACCGTGAACACCAAGCCAGCACACACTACACCTAGCACCAGGATAAAGAAGGCTCCTTGCAGGTGACCCACACTCAGAGGTCGTGGCACTGACCCCTGCCCATCCTGCAAACGAATGAGTGTACTATAAATGTTAATGTTAGTATCACATGTGTAGGGATGAATTATGGTAACCCAGAGCTACCACAAGTAATACTGACCCCGTGACCATAACTTGTAACACGTTGTCAATAGCAGGATAATCAAGGAATTGTAATGATTGTTTACCAGACCACAGCTTACAGCCCAGAGAAGAACAGCACATATAGCAGTGACCGGAAACGCAGGTGTATACACCCTCATAAGTTGACCAACCCTTCGTAATTAAAGTGAGATTAAGACCTGACCCAAGAGAGGTCACGGTCACAATGAACCAGAATTCTCACCGCCGTGTCATTAGGTAACCCAGCGACATGACCGTGTTACTTAAGAAGCTACCCTCCATCCAGTACACCTGTCACCTGGCCACACACACCCAGATTAGTGACGACATCTTCCAGCTCGTGACCGCCAATTTAAGAGCCTGCAGCTCCTTCCACGGAGCATTAGCATTACTATTATAACAGAGAAGGGGCCGACAGCTCCTCCCCAGAGACAGAACTCGGAAGAAGACAGAAGTAATGCTCGTCACTGGTCGAGGTCTGGAGGGAAACTTCCCTCCCCATCATCGAGCCCCAGCTAGCAGCCTCCCTCAGGAGACATAGTCCAGCACTCTCTTCAGCAGCACCTGCTGGGCCTCCCTCAGGTCACACGTGAGTTATTGTCAGAGTTATCCTTAGGGTGAGTTACTATCGGTGGGAGGTGTATCCATTTCATGTTTGTGTAAGAGAATCATTGTCTAGTAACTTCGATATAATGATTTATTAATGTGTCCAAGTTTAAATAGCTAATCGGCCACACTACCAACTTTCCTCACTTTACAACCCTCCTTCTATAAATGTTTTCCTAAATCTTCTATATGAGTCTTACCTGTATTACAGGTATAACAGTGAGTTTTGGCTTCATTTCTTCAGGTGTAGATTTTCAAAGGCTCGTAACCTATTTAGAAGAGGGAGATTTAAAACACAGTGTCGTGGGGTAGTAGAAGAATGTTGACCTAAGACGATGGAAGTCTTCCAGGTGTGAAAAATATTAATGATAAGGGAGAAAGAGCCATTAGAGGAACCAACCTTAGCTTGGGATCTGCTATATTCCTCCATTATATCTTTCTGCCATTTTTGGATGAAGCCAGACTCCAGTAGACGCCTGAGTCCCTTGTTGAAGGCCGTCCTCCAGGGTGTATTTTTCTGGAAGATGAAAGCCAGATTGCCTTCATATATTTGTTCCTTCATAAAATACACGTTATCACCTAAATCCATATCAACGTAGGTAAGTTTGAGGTAAGCATAAGTTTCTGTGTGAGCGTTTTTGTTATCGAGGACGAGAGCGGCACAGTCCTCTTGGCCATAGTAGCCATCCTCCTTGACGGGCACCAGGTCCATCTTGCCCCCCAGCCGCCGCATCTCAGCATCAGAGGAGGTGACCAGGGCGTCGGGCACAAACTCCCCGTAGTTCAACATACACAACCTAGTGATGGGAGACAGCCACTCAGTGTAAAGACAAACTTTAATACGAACCTCCCTGCAGTCAAGCACTATGGAAACTGAGGAAGAAGGTGCATGAAACATTTCCGAGATCTTCTCTCCTAAAGCAATTTCACGCGCTTCACTACTCACACCATTGGGTTATGTGTGATATTTCCTCTAAAACAAAACAAGTATTTACATCGACATCTCTCTCATAATGAAGGACCAATGAGTGATGCATCAACCTTCACTCTGGATCTATTCACTGGACACGTGTCTGTGTGGAGGAGGGAGGAGGGGGCATGTTTAAAAGTGGAATTCGAAAATTAGTCAGCTCTTCAAAAGTTGGTCAACAATTACGTCAGTAGGAAAATCAATAATGGTTTATGTTATATTTGTTTAAAAAAATCTCCGATGCCTGAAATTTCATCCTCAAGTGAATGTTTCTGTTTGCTTTTGACAGACATGACAGCGATTCCGCCGTCTCGCAAGAGCTCTTGTACCAAGGACACTGCTAAATTTAGTCTTCGCCCTGGCTCACACACCAGAGTTTAGCATAAAGCTGCACGATATTGATAGCCTTATGTGTTACCTGATAATGACCAACACTGATACTGTACTGTACTGGTATTATTTGATGATACTTTTCATAATAATGTTGGTCACACGTGATAAAGCCTCATTGTTATGGCAGTGGTCTTATCACTCTATACAGACACTAATGCTTTAATAACTCGCCTCGCGTGTTTGACTGATTTTATTGGGAATTCATCACATTTACATTACAATACAAAATAGTTTAGAACATAAAAAATCAGAAAACATATAGGCATATTAATAGTAATAGTCGTATTGTTATTTCAGTATTATTATTTTTTTCTTTTTAAGGGGAATAGCTCACTGGGGCACAGGTCACCGACCCACATCGGGGCCTTGGGGGCGAAAAAAAAATAAACAAAAATAGAAAAGGAAAAGTTTATATTATGCTGTAATTCATAGTTAAAATGAATGAAGCTTTATTTTAACATGTATGATTTAATGAATAGAATGATGCACACTGCATGATACCAGAAGAAATGTCTGTCTAAAATCATCAATTAATGCTTTTGGTGAATTTCTTACCGTAAACAGACGTGGCTTAGCTTAAGGGAAAGTGAGCCCTGAGAAACAATGCAAAAAATTCTTGGCCTCGAAGAACATTACGCATAAAGACTCTAATGTATCGTACTTAGTAAGGAGATTCTTAGAAAAAAATGATCTGACACTAGAACAAGTGAGCATGAACAGTGAAAGTAAGTTTTATTTGCTGTAGTTCATAACGTAGCCTATACTGTACTGCCCTGGACCAGAATAACGTGCAGCCTAATTTAACCTAACCAAACCTGACTAAACTAGTCAGTTATTAGAATAGACCAACCTAACTTAAGCTAACAATATTAAGACTTGCAAGAGAATTCAGCTGGTGGAGTTTGTCCGTTGGAAAAATTTCCTCCAACGGGAAATTGTCTGGCGAGATGCTTGCCCGGTGTAAGGCTGCCAGGCACGAATGTATCAGCTCGTGTTAGAGCAAGGTTGGTTTGGTTATTTACAATAGGTTTCTTTGAATCACTTTATTTGATCGGGGTAGGAAGGGTTATTCACGTCAAGTTAGGTTAAATTATTTGGTTAATTTAGGTTAAGTAACTACTACAGGTTTGCAGGAGGAGCCTTCACCACTCCTCCATGGGTGTATACTATCTTGACTTAACTCACTTACCTGTAGTTACTCTCGGCCAGCTCCCCCAGGGTGTTGATCCTGGTGGGGTAGACGGGCACGGTGAGCACGGCGATCAGGTTACACGTGTAGGAGATGACGAGGACGTAGGCGGTGATCCACCAGCCACCCAGGAACATTCTCAGCGACCATTCATGCGGCACCTGAATGTGTGACTGGTTCACCAGCCCCTGACCCCGGGATAATACACTGTAGTATAATTACCGTAGATAGAGTGGTAGTAGTTAGATAAATAAATATATAAGTGTATAGATAGATATTCAGTAAAATTCTCTTACAAGGTTAGGTTAGGTTTAAGTTAGTTGGACTGGGTTTAGATTAAGTTACGTTCGATTATTGGGGATGAGTTAGGTTAAAGCTGTTTGCATTAGGTTAGGTCAGTATACTGTTGGTTTGGTGTGTTGTTTGCCAGGTGTAAAGGTAATTCTCGGACCATTTAATTCTCGGTATTACTTGAAGGACGTGAAGTTGTAGGGCAGCCCATTTATGCCTTGGTGGTGTTATTGTTGAACACACACACACACACACACACACACACACGCACACACACACACACACACACACACACACACGCACACACACACACACACACATACACGGGATCAAGTGGTTATGTACCAAATTCTCGGAAAAGTTATTATTATAATTACACAAGATGGGTGGCCGTACCCTCATGACATAAGCGAGGGAGACGAAGAGGTGGGCGGTGTGGTGGTGCGGCTGCAGGTAGGTGAGGATGTAGAAGGAGAAGCCGCAGGTGAAGAGCACGCCGCCCACAGACACCCAGACCACCCAGGTGAACGGGTACACCAGGTTACGCCATCGTGGCAGTTCAGGTGGCGTCGGCAGGACGAAACCGAATCTGGGAATGGACAGCCATTTAGTGACGTATCATGTTGAAAACCAATCATGTTAAAACAGTGGCATATGAACAGCCAATTGTTAACAGAGGCCGGGTGATGGTGATGCCAAATATTATACTGTTATAAAATGTTGTGTTCAAGACAGTCAATTCGTTCATTTCTGAGATTGTGAGTGAGAGAGTGAGGGCAGCAGTACGGTAGAGTGGGAGAGAGTGAGAGGGAGTAAGCGTGAGGGCAGCAGTACGGTGGAGTGAGAGTGAAGCCATTACGAGGACTCACCCCTCCGTCAGGTAAGAGATGGAGGTGTCGAAATAGCGAGTCCTCTCATGGGTGATGGTGAAGTAGTTGATGGCCAAGTCCTTGTTGCCCTTATATACCTCTCCCAGCAGCCCCACCCACGTCCCGTTCTCTATCTCGCCCCACTTGCCTGTCAGAGAGAGAGAGAGAAGGGGGGGGGGGGTAGAGAGGCAGTAGATTATGGACAGGTTAGGTTAGGTTTAGTGACTGACAGACGTGATATTCTGTTACATTTTACTGAGGGCTTCACACCAGGCTGGAATGAATTATTTAATATTGGATAGTATGTGTTTTGTATTTTCAGTAACCTTAATAGATACGTGTGTGTGTGTGTGTGTGTGTGTGTGTTTTGCTAGATACATGTCTTTTACAATCTGTTCTAGGTGGTAGTGTTAGTATAGAGGGAGTGCGGTGGGCAGACGGTGTGGGGGACATACTGTAGGGTCACTCACTGTCAGGAGCTCCGTTGGTGAGTGTGAACGTGAAGTTGAGCCAGTCAGACAACACGTCAAGGATCCTCTTACACGTTCCTTCGAACTCGCCATCGTCATCAAGGAAGAGGAGCGGGGCGTCGTCGTCGTCACTGGAGACGTGGAGGGTCGTCCCCCCCATGGACTGGAAGCGGTCGTAGAACAAGCCTGAGAAGGACGTGAAGACCCAGGGGTCCCACGTCCCTAGATATCCCAACTTACAGTCAGGGTCGTAAGGCAGCCACGTTAGGACCCTGAAAACGAGGGTCCCTTCCTCCAAGGAGTCGGTGAGAAGGTCGTAGATGGTGAGAGAGATGAGGTCGTTCTCTAAGACGATGTCATTGTAGGAGACATCACCAGGGGATACGAGGTCGTCCTTCCATAGAGGATAGTCTTGGGGGTCGTCGCCGTCATTATAAGTGTTGTTGTGTGTGTCGTTCCGTTCCTTTGGCCATTGGTGGTGGTGGGCGGGACACAACAACACTACTGACGGGGTCTGCTGGGCAAGGCGGGTTTCGAAGAAGCGGGAGGCGTTGCAGGTGAGGTTGAGTTGGAGGAGGAGGAGCGTGGAGGAGATCCACCACTGAGGAGGCGTCAACAGCGGCCACGGCAGCTCCGTGTTGACCAGCGCCACCAGGGTGTCTGAGGGAGGAGGGCAGCTGCTAGGTTACTGGGAATGCTGCCAGGAATGGTGCCATGGTGCCATTAATGGTATAATGAACAATAGGATGGTGCAAGGTTTCCATGATTGACAGTACCATGTACAGTATATTGTAATGTTTGCAGCGATGGTACATTCATGTGTACAGTATTAGGAATAACTGTGTGTGTGTGCGTGTGTAATAATAAATAATAATAATAAATAACAATTAACGGTTTATTAAGAAAACATAACAGCCCGAAGGCTGAAAATATACAATGAACAGAGATGATAAGTTACATATGGTGATATCGGGGAGTGAGTCACTTGGTTGACTGCTAAGCCGCTACCTCACTACAGCTGCAGATGTACCACGTGGTCCGGGTAGGTCCTTCAGCTCACACATAAGAACATAAGAAAATAAGGAGTCTGCAATAGGCCGGTTGGTCTGTGCATGGCAGCTCCTGTCGAGAGTTACTACCACTCTCTATCATCCATGAATTTATCTAGCCTCCTTTTGAAACTTTCCAGCGTTCCAGCACTTACTACAAAGTTGCTAAGCTTGTTCCACTCGTCCACCACCCTATTTGTGAACCAGTTCCTTCCTATCTCCCTCCTAAACCTAAACTTATCCAACTTAAATCCGTTGCTCCGAGTCCTATCCTGCTCGGATATTATAAGAACTTTATCTATATCCCCTTTATTGATTCCTTTCACCCACTTAAATACTTCTATCATATCTCCCCGCACTCTTCGTCTTTCTAGGGAATGCAAGTTTAGATTCTTTAACCTATCCTGATATGGAAGGTTTCTACAGGTAAGTCCCGGAATCATTTTCGTTATTCTTCGTTGCACTGACTCTAGTGAATTGATATCCATTCTATAATAAGGGCACCAGAACTGAACCGCATAATAGAGGTGCGGCCTGACTAGCGCAAGATATAGTTCCAATAAGACCTCTGCACTCTTATTACTTACACTTTTAGATATAAAACCCAATACTCTGTTTGCCTAATTTCGAACATTAACGCACTATTTTCTAGGCTGTAGGTCCGGGCTTACAAGTACCCCTAGGTCTCTTTCACAAGTCGACTTCTCTAGGTTGATGTTGTTAAGGCTGTATACATTGAAAGTATTTGTTCTTCCAATATTAAGTACGCTGCACTTGCTGGTGTTGAATTTCATTTGTCATTTTTCAGACCACCCCTGCAATTTATTTAGATCCTCCTGTAGTGCATTTGCATCCTGCCCTGAATTAATCTGCCGCCCTATTTTGGTGTCATCCGCAAACTTGCTTATGTCACTGCTGATCCCAGTATCTAGATCGTTTATGTAGATTATGAACAAGAGTGGGCCTAGTACTGACCCCTGGGGAACCCTCTGCACCTCTCTATCGGTGAGCCATGATTTTATCCAATTTAAAACTTTCCCCTCGATACCATGAGCCTTAACTTTTCTCAGAAGCCTCTGATGCGGTACTGTCAAATGCTTTGCTAAAGTCTAAGTAAATAACATCGTAATTTTCGTCATTATCTACTACCTCGAAGACTTTCCTAAAAACGTCAGCAGATTTGTTAGACAAGATTTTCCCTTTGTAAACCCATGTTGAGAGTCGTAGATTAATTTGCTTTTCTCTAAATGCGATCGGATGCTATCTGCTATAATTGATTCAAGAAATTTCCCCACTACTGACGTCAAACTGATCGGCCGGTAATTTGACGCTGATGCTCCGTCTCCCTTTTTGAATATGGGTACTACATTTGCCTGTTTCCACAAGTCTGGCACAACTCCGTGTCTAATGATTTTGTAAATAAATTTACGAGGGGTCCGCTAATCTGTTCCTTACACTCTTTCAAAACACGAGGGAAAATTTCATCCTGCCCTGGGGATTTTTTCTTCTTTAGTTTATTTATCCTCTTAAGAACATCCTCTTTTCTGATAGTGATATTCTTTAATTTCTCTTCTTCCTTTCCCTAAATATCCTCGCGAATTTCTTCTGTGAAAACTGATAAGACGTAGCTGTTCAATGCTTTGCTTATTTCTTCACTGCCATTTATCACTTCCCCCCTCCCTGACTTTAAAGGCCCAACTTTGTCCTTGACCTTTGTCCTCTATACCTGGAAAAATCACTTGGGATTCGCCTTGGATTCTCTTGCTATTCTGATTTCATAGTCTCTCTTTGCTTTCTTTACATTTTTCTTAACATTCCTAGATAGTTCATTATACCTAGTTCTGAGCTGCTCTCCCTCCCTTTAATTTCTCATAAATTCCTTTCTTTATTCCTATAATCATCTCCAACACAGGGTGTTGGAGATGGCTCTTGTTCCTCATATGATGTTCCTCATATGTGTGTGTGTGTGAGACATGAACACTAAACATTGTAAAGACTTAAGAACAAAGAAAGACACTTACAAGATATTAAATTAGATAAACTACTACAGTAATATTGTATAATTAATCGATACCTTTAAGCATGGTAAAGAACAGGAACACGATTGTCACCTCACGTAATATTGGCGCTTGGTAATTAACTAGGAACCATTGATTAGTGTCGGCACAAAGGTGAGGTGTGGAATGATGCCTGTCTGCCACTCACTCACCAACACACTCAATTATCAAGAACTTGGAGCACGCAATTACTTTTTCTTTCTTGACATAATTGTGATGACTTACCAAGGGGTATTTTCTTCATTGTGATGGTAATACTGTAAACTTCACCTGTGACGACTATCATCACTATCAAGGGATGGTGTGGTGTAGTGTGGTGGGTGTGTGGTGTGGTGTGGTGTAGTGTGGTGTGGTGGGGTCTGGTGGGGTGTGGTGTGGTGTGGTGTGGTGTGGTGTGTGTGGTGTGTGTATGTTGTGTGTGGTGTGTGTGGTGTGTGTGGTGTGGTGTGGTGTGGTGTGTGTTGTGGGTGTGTGTGGTGGGTGTGGTGTAGTGTGGTGTGGTGTGGTGTGGTGGGGTGTGGTGTGGTGTGGTGTGGTGGGTGTGTGTTGTGGTGTGGTGTGGTGGGGTGGTGTGGTGTGTGTGTGTTGGGGTGTGTGTGTGGTGGGTGTGGTGTGTGTGTGGTGGGGTGTGGTGTGTGGTGTGTGTGGTGTGGTGTGGTGTGGTGTGGTGTGTGTGGTGTGTGGTGTGGTGTGGTGTGGTGGTGTGGTGTGGTGTGGGTAGTGTGGTGTGGTGTGGTGTGTGTTGTGGTGTGGTGTGGTGTGGTGTGTGTGGTGTGGGTGTAGTGTGGTGTGGTGTGTGTGGGTGGTGTGTTGGGGGTGTGGTGTGGTATAGTGTGGTGTAGTGTGGTGTAGTGTGGTGTGGTGTAGTGTGGTGTGGTATAGTGTGGTGTAGTATGGTGTGGTGTAGTGTGGTGTGGTGTGGTGTAGTGTGGTGTGGTGTGGTATAGTGTGGTGTAGTGTGGTGTGGTGTAGTGTGGTGTGGTGTGGTGTAGTGTGGTGTGGTATAGTGTGGTGTAGTATGGTGTAGTGTGGTGTAGTGCGGTGGTAGTGTGGTGGTGGGGGTGTGTTGGGGTGTGGTGTGGTGTGGTGTGTGGTGGAGTGTGTGGTGTGGTGGGGGGTGTGTTGGGGTGTGGTGTGGTGTGGTGGAGTGTGGTGTGATGGGGTGTGTTATCGTCTACCCATAGCATCACATCAACTCACACTCTTCCTGTTTCAATTTGTTGTGTTGTGTTGTAACTTGGGAGGCGGCAGACATCACTGACGATAAAATAATACAAACTTGTACTTTTTCTCCTTATAATAATAATAATAATGGTTGTCCCTCCTATTGGAGGATGGCCGTCCTAGGGCTACCTATAGGCTTAGTTAACATTTCCCTAATTGAGTTTATGGGCAGGGTTGAGAGTTTCTTGTCTCGTATATATATATATATATATATATATATATATATATATATATATATATATATATATATATATATATATATATATATATATATATATATGCAAGTAAATCACTGTAGGTGCGTTTAAGTCTCCATTGACGTCTTCCGTTTTAAAATGTGGTGGTATCGAGTTTTAGTTATGAATAAACTTTAAACGTTTTGTCAACAGCTTAAATGGGAGTTACAGTGTGCAGACTTCACAGTTTTCTCAATACTGTACTCTACTGTACTGTAATATCTCAATGTACATTCAGGAAACAGTATATTTTGTGTCTCGCATAACAATAGGTAGAGTCGTCGATTCTGAGTGGAATGATAAAAGTGTATTGTATTCAACATGAAAAACTGCAGTAAAAAGGCTGTGGCTATTAAGTCATTACTGATTAAATAGCCTGGTAGTCTATGCACCTGGGACGGCTCCTAACTACAACCCCAACCCCCACCTGGCCACACCTCCATCACAGCCTTCGTCAGGAGTATGGAACATGACCCGCTCCCCAACAACGGATCACCTGAAAATTAGCCCACAAAGTTAATTTCAACTGATGATTAAACATCATAATGCTAACCTAATCTAACCAACATACAAAAATTAGGGTGTTGAATCACCAGGTGAAATAAGCTGGTTGAAGAGTTAATTAATCATCAGGTGTTCCCCGAACCCTTAAGTCTTACATATCTGAGTGATGCTATTACCGGGTTCAGGCGAGTGACCCTGATTAACAGCCCCATACATCATCAGGTGAAGGGAATTGATGGTCATTTATCAAAGTGGTCACGTTTTATACTCTGGCTCGACATACATAAGCATACATACATACATACATACATGCATACATACATGCATACGGACGAGTTACTGAACTACGTGGCCTACGTAACCTCACACAGCATGGCAAGAGACCGGGCCATCAACTGCAAATTATAATAATTTATGTTCAGTTCATTTTTTTTTCGTTTTAGTAATGAAAGCTTTTGTTAAACAACCCACCTATTCCAGGTCTTTGTATGTAATAAGTCATTTTTGTCTAATGTTTATTTTCAGCCTTCGGGCTGCAAAACTTTTTCAATAACCCGTTAATTATTATTATTATTACATACATATACATACATATACATAAATACATACATACATAAATACATACATACATACATATATACATACAGTGTGGAGGGCGAGTAGTGTTTGTCTAGTAAATATCACAAGTAATGTGTGTGTATGTGTTATGCCTCAGGTAACGAAGGTGTTGACCACCTTAGATTGTGTTTAGGTCATGTTGTAGTAATAATGTATGTTGGTGAGTTGTACAGTGCGTGATATCCAAAATAATAGTACTGCTGTCTTGAATATTTTACTTGGGGATTGGGATTGTAAGGGCGGAAACGATCTTCCTGCTGGATACCGCTGCTATCTCGCTTGTTTGCTGGTGCGGACGACACTTGGGACGGTTTGGACAGAGGTGAGAACGGCAGCGACTATCTGCGTCACCGGCAGATTCAACCCAGCCGCCATACAGTCACTATCTAGCTACCCAGCTGTTCGTCAAATTCTGGCTATGATCTCATCATAGGTCCTGGACTCGTGGGCTGTGTCCCCAGACCTTCACCTATCGACTGTCAATTCTCTGGTCATCTACCACTACCATACCACGACTGCCAGTTCATCTCATTCCATCTGTGTCCCTGTGTTCTCCTGCCATTTCAAGACGTCTCTTGAGTGTGGAGTTGAATGGACGCTTCCCTACCCTGAGTGTGCATCACCGTGTTCCAGAACCTTCCCCCAGGGCCACTGCCCTAGGAAATATTTGTTCATTTTGATTCCATGATTGTGTGATTCCATTAACTGCTGACTCCCCTTTATTGTTCGATTCTATCAATTGTTGACTCCATTTAATTGTGTGAATCCATTAATTGCTGACTCCCATTATTTGTTTGATTCCTTTAATTGTTTGCTTCCATTAATTGTTTGACTCCATTAACTGTTGACTTGACTTAATTGTTTGACTCCCGTAATTGTTATTTGATGTTTGTTGAGTGGTGTCAGAGTTTTGTGTTATATTTTTATAGTAAAGAGATGTCAATCTCAAACGGTTGTTTGTTATTCCTCAGAAAACCAGGGTCCTTGACTTTCCTTTATTAAGATCCTGATTAGCCTGGTAAGGGATTTCTATCCCTAAGGCCCAGGCCTTTACAAGTGGCGACCTTGCCAGGATGCGAACCTGGAATCTTCTGATCCTCAGTCAGATCTGTGTGATCTGTTTTTTTCAAGGAGGTCATTGTTCGTACAACTCTCTTTTGTGCAGTAACCAGAGATTGTGTTTTTGAAGAGCCAGTGCCCCCCCCCCCCTAGTGTGTGACAGTGTATCAGGTGTTGGTAAACAAGATCATGATAGATTTCTTTCATTGCTGTGAGAGTGAGTGACTGTCGAGTGTGATACATGATACCGCACTGTTTATTGATTTTACTGTGAATGGTTTGTATGTGGTTTCTCCAGTTAAGTTTCTCATCAACAATAACTCCGAGGAATTTAGTATTTTGTTCGAGTTTGAGGACTATATTACCAAGGTACAGGGGGGTTCAAGTCTGGAGGTATTTTTTTTTCTTCTGTGAAAGATCGTGTAGTGGGTTTTCTCAAGGTTTAAGGTCAGTTTATTACGTATTACAGAGGTCCCGACTTTATTTAATTCAGTGCTCATAGTTCTCAAGGAATGGAGGTCTGAGTTGCTGGCATAGAGATTACTATCGTCTGCAAATAAGTTGTATTTTATGAGTGAGCTGGCGTGGACTATGTCGTTTATGTACAACAAAAACAGTACTGGACCGAGAATTGAACCTTGGGGGACTCCATACAAGATTGGCGAGGAGTCAGATTGGTGGTTATTATAACAGACATACTGCATCCTGCTGGACAGATATGAGGTAAACCAATTGTGGGACAGGCTCCTAACGCCGTAATGTTCAAGTTTTGAAAGGAGGATGGTATGGTCGACAGTATCGAAGGCTTTAGAGAAGAGGTCCAAGAATATACCGACTGTGAACTGACTGTCATCAGAGGAATTTAAGATGTTATTAGTAAAGGATAGCAGAGCACTCTCAGTCGACCTTCTAGCTCTAAATCCAAACTGTGAGTCTGTAAAGATGTTATTGGCATTGCAGAAGGAATTTAGTCTACTACATGCTAGCTTTTCCAGTATCTTACTCAAGGCTGGGAGGACTGATATAGGCGGTAATTCTTGAAGAGACCTTTGTCCCCAGATTATTTATATGCCTGGTGGACTTTAGCAATTTTCAGTTTATCAGGAAAGACACCGCTAGTGAAGGAGGAGTTACAAATGTGGAGGAGAACAGGTAGTAATAAGTGGGCTACTTTCTTAATGATGCTCATTGGTATATTGTCTTCGCCTGCTGCTGCATCTTTGGACATTTTTATGATGACCAGTAATTCATCTGCTGTGACAGGGGATAAGAATAGTTCATTTTGCTGTCTGTTTTGCAGGTAGGCTCTAAATTCCTCATGGTGATCAGGGATGCTCTCTGCCCTCTGCCTCAGAGGCCCTTACTACACGCACACCCAAAAGCTCAAGCTTTTCTATCTTTCGTATATAGTCTTTGGAAGATTGGCTGAGACGCGAGCTAAAGACAACGGGAAAAATGTCGTACAGGCGAGGATTTTATTTACTGTTCATTTAACATGAAGGATTTTTTCTTATTTATGGAACTTATAAAGTTATATTTAATGCAAAAATTTTCTAGTTATTTTGAATTATTTTTATGCCAAGAGCCATGGCATCAGTAGGCCAGTGTGTACACCTTTTGTTTGTATAGTAGAGCGGGGTACCAGAGTCTTACCAGGAAAATGTATAACAGGTCCTATACACACACACACCTTGTTTGTTTACCTGCCACTTAACAACTGCTAGTGGCCTCGTCGGGGGGTTATGGTCCTCCACCAGATAAGTTTGTTCAGTGTTAATATTGACTGAGGTGTTGCCTAAACTGTACACCTTCACCAGGTAAATTGTTCCATACCAGGTGTATCACTTAGTGTGTTAACAACCTTCTTATATCTGTTATGTCTGGTGTGTGTGTGTGTGTAGGTGCAAGGGCGGATCCAAGGGGTCCAGACCCCCCATTTTCACCAGAAAATTCCTGTACTTCTTTAATGCAGTATTGTACTCAGGCATTTTTGTATAGTAAAGATTATTTACTACTGACTTCAGAATGTCTCCCAATATCAAGTGCACATGACTACAAAATGGCCTCAAAATGTCCATGATATTGGTCAGATTTAAAAAAATATAAAATTCTGGGGCGCTTACAGCGCCCCCCTCCCCCCCAAAAAACAGCTGAGTGGGCTCGCTGTGCTCGCCAAGTCCCCCACCCACAACTTCTTGGACCCCCACCCCTTTTGATATTCCTGGATCCGCCCTGAAGTAGGTGTGTGTGTGTGTGTGTGTGTGTTTGTTTGTTTGTTTGTTTGTTTGTTTGTTTGTGTGTGTGACGTCGTGAAGAAAATGATCATGTTATACACTCCTTAATATTGAGGATTTTAAAATGTGTTTCCATGAGGTCCACCAAGCCACTGTCTCGAGTGTCTGGACAACCACGACGTGAACAATATTAGTGAGCAACCCGCGGCGAGGAGGTAGGGGGCGGTGACGGAGAAGAAAAGCTCTCTCGGTGGGCCAGTGAGTAAGTGAGTTAGAGAATAAATCAGTGGATCAGTGAGTGAGTGAGTCAGTCAGTCAGTGGATCAGTCAGAGCTGTGGAGGAGTTGACAACCTCGTACAGTTGTTGTTAAGGCCTGACCAGCCAACAGATCCTGATTCTCGAATATCACCGAGTTAAGTTTTCCTCTGACTGGAGATGTATAAACGCTTCTAGTGACCAGAGTCTCAGTGCACTCCCGACGCCATCTTTAGTTAGTAGTGAAGGTTTCTGTATAAATGTTTGAGGGAGTGTCTAGCAGAGGCGTTGGTTAAGGGAACTTTATCAGTGTCTGTGGTTAAGAGAGATGTTTACCTGCAAACTTTTAAGAATTCATTATTTTGTCTGTTTTTGGTGAGCAGTTGTGTGTGTGTGTGTGTGTGTGTGTGTGTGTGTGTGTGTGTCCTCATGTCTAGTTAAGGCAGTTACTATGTCCAAGTCTTTGAGAATCCATCTTTGTGTCGTGGCTTAAATGTGTCTGTTGGATACTACCTCAAGTGCGCCAGGAGGAAGTTATATTTACCTGTGAACTTATGATGAGGAGGTGAAGGTAAGGAGTTACCTGTGATTGGTGGATCCTGGTCATAGGTGGCGTTCTCTGCCTCCTCCAGCTGGTCCCCCTCCAGCACGGTGAGGTGAACGTCTATATCCTGGAGGCTGAGGTTAAAGTGGCCTACGTCGCCGCCTCCTATCCTGATGACGTGGAGGTCCATGTTGAGGGCGGCGAGGAGGGCATCCACCACCACCACCTCCTCCACCTCGACATGCATCAGTACCGTCACCTTGTGTCCCCTCAGCGGCCCCTCCACCACCTCCTGCAGCGTCCTGGTGGCTGCCTCCTGTAGCTGCATGTCTGGCCACGACATGCCCAGCCTGGCGCTAGTAACGCCAGACGAGAGAGAGAGTACTGCTGTGGTGAACAGTAGAGTCATCTTGGCAGGGTTTTGGTTCATACTATTATCGTAGTTGACAACACGAGGTAGTAGTAATGGTAGTAGAACCTGGGAGGGTATACCGCCAGACGAACATTCGCCAGCCTTTTCCCAACAGTGGTGCAAAATAAGATAATACCATAAAATTAGCGCTAGTAAGGGTAGTCAACAGCGACTAACGTTCCTCTGCACTCGGCAATAACTTTCTCGTGGCAGACGGACGTCCACTATCTTTTGCCTGCAGTGACGACCGTGCGCCAGGCAGGCTATTACTACAGTTTCACCCGTGTGTGGTACTGGAGGAGCCCCCGGTGGTACAGAGCGAGTGTGTATGGCAGTACAGGTGGCGGGGAGGACTGCTGGCGTGTGGCTCGTGTTGAGGAGTGAAGCAGCGGCCCTCACAGCCTGACTATAAGTACCCGGAGTGACCCAGCCTGTGCCAGGGTCCCCATACTTACCTCTGGACCCACACTTACACCCAGCTGACCTCACCAGTTCAGTGTTGTTGAGAGAGACAGACAGACAAACAAACAGAGAGAGAGAGCGAGAGAAGACTGGAGAGCTAAAGAGAGAGTGGTCAAATTGGTCTCTCAAATCAGTCTGTCTGTATGTCTTGTCTGTCAGTCACTATATCTTTCACTCACTCAGTCTGCCAGTCATCCATCCATCCAGTCAGTCAAAAGCGTGTGTGTGTGTGTGTGTGTGTGTGTGTGTGTGTGTGTGTGCGTGTGTGTGTGTGTGCGTGTGTGCGTGTGTGTGTGTACAGGGTGATTCGTAGACCTGTACTGAACAAGCCCCTCAGTACAAGGTCACAGGACGGAAGTGTTCACTGATCCTCTACCTGTACTTCTCTTTACCTGTACTTGCGTGTCTACCTGTACTTGTAGCTGTACCTGTATACCTGAGCTGCTGTTTCCGAGGTGATGGTAAATTATTAACATCATTGATCGTGGGTGGTTTTGCCTAATGTTGTAACTTAAAAACTCTACAGTTGTATCTGTTCATGTATCTCTGTACCTGGATTTGTATATGTCCCTGTACTAGTATGTGTGTGTGTGTATCTACACTTATTTTTATATTAAGAATAGAGAATTATTTATCCCCGTGTTGTGTGGCCACGAGGGAAGGGAGGCATTAGTTATGACACCACCTGGCCTGTACACTGCGTCACTCACCTGTGTACTCGTGAAACCTTTAAAGTTTTATTTTCTTGTTTGGGTGTGGCGAGCGAGTGAGTGAATCATGCAGGTGGTATGTATATACAAACATGCAGGTTATGAGGTAATCTACAGCTTGTGGCACTCAGTGTGAACACGCTAAACACAGTACTTTACCGTATTATTATTATTATAAGTTTTTAGAGTTTAGATGTTTCTGGCAGTGGTCACAGCAGCTGTTGGCAGTGTTACATTCACCCAACATCACGGAAAATCGTGTCATTATTACAAACACTAACTTAACCTGTCGTGTCTAACTTAACCTAATGTAACTTAAATAAAATACTCGATCTATCCTCATCTATCCCAACCTACCTTAACCTTATTAATAAACTTACGTGTGGACTTACGTGCGAACAGTGAAACAAAGAAACCTCCCAAAAATTAAAAAAATAAAGTAAACCTACATGGTGTCCTTATAGCATTCTTCAGATTATTATATTTTACGTGTTTTAAGCTCACACATGACTAACTACACCGCCCACATTCTCCCGAAACAGAAGGTTAAAAACTCACACCACCTGCAACAGACATTTTTGGAGGAAGCTGCCATGACATTAACTGATATTTTACAAAGTGAATATCGAGTTATGATAGGTCAACCAGTCTCAGCTGAGCATTGATAAATAAACAAAAAATTTGGCTGGGATAAATTCAAGAAAAGTTAAATTAAACTTAAACTCCGAAAATATAAACAATTTTAGCCTCAGATGATGTAAAACAATAGGTCTTTTAATTGGTATCGGGGTACAAGATCACATCTGTTGAGCACAATGTGAACCAGGTAGATATTTTCGGTGAACCAGTGAAACCTTCTCTTCGTGTTGGATAAGTTGAACCAAGTAGATACCTCATCAGGTCTTCGGGCGAGAGAGGAGAAAGAAAATATTTTTGACCCCGGTAAAAATCTGAGCCACACACGTGCATCACACACCTGAGTCCTGTAACGCACTTCTCAACCACACACCCAAGGCACACCTAAGCCACACCTGAGCCTCCTGTAACACACTTACAACATACATCTTTGTCACACACCTGCAACACACACCTAAGTTTCCTGTAACACACCTGCAACTTACATCTCAGTCTCACACACCTGCAACACAAACCTGAGTCTCCTGTAACACACATTTCAGCCACACACCTGCAACACACCTGAGACACACCCGAGTCCCCTGTACATACACCGCGCCGTCACCTCTATCTGCACGGCTTACTCCACTACCACCAAACCACAAGTTACTAACAGGCAAACTATGAAAAAAACGAGACAGGAGTTGGTACCTGATTGGTGAAAAACCTTGCCGGCTTTTGGGACGCCATCTATGTCCCTTCTGAGCAAAATGACCCCGGCAGTTCGGCTCTCACCACCGTCGGCTTCTGTTGCTCTGTCGTGACGTGATCCACTGTTCCGGCACTAACCTGTACACGAGGAATCAAAAGACCCTCTAGTTGTAACGTGTATCATTACAGCTGAGTACATTATTTTTCACCCTTGTATATATGTTTTTGTGTTTATTTTATATTAAGTATAATACTGAAAAATCACTTGCATATTTTTCACGTCCTAATATTTATACAGTGTTGGGTACTGCCTGTCAACCATGAGTGTGGTATCAACTATTCAATTAAGCCAAGTAATGCTGTAATAACTAAACCCAACAGTAAAAACAAACGAGAAAACTTTACAATACAAACAGATTGTCATTTGTTACGTAATTGGTCATGAGTTTTACAAGGTATTATAACTAAATTATTTCAACCCAAAAGCCCCTAGACACACACAGGTAAAGAAATCCTTTAAATTTTTAGATTAGAATAAAAGTAAAAGATAAAGTAAAGTAACTTAAGAAAATTGCCTTCTTGACTGCTCGGTTTCCGTAACACTTGTTGTATGTGGGTCTATGATTCACCTATAGTATTCACCCTTGTTCTTTCCCTAATACTCGATACTATATTTACATGAACCCATGGGCCTTCCTCTCACGTCACGCTACCAGGTCAGAGTATCAACGTAAGTTGTAAGAGTGCCAAGCCCTCACAGGGGGGCAGCTTGTGTTGCGCGTTCTTACAATTGATGGCCTCAGTGGTTCAGCAGTAAGTAGTAGCAACCGGCGCTCTTACAATGTAACACCCACCCGAGTCTCCTCTAACACCTGAGAGACACACCCGAGTCTCCTCTAACACCTGAGAGACACACCCGAGTCTCCTCTAACACCTGAGAGACACACCCGAGTCTCCTCTAACACCTGAGAGACACACCCGAGTCTCCTCTAACACCTGAGAGACACACCTGAGTCTCCTCTAACACCTGAGAGACACACTGAGTCTCCTCTAACACCTGAGAGACACACCCGAGTCTCCTCTAACACCTGAGAGACACACCTGAGTCTCCTCTAACACCTGAGACACACCCGAGTCTCCTCTAACACCTGAGAGACACACCTGAGTCTCCTCTAACACCTGAGAGACACACCTGAGTCTCTAACACCTGAGAGACACACCCTCCTCTAACACCTGAGAGACACACCCGAGTCTCTCCTAACACCTGAGTGAGTCTCCTCTAACACCTGAGAGACACACCCTCCTAACACCTGAGACACACCCGAGTCTCCTCTAACACCTGAGAGACACACCCGAGTCTCCTCTAACACCTGAGAGACACACCCGAGTCTCCTCTAACACCTGAGAGACACACCCGAGTCTCCTCTAACACCTGAGACACACACCTGAGTGGGTCTGGACCCCCCATTTTCATCAGAAAATTCCAATGCTTTGTCTTTAGTGCAGTAACTACTATTGACTTTAGAATATCTCCTAATATTAAGTGCACATGGCTTAAAAATGCCTTTAATGTTGATTGGACTTAAAAAAAAATCTGGGGGGTTTATAGTGTAGTGGATTCCTCCCCGACAAACGCTTGTCGCCGAGTAGCCGACTCCGCTAATTCCCCAGTGTATGCCTCGTGGTCTAGGTCAACCAGCGCCGCCTTACATGACGGAGGTCAACTATTAAGCCACTCCTACCTCCGCTATATAAGACCTGACCTCGTGGTGACCTACCGCTCTCTTTCTACTCACAGCCACCAAGCAACACCTCCTCCTCCTCCTGCCTGGCGGTCCTCGCTCCCGCCGGCGAGCATGGCGACCCACAAGCTGGTCCTCTGCTGAGCACCCTCACCAACCAGCTCTCTCTACTCAACGCTTGTAACCATGCTGCCTTCCCAGCACCAAGCTGCATTGTACATACAATACAATATGTATACAGAGAGCGCATTGTGAGTTTCCTTTCTCCATCCCATCCTGAGTGTGAACCAAACAACCCATACCCCACCAATGGTGACCCCCAGAGATTCACACTCACACAGGATGGAGGAGAAACCGATCACTCTCCCAGTCTTCAAGCAACATGGAAGACTGGCTTATCCACACAGAGGCAGCTCTCATCGGCTCTACAGCTCCTGTCTCTACACTGCAGTTTAGACACCCTAGAGCAGCACTGCTTCTCTAAGCAGAAACCAGCTCCTCTTCCTGCCCCAAGCACCACGTCCTACCGACCCCAGCACACCCGTCCTGCCTCAGACGCCGCCCTGGCCCAGCAGTACCCCCTGCCACTCCTCCTGACGCGGCCCCTGCTCCTGAGTGCGGACCCACACACCCCTCTTTTCTCCCTCAGGTACTCCCTGCTAATGTCCTGCACCCTGCTGCTGTCGTGGACCCTCCTCCGCTCCTGCTGACACAGCCCCTGCTCCTGACCCAGGCCCACACACCCCAGCAGGCGCATCTGAGGACTCTGTACCTGCCGTGAGGGAAGCACAACATTCATCGCCTCCACACACCCTTTTTCCCCCTCTCTACTCCCACAGATATTGTGTATCTAGACAAATGTCTCCTCTAGCGGCCGGCTCATCTACGCCCTCGCCGTTATGGCTCACATGTGGCATGAACCGCCCGTTCTGCCTCACATGTGCCATGCAACCCTGCAGACAACAAGTCTCCTACACCGCCTGGAGGGAAGGGGGAGTATTGTAGTGGATTCCTTCCCTACAAACGCTTGTCACTGAGTAGCCGACCCCAAGAATTCCCAGTGTATGCCTCGTGGTCTAGGTCAACCAGTGCTGCCTTACATGACAGAGGTCAACTATTAAGCCACGCCTACCTCTGCTATATAAGACCTGACCTCGTGGTGACCTACCTCTCCTCTTTCTGCCTACACCAATCAGCAAGCAACACCTCCTCCTCCTCCTCCTGCCTGGCGGCCCTCGCTCCCGCCAGCGACCATTGCGACCCACAAGCTGGTCCTCCTCTGAGCATCCTCACCAACCAGCTCTCTCTACATGATGCTTGTAACCATGCTGCCACTTCCCAGCACCAAGCTGCACTGTACATCCAATACAATATGCATACAGAGAGCACATTGTGAGTTTCCATTCTCCATCCCATCCTGAGTGTGAACCAAATATCCCGTACCCCACAATAGCGCCCCCCCCCCCACCCCCCAGCTGGGTGGGCTCGCTGTGCTTGCCAAGTTCCTCTAACCACAACTTTTTGGACCCCCTCCCCCTTTTGATATTCCTGGATCTGCCCCTGTGTAACACACATCTCACCTGAGTCACAAACCTGCAGCAAACTTTTTTGGAGTGAGGGTTGTGAACTCTTGGAACAATCTACCAGAGAGTGTTGTGACGGCACCGAGTGTGAGCTCTTTCAAGATAAGACTTGACCAACACTGGAGTGGGTTCAGGTACATTCAGGAGCCAGTGCATGCCCAGTATTTGCCAACAGTGCGTGACAGAGACTTGACCAATCACCGGGCGGCTAGCGAGCCGATCTTTTGGTGAAGAAGATAAATGAAAAGGAAAAGTAATCAGAGACGTGACCGATCGCTCAAGCGGCTAACGAGCCGATCAGTGGCGAAGAGGATAAAAGTAAAGTAAAAGCAGACAACTGTAACACACACACACCTAAAACACTTGAATCACACATAATTATCCACACACAATCTATGACTGTGGGGTGAGCATCAGGGTTGTGTGGAGTGACCAGATAAAAGGACATATTGTACAGAGTAACACAAAAGTTTGTTTCCAAAAATTTATTTATTTTAAATTTCAGAAGTGAGCAAGAGATGTGCCAGCACATGTGGCTAGGCAAGGAAGATGACGGAGGTGTGATCGACCACTCTGAGAATGTCAGAATTTACTTACTGTCACGACAATTTATTCATGTGATAATTTATGTAACGAGAATGAAGGTTAAGGAAATAGTACAGTACAGTACAGTATTATTTGATCATTTGGGAAATGATGAAGAATGTGATAAAATTAACACTCAAAAGGGATGAATTTAATTAAGAGGTGACAGTATGAGTCCACTAGTATAGTACTACATCACAGCCAGCCTGCAACTACAGTCTATACACAGTGATGACGACACCTCCTCTCTGTTTTGTTTGTTGTACTGAACAAAACAGAGCTGGGAGATCTGATAATTGTTCATCTGTCTGCAGGTTGACTTATCATCTTGGTACTAGTGGTCAGTCATAATGTAAACAAGTGTTACCACAGTGAACGGAATGGCTGGAGCCAGAGAGAGTGCATGGTGTTAGCAACATTCGACATCTGTGAGGGAGGATATGGTACCCGCGCTTTCCACTCGGCCACAAACTGCTTCATTATCCCGGTCACTTGTATGTACCTGTAAAATTACCAAATCTTTAACCCTGAGAATGTTTAATGCTATTACACACAGCAATGAACTAAGAGACAAAGACGACAATATACTGTAGTATATAACCCAGCATTATATCTAACCTAACCAAACTTAACCCAGCATTATACCAGGAAGAGTCTCGACTTACTCAATTGAATCAACAGGAATAGGATGATCTTCATATGGATCTTTGAAGAGGTTAAATAGTTGAGGCTCGTAACCGTAGTCGATGAAGTCCCAACACGAACGGAGGGTGTTGATGCCCCAGCCATGCTGTGTACTATCCTTCTCCCAATTGTACCCCACCAGATTCATTTTGTATGCCAGGTTACCTGAGGAGGAGGGAATATATTAACAGGAGCTATATTTACTACTGTACATGATGATAATAATAATAATAATAATAATCATCATGAAAAAAGTGAAAATGGGTCCCATAGGCATGACTGCCCATTAGGGACAGTGTGGGTAATACAACACCGTATGCTAAGCCTTCATTACACAAGGAGGCAACATGGCCGGTATTGCAATAGACTGCATTCCCTTCCCCAAGCTGTAAATTTAGGTACCCATTTACAGCTGGGAGAACTGTGAGTGCCGGGGGATCGAACCATTAGCCCATGGCACAGGATGGCAAACGCTGTATCCACTTGACTGCTGCACATAAAATAATAAAATATTTGTGAGGTAAATTTGTCATTCAGGTTCACATTTGGATTGGCATGTATATACTGTATGTAGACAATGCAGGTACTGTATGCATTTCACTATGTACTTTATATAGTACCTGCAGGTATAGCAGTATATGGTGTACATAGACCATGGAGGGTTCTGCCTTAAACACTCGTTACCTCAATCAGGTTAAAGTTACCCGGAGTTGAACTACTTATTACCTGGATCACATTACAGTTACCTGAAGTGAGTCTGACAGAATGTATCTCGTGACCACAGTGGTGTATTAGTGTGCGGGACGGCGGATGTTCCCCTTTGGTCAGTAAGTTAGCGATGCTCACACCGTCCAGTTCCTGCGAGGGAGATTAAAGATGCAGTGAAACCTCTATTTAAAGGAATACTGTACTGTATATGGTGAAGAAAGTCCACTATGTCAAGGGTCCTTTAGATGTGAAACCTCCATATAGCGAACTACATGGAGAGAGAGGGAGAAGTCCGTTATATGGAGGTTTCAATTGTAGGTTTTTTCACTCCTAGAAGTTGCTGATGGATGGCCTCAATAAGTTACCGTACAGACTCTGCCTTCAGTCACTCGATGTAAGGATGCAATCAAGTAAGTAACATGACTCCTCATCTTTCATCAATTATCATCGTTACCTCTCATCATCACCACTTATTACCTCTCATCACCACTTATTACCTCTCATCATCACCACTTATTACCTCTCATCATCACCACTTATTACCTCTCATCATCACCACTTATTACCTCTCATCATCACCACTTATTACCTCTCATCATCACCACTCATCACCACCAGTACACTACACCAGTTATCTCACAGTACAGTAAGTCCTCGCTTAACGTCGTGGTTCTGTTCCTGAAAACTGCAACGTTAACGGAAACAACGTCAGCGGAATCAATTTTCCCCATAAGAAATAGGTAAAATAAGGGAGTTATGTTCCTGAGCCTCCCTTTGCCCCATGAAATACATTACATGAAATACATGGACGGAGGTGGTGGAGCGGAGGAGGAGGGCGGGAGCGGAGGAGGAGGGTGGGGAGTCACTGAGACCTGGTGGGTGGCTCCTTCTCCTGGTTTAAAACTTCCATTTTCGTAGCAAGGCTAATGGTCTTACGTTGCTTCTTCACAACACTAGCAGTAGCACTTGATGGGCACTTGGAAGCCATTTCGAATTGGTAGAGTACAGTATTAAGAGCAAAAACACTTAAGCATGCACGAATGCTGTAGAAGCCTAACAAAGACTGACGCTAGTGAGAGGTAGTGTGCCAAGACGAGAGAGGGTAATGCGCCGTAAAACGTAGCTTGTGACAATGCAGAAAAAGACGTTATATTCAGTCGTTGGGACGTTAACCGAATTATTGGTATCTAAAGAGTAGCGACGTTATAACGAAACAACATTATCGGGGGCAATGTTAAACGAGGACTTACTGTACAGAACAAGGGAGGAAAGAATAACTGAAGTCTTGTATAATTCTGATTTTTAAGTAAGAGAACTAAAATCAAGGTGTACAATGACTCAATGGGCCTCTGATGTGCTGTACCCTGGTGTAAGATGGTGAAGGTTGGTGGAGGTGTTCGGTTATGTAGTTGATCTTTATGCTTGAGAAAACTTCAGTTAAGGAATCATTTCATTGTACAACATAAGGTGAGCAGGAGTTGGCCAGTGACTGTGTGAGGCACCACTACAATAAACACCTTACACACGGAAAACATCCATCAGTTAGGTCAACATAAGGCAGCATTATGGCGGATTGGACACAACCAACTGACTTAATACAGACAGGTATTATACGTACTCTGGGAGGCAGGTGAGGGAGAAGGTCAGGCAGGGGAGGGAGGCCAGCCAGGTCAAGGATGGTGGGCATCATGTCCAGGAGAGAGGTAGGGGCATCTCCTATTACCCCAGCAGGGATGTGACCTGACCAGCGATAGATTCCTGGCACACGGATCCCACCCTCGGCACTACCCATTCTCTTGCCGCCTGTAATTTGGTCGTTAATATTTCCATTAGCTTTATCAAGTTAATTATTATGTTTGTATTGTACATCTTTTGTCAAGTTGTGTTAGCTGCTGTATGTGTGTGAGCCACCAACTCATACACTTGAGTGCAGAGACTTCAGCCCTTGCATACAATGATGTAAGCCCTTGAGTATGGTGGCTTCACACTTTGAATATGATAGTGTTAACCAATTCACCACGCATGATGATATTGTATTCATTGGGTTAATTTACTGTTCTCAAGGAGTGTTGAAGTTACTGACCCTTGAAGCGTCCATTGTAGCCTCCCACACGCTGACCGTCCTGACCCACAACCTCCAGGTCGCCCCCGTGGTCAGAGAGGAAGTACACGAGCGTATTCTGGTCGAGGCTGTGTTCTTTGAGGGCAGCCATGATCCTTCCAACTCCAGCATCCATTTCTTCAACGTTATCACCATACCTGTAACAACGAGAGCATAGTGAGTTTGTTACCACCATAATATGTAATTACGAGATCAATGTGTGTGTGTGTGTTGTGTTTCTACTCGGTATGTCCAGGCTCTTGTGCTGTATGTACCTGAAGATATTCCACAATGATGTAATCCGGTCTTTAAGGAGTTCCGTCACACTCGGTTCCGGAGTGTGACTGAGTAATTCCCTTTGAGGTGTTTATGAACTTTTATTAAATCATCCATTTGTCCTGAACCAATATTTACTAATTAAGGAGAAAATCCAACCTACACAGCTATGAGAATCTGGGCCCAGTACATGTAGTGACCATCTACACTAACACTTTTGATTTCAGACTTTTTAATGAAAATTTTGTCCTCCGGTGTTGGCAGGTGCCAGGGGAGGTAATTGCCAGAGGAAATGTGTTGAAATCATGAATGAAGTCAAAGCGGTCATTTTAAGGAAAACCAAACCGTTCGCATATGGAGAACTATAATGGGTACTGGCGTTATGAACTGACCAATGAGGTATATGTCTGAATATACAATAAAGTTGATCAGATGGAGATGATGAAATAAAATGAGAAGATTAGTGAAGGAGTAACCACCATCACCCTAACGTATTGAGTGAAAAAGGAAGAGAAAGAAAATAAGGAGAGAACAAAAAAGAACAAGAATAATATGAAGACATATAAAAATAAATCTCGTTACAATAAAATATAAAAATAAATCTCGTTACAATAAAAGTGAAGAACTAAACCCACCTTCCGTGTTTGCTGCGTCCCGCCATCTCTGGGGCCGAGAACATGGGCGTGTGGACGTGAGCAAAGGAGTGGTAGAGGAAGAAGGGGCGCTGGTCTTGTGCATGGTCGGCGATGAACCTAACGGAGTGGTCCACCAGGAGCTGTGAGAGACCCTCCAGCTTCAGTGGCTGCTCCACCACCCGGTCATTGTGCATCACCAGACCGTTCATGTGTTGGTCCATCCAAGGGGACACCTGTGTTAACCGTGCCATTATACGACTGTTAACAGTGACAATAACTGTGTATATAACTGTTAATGTAACAATGTGTAACTGTTAACCATGACATAATATACAGTAATTATTAATCAAGACCATAATATAACTGTTAATCATGACAATATATACAGTAACTGTTAACCATAACAATAAGAGTATACAGTATAGTCTGGTTTTACGCGGTTAATTAAACCCATGGAGGTCCGCGTCTAAAGTGAAATGCATAAAAAAAATAAGAGAACCTATGGGATTACAGTAATTGAAATAGAGACTGGGCCGACCGCCAGACTACCCTTTTTTTGGCTATCACAGACACAATACTGTACAGTGTAGTAAAAATAACATCTTAATTTTATGATGGTATGCACACACAATTAATATATAAGAGAAATATCAATAATATTCATTTTTTTAACACTTACGTTAGTAGAAGAGATGGCTGGGCACACGGGGATGGGGGGTTGGTTCCGAGGCAGATTATTGGCCCTCACCTGTCTCTCTATCCACCAAAGAGGCTAGCAGGGCCTCCTTGTCAAACCCCTCGAAGTCCACATCCTCACTATCACTGACTTGGGCTGGCTGTAGTGGTTGAGGGGTAAAGAACTCGGTGATGTTTTGTTGACGGCTAGCATTGATGTGGTCGTGATACAGCTGAACATAACATAGGGCTCCTGGCTTTCAACAGATGGTTATTAGACACTTCGTGGCGATGATTGACTGGGTCTTTGGCAAGAATGAGCTTCATTCTCTCGGCTAACTCGATGACTTCCTTCACATCAGCATGTGTTAGTTTCTGCTCTTGTTGTTCTGTAACACCTCGCTGCTCACTGATGTCATCATCTTCCAACATCTCGTCTGCAGTCACCTCAGGTTGCCTGATTACCTCCAGGATGTCGTCGTCGGTGGTCTCGGAGAAGCCTGCAGCTCTAACACCCTGTGCAGCCTCTTTTGCATTCTCCAATGCTACAGCAACAGACCGAGCCTCGCAGTAGCCATTATGTAGAAAGAAAAAAAAAACACTGGTTCCTGAGCACAAGTGAATATACACGGAGACAGTGAGACTGACGCGGCGGTGGAGAGGGAGGGTGGCGGGGGTGGCAAGGAGGAGGTGTGTGGGTGGTAAGGATATGTGGCCCAATCACAGTCCGCGACGTCACCGGCACGAGTCTGACGTCAGCGGTGACATCAGCGCCCAGCACCTTGCCCCGCCGCTTGCCGCGTATATGATGCCATTTACTGCGTAAATAATAATTATCGCTTCTGGACAGGTGCCGCGTAAATGGCCGTCCGCGTATAAAATATCCGCTTAAACCCAGACTATACTGTATAACTGTTAACCATAACAATATATAACTGTTAACCATGACAATAATATAAGGGCACACTAACCTTCCACCATCTTGCAGTATGGAAGCGGTAGTGGGTGTGCAGGAACCAGCTGGTGGAGAGGGCGAGCGTCACCACCCCTATGCACACGGCAATTGTCCTTCGACGCCACCGCAGCCAGCACAGCGTCAGGGCATTAACCACCCACAATGATAACAGCATCTGGGGACACAAATATATGCTGTGTTTACAGAGTCCCTTGAGGTTTGTGTTTACCGTACAGACTCCCTTGAAGTTTGTGTTTACAGAGTCCCTTGAAGTTTGTGTTTAGAAAGTCCCTTGAAGTTTGTGTTTACAGAGTCCTTTGAAGTAAGGAGGCACATCATATGTCCCAACGGGATGAAGAAACTGCACTATTTGAGACTGAATGTGAGAAGGACCTAGGTGTGTATGTTGACAATGACCTGAAGTTCTCGGGCCATTGCGAGAAGAAGGTAAATCAGGCAAATAAATTATTGGGTCTTATAAGAAGGTCGTTCAGATATCTAGACAGTCCGTTCCTCGTAACGATCTTGAAGAGTGAAGTGCTTCCCCATCTGGAATACTGTCACCCCGTCTGGTCCCCGAGATATGCTAGGGACTGTCAGTTGGTTGAAAATGTTCAGAGGAGGGCCACCAGACTGGTGCCTGCACTTCGGCACCTCAGCTACCCTGAGAGATTGGAGTGCCTGAACTTGCCTAGCTTATACTATAGACGGGCAAGGGGTGACCTAGTTGAGGTGTATAAGCATCTCAGGGGGCACTACTCAGTCGAGTGTCCTTACTTGGAGCTGGCGGACACTCGCCCCACAAGGGGTCACAGCTCAAGATTGAAGAAGCCGCAGGTTCAGAAAACTGTGAGAGCAAAATTCTTTCGGAGTGAGAGTTGTGAACTCTTGGAACAATCTACCAGAAAGTGTTGTGACGGCACCGAGTGTGAGCTCTTTCAAGACAAGACTTGATCAACACTGGAACGGGTTCAGGTACATTCAGAAGCCAGTGCATGCCCAGTACTTGCCAACAGTGCATAACAGAAACGTGACCGATCGCCCAAGTGGCTAATGAGTCGATCATTTGGTGAAGAGGATAAAAGAAAGGGAAAAGTAACAGAGACGTGACCAATTGCCCAAGCGGCTAACGAGTCGATCAGTGGTGAAGAGGATAAAAGCTAAAAAAAAGAAAGCACTGTTCACTCTAACTAAAGTCATTTTTCCTCATTTCCAGTTTATAATACAGTTGGACAGTTCCTGACTGTTTCCTGATGTAGTATGTGTAGTGTAGTTTCCTGGTGTAGGCTACAAACATAAATCACATAATAAATATTGAAAGAAATTAGTTAAAACATCACCATACATCAGCAACAAGACTCATAATCAATTACCTGTACTGTAAAATACACTTTGATTTGAGCCTTAGCTAGAAAGGGTAGAAACAGTATATATACCTGGTAGAAGCGGTCCTCCAAGGGGAATATCCAGAAGGGGTGGGAACCTGCTATGTCTTCAATAAGGGTGAAAGGAATGCCATAGAAAGACTGGAAGCCATGTTGTTGGGGCCCCCGACACCCACGTCCCAGCAGCCCGCACCTCATGCCCAGATGCCACTTGCCTGAGGGTGTGATGTAAGTCTCATTATCTATGCACCCCAAAACTTAGAAAATAAAATACAAAACTGAACTTTAAAGGAAAGCTTCCAATTTTATCTCCTCTCATTACTACTACTACTGTACTCAGAATGGCTACTACTACTGTACTCAGAATGGCTACTACTTGCATTATGTTTATTCTAGACATTGTCTATTATGCAAACAAACCACTAATTATGTATGAAGGAGAAAATGACACAGTATATTCTTAGATTAGGCTAGGCCAAGGATCACTTCTACATCATGGGAATAAACCTTTCAGAGTTGTGTATCCCAGAAGGTCATCGTTAAATGCCTGAGTGTGATACAGTACATACCAACAGCAGCTGTGGTGTAGTTGGCAGCGCTGAGGGCATTAGCGAGGGTCACTTCGTCCACAGGGAGTCCAACTTTACTGGCGACGTGTACCACGACCGGTGGTGTGCTCTTGTCTCCCACCAGACCTGTGATGTGTGTGGGTGTTACTACAGCAGCACTTACTTCCTACAGGTGTCTGATGTTTATACATGTAATAGTTTTTCATTAAAATTCCGTTACAGTACACTCTTTATAATACAATGATGTATCATGTATGTATGTTAACATATACCAACATTTACTGTTAAATTTTGCCAACAACCACACAAGTTACCATAGCGTGCTGGGTAGCGGGCAGTGAGCAGGGCAGCACGACTGGGGGTACAGAGTGCAGATGCAGCGAGATGATGGGTGAGCCGTATGCCCTCACTCGCCACCCTGCCGGGGCGACAAACACACACACACACACACAAAAACACTTGGTTTGAGAAATAAATGGCTAACAATACAGTACAGTACTTTTAATTTAAGTTTACACGAGAAATAAATTCAAAAATTAAATTTGAATGAAGATATAATTTTATGATTATTGTAATTAAGGTTTATGATGGTAATGATTGAACTCTCCCAACTACCACTAATTAACATCTTGAGATCAGCTCAGAGGTCATAAAATTGGCCTCATACTATTTATTGGAAACTGTGAAAGTGGTATCAAGAGCTGTGGTCTGACCCCTCAAGTACCAGCACCACTACCACCATACCTGTCTATGTTTGGGGTGTTGATGGTGGTGTTACCGTAGCACCCAAGGTCCCCAATGCCCAGGTCGTCTGCAATCAGCACCACCACATTTGGTCGACGCTCTTGTTGCTTCAGCTGTTGTGGATGTTGTTTTGTTTGTTGCTGTTCTTGTTTCTCCTCCACCTCCTCCTGCTGTGGCTCCTGGTGTTGTTGGCCATCACCCAGCACCACCACGACTGCCCACATCACCACCACCATCAACGCCCATATCCACACCCTCGCCATCTTGCCTGTGAGGGAAAGTTCATCAGACTAAATAAGATATTATATACACTACATACTCCACAAGCAGTGACAGAGCAGTTACGACCCTGGGCCGGCAGTACATATAGTTATCAGGTTCATCTTCCATTTGTGACCACAATGTGAGAGTCACAGTGTACCCCATGAAAGGCTGAAAATCAAACTGGAAGGGAACGGAATTCGGGGAAATGTCCTAGCGTGGATAGAAGACTTTCTACATGACCACAAGCAGTGTGTGGTGATTAATGGCACGAAATCATCATCCGTACCTGTCACAAGTGGGGTACTGTAGTGGATTTCTCCCCTACAAACGCTGTTTGTCGCTGAGTAGCCGACCCCACGAATTCTCCAGTGGATGCCTCATGGTCTAGGTCAACCAGCGCCGCCATACATCACGGAAGTCAACTACTAAGCCACGCCAACCCCCGCTATTTAAGACCTGACCTCGTGGTGATCTCGCTCTTCTTCTAGCTACAGCCGCAGCAAGCTACACCTCCTCCTCCGCCGCTGCCTGGCGGCCCTCGCTCCCGCCGTCGAGCATGGCGACCCACAAGCTGTCCTCTGAGCACCCTCACCAACCAGCTCTCTCTACTCAACGCTTGTAACCATGCTGTCTTCCCAGCACAAAGCTGCATTGTACATCCAATACAACATGTATACAGTGAGCACATTGTGAGTTTCCTTTCTCCATCCCATACTGAGTGTGAACCAAACAACCTGTTCCTCACAAATGGTGACCCCCGGAGATTCGCACTCACACAGGATGGAGGAGAAACAGATCACTCTCCCAGTCTCCAAGCAACATGGAAGACTGGCTTATCCACACAGAGGCAGCTCTCATCGGCTCTACAGCTACTGTCTCTAAACCGCAGGTTAGACACCCTAGAGCAGCTCTGCTACTCTAAGCAGACAGCCGCTCCTCTTCCTGCCCCAAGCACCATGTCCTACCGACCCCAACACACCCGTCCTGCCTCAGACGCCGCCCCGGCCCAGCAGTACCCCCTGCCGCTTCTCTTGACGCAGCCCCTGCTCCTGAGTGCGGACCCACACACCCCTCTTTTCTCCCTCAGGTACTCCCTGCTAATGTCCTGCACCCTGCTGCTGTCGTGGACCCAGCTGCTGTCACGAGCCCTCATCCGCTTCTGCTGACGCAGCCCCTGCTCCTGACCCAGGCCCACACGCCCCAGCAGGCGCATCTGACGACTCTGTACCTGCCGTGAGGGAAGCACAACATTCATCGCCTCCACACACCCTTTTTCTCCCTCTCTACTCCCACAGATATTGTGTATCTAGACAGTTGTCTCTAGCGACCGGCTCATCCACGCCATCGCCGTTGTCTCACATGAGGCATGCACCGCCCGTTCTGCCTCACATGTGCTATGCAACCCTGCAGACAACAAGTCTCCTACACTGCCTGGAGGGAAGGAGGGAGTATTGTAGTGGATTTCTCCCCTACAAACTCTGTTTGTCGCTGAGTAGCCGACCCCACGAATTCTCCAGTGGATGCCTCATGGGCTAGGTCAACCAGCCCCGCCATACATCACGGAGGTCAACTACTAAGCCACGCCTACCCCCGCTATTTAAGACCTGACCTCGTGGTGAGCTCTCTCTTTCTACCTCCATCAACCAGCAAGCAACACGTCCTCCTCCTCCTCCGCCGCTGCCTAGCGGCCCTCGCTCCCGCCGGCGAGCATGGCGACCCACAAGCTGTCCTCCTCTGAGCACCCTCACCAACCAGCTCTCTCTACATCACGCTTGTAACCACGCTGCCACTTCCCAGCACCAAGCTGCATTGTACATCCAATACAACATGTATACAGAGAGCACATTGTGAGTTTCCTTTCTCCATCCCATCCTGAGTGAGAACACCAAACAAATGTTACCCCACAGTACCACATGGGAGCATATTGGGCCCGCTGTTGTTTGTTTGTTTCATAAATGACATGCCTGACGTTGTACACTCCTCCACACAAATGTTTGCCGATGACGCCAAGTTATTTCGGAAAGTCAAGAACCAAGCGGACTGAGAAGAGCTGCAGAAGGATCTCTGTGGGCTCCAGGACTGGTCAAAGAAATGGCTGCTGAGATTCAATGTCACGAAGTGTAAGAGGATGCACCTGTGGCGTACCAACGGTAAGGTGGCGCATCATATGTCCCAACGGGATGAAGAAACTGCACAAGTTGAGACTGAATGTGAGAAGGACCTAGGTGTGTACATCACACTTGTAACCACGCTGCAATTTCTAAGCACCAAGCTGCACTGTACAGTCGGAAACCATAATCTCTAGCCCACCTGGGTCGGTGCTGGAGGTTAGTACAGCGTCCTTTCTGGAAGGGGGCCCACTCTATCACCAGGCAACACACGCACAAACACACAGTCCTCGTGATAGTTAGACTGGGCCCCCGTCCAGAAGGGACGCTGTGCTAACCTCCAGCACCGACCCAGGTGGGCTAGAGATTATGGTTTCCGACTGTACATCCAATACAATATATAAACAGAGAGCACATTGTGAGTTTCCTTTCTCCATCCCATCCTGAGTGTGAGACAACATCTCGAAATCCCACAAGGTGTCTGCCAATCTGGTGGTTTTGTTTTTTCTTTATTACAATGAACAAATCTGCCGTGATAACTTATTGGAATCCTGGTCCCTTGGCTGGCGAAATCAAGGACAGATGCTGTAATTCGTTATTGCTCAACAACAGTATTACCAAGGACAAGGCAGAGCAGCCATGCCTCTGCCTTGATTTCGTCAGCCAAGGGATCTGGATTCCCATAAGTTATCACGGCAGATTTGTTCATTGTAATCGAGATAAAACAAAACCATCAGTGTGTGACTCATTAAGTGGGAATAATAATTTAATTAAATCTTAAAACAAAACAGCACAGGCATCTTCACCTTGTCGAAATAACTTTTTTTTGCTATAACTTAATGGAACTTCGCTCATATTTAGTAAACTTTGCTCAGTTCTATTAAAGACTCCCTCCACTACCAAAACCAACCCACCCATCTGGTCATTAAGGTTTGTAACAGTGGCAGGTCCGGGGGCTAAAGAGGCTCACTGTACTGCATTACACAGAGCATTAAAATAAAATTCATACTTTAACTGTCTGTTCCCACTGAACCTTGGGGGTTAAACCGCTTTGTGTGGTGTGTGTGTGTGTGTGTTCTGGAGTCGGGTCAAGCTTAGTACGTACTTGCCAACAGTGTGTAACAATCGTGACCGACCGCCCCAGTGGCTAACTATCCGATCAGAAGAAGATAAAGTATATAGTGTAATAATAAAGTTATTGTCGGGTGAAAACTGCCGCCCACCAGCCTCCCATACTACAACATCCTTGATCTATTCATGGTCAACGATGTTACTTAAATAATCCCTATAGGGTGGCGACACACAAACACATTGATAATTTGTGTTCACACCTCTTTTTATTACACTAATAAAAAGGCTTTTGCAAACGATCCTCTCCCCTGTTATAAATCACACAAGTTTATATATATATATATATATATATATATATATATATATATATATATATATATATATATATATATACATACATACATATACATATAATACAGAGAGAGATATATTTTAATACACTACTTTGGTCTATAAACGGGCGAGCTTTACAATTTTCCTATTTCCTACGTCTGGCAAGCCGGCAGCAATTAATTCAATGTTCAGAGTTCCTCCTGAAATACAGCCAAATAACAATGACTGGTGAATCTCCTCCTCTCTTACACAGACTAGTAGTATTATATCAAAGAAACACACTCTATAGCCATCGAAGAATTTATACTTTTCAGCCTTTCAGGGGAATCCCAGGGCCTGTTATAGATCACTGGAAAAACACATACACTAACTACAACTTCAGTCTTGTCTATTTTAACTTCAGTATATGTATAACTCGGCCTGTGTCACTTCCTGAAACTGTAATGATCAACACCTTTCACTTGTGGTTTTCGAATGTACATAGTTTGATTCTGGATGATAATTGAGAGTTAAAGCAGGTAAACTAGAATGCTGCTAGACCAAGGACACTGTTCACTCACCTGTTGACTCCTGGACGGCAGGACCTGAACTGGGTACACTGCTGCTGCCTCCACTATCTGGTTTTTTTTGTTACTGGTGGTTCACATTCTGAAGGATCATTCTCACATTAAATCTCTTGCACGACTCAGTCTCGGGGAGATGAAAATAATGTCCAGGCAGTAAAGAATACCTGGGTAGTTGTATTTTTCTTTACCAATTAGGTCGAATTTTAAATAATATATGGTTACAAGGGCACAAAAGCTTCTCAGGTCATAGTACAAGGCAGAAATTACAGCTATGAAGGGTTGTAGTTAAAACTAAGGTTATCCCAATACCTAAAAGAGATTCTTGGCTTTACATCATCGCTAAGCACACACACTGCCCCAGGTGGACAGTCAGTGTATCAATTTATGTAGTTTTGTTAGGTATTATAAGTAAACTGATAATTATTCACATTATAACAAAATTAAAAAATATATATAGTATTTACCGAGCCCCTGTTAACCCTATCCAAGAGTTTTAGCAAAGTTCGCTAGATTTACTGACAAGGATATACTTTAGGATTTTTATATTGATTGCAGTGTCCAAATTTTACATTACAGATAAAGATAAAGACAGGATGAAAGTTGTTTGGAAATAAATGATAACTCTGATATAAAAGGGGAGTTTTGGAGGAGACAGATATAGCGATTTGTGCTGGAAGTTATGGTAGCGAGAGTTGATCAGCTGTGGAGGGTAAACAGAGGCTGGATCCCTACCACACTACCACACTATCTGGAGTAGCTTCAGATACGTTCAGGAGCCAGTACATGCCCAGTACTTGCCAACAGTGTGTGAAAGAGACGTGACCGTTCACCCAAGCGGCTAACGAACTGATCAGTGGTGAAGAGGATAAAAGTATATAGAGAGGAATCTTCATAATGATGGGTTTGGGGTAATTTTACTTGATCCCTCTGCAACTAATTGAACGGTAGTTTGTACACGTATGTCACTTAAGTACATTGTTAGTATACTATTGTTGTGATCATCCATATATAGTATTGATTATTTGTTATAAGTTTGCAGTGATCACTTGTTGTTGATCTTTGTATTTATAAGCAAGTGTTTGTTCAGCTGGTTGAGTTGAGTAAAACTTTACCCAGATCAAGCAATGTTTTATCTCTTTAAGTAATTAACACTTTTTGTTTAAGTAATTTGAAATTTTTTTATTAAAAGAAAATAATCGGTGGCCAACAGGGAACAGTGTGTGGCTGTTGTTGTTGATACATAATGAATTATATCGACTGTCCAAATAACATCTTTATTTCAGTAGGATGTCATACTTTGTTGATTTACAATGTGTTAATATTTATGAACAGGAAGTGGTGTAAGGAAGATATGGAGAGGAAGAGGTGCTGACTCACTGAGGATCAAGATGGCTACCTGTGACAGTGACCGCCTCTCGTGGACAGGCCACAGTCTTGTGCTGGCCAATAGCTTGTATCGCCTCTATGCTCAGTCGTGCCTCTTGGACGTGAGGCTGGTGTGTGATGAGGCTCACATATATGCACATAAGGCGGTGCTGGCTGCCGGGAGTCGGTTCTTCATGGATCGCCTACAGTCACTTGGTTCAGGGATGGTAGAGCTACACATGTCCACTGCTAACCTTGGCATGCTCATTGCTCCAAGTAAGTAAACATATATACTACAATTTTTCAGTAATAGTTTTGGTGATATTAAGCTTGCCTTGCAAGGTCTTATTGTTTTCCTTTGAGCCTTATTGAAGAAAACATTTTGTAAATTTTGAGATTTATTGAACACTATTTCTGGAAATTAAAAAATCTGATCAAACCCATCCTAACCCAATCTAGTTAGTTAAGTCAATTTCAGGTTATAATGTTGAATATCTTGAAGTAGATTTAAATGAATCTTGATAATCACAATAGCTTTCTGGTCTTGCAGTTTGGACTGTAGTTGCCTCTTGTCCAATGCAAGATTTAAAAGTACTTTAGTACTGTAGGTTACTGAACACATTGTGTTTTACAGATGACTTGCGTGCAGTGGTGGAGTACATGTACTGTGGAGAACTCTTGGTGCCTCACCATCGTTTGCCGCATGTCTTGGCTCTTGTGCGCTCCCTTCAAGTCTTTGGATTCCAAGCGGATGCAGGAGGATATATCACAGGACCAGAACCACAGTATATAGCACACGCTGACATGAACTACACATCAATAGATACCTCAGGTGTGATGGAAATAACCACAGATAATTCCCTCATGCAGTTAGAAAGAACTGAAAGCAATTGTGGACTTGGTGACAACACAACCATTCCTCTGGTGGCTGTTAAACCCCATGAACAAGGCATACTACAGGACCCTCCTAAATATTCTGAGCCACTAAAAATAGACACCAACATTAATGCACTTGGCTCCTCCACCAACATGTCATTCAGTGAACTGTGCACTGCACCAGGGACAGATGGGGATGCCTTTGCCATTCAGTGCAATCAGATGAAGAATAATGTTCCTTCAATATTTGAAAGTTCAGTGTTAGAAGAAACCACATCAGTGTTCAAGAGCAGACCACCGGAGTGTGGCGAGGTGTACGGCAAGCCTGACGGGGACGTGGTGTACACGGGAACCGTTCTCAATTTTAGGGGTGAACCTGAAGTTGTTATTGAAGGTGGAAGGATATTGAACACAACACTAGAAGAACATGGAAAAGAGGAGCGCAGTGTTCAGATAGACCCTCGACATTCTAACACGTGTGTCCTGGAAGGTGACACAGATGATGCTTATAACACTTTCATGTTGCTGGAGGCTCTGGCAGCAGATGGTAAGGTGGAGTCACAAGTGAAGTACTTATCTCTATATATGTGTGTGTGGTAGACCAGCATCTATTGTTATTTCAGTTCTCACTTTAATAATTCTCTTCAATGTTAAATAGACATCACTTCCTCCCTGTACAGCTCTATATGTGTAGTATACTTGATTCTTCATGCATGTCAGGAAGACTCAAGACCCAGCATTCATTTGTGTTGGCTTTCTTATATAATGTTTTCAGATATGTTTTACAGTAGGATGCAGTGTTGTCATAAAGCGACCCTCATGCTAGCCTCGTCTGTGTCAAAAACGAATAAATTTTCCTAGGTTGGGTTGTAGAATCCCCCTCGGTCAATAAGACATGTTAGGTGTTGTGTTATTTCTCTAACCCCAGTATTGTATAAGTCGCCCCTACTTCTACATTCACTGCCTGCTCTAGTTTTTCTAAATACAGCTCATATTTCTACAGTCCTAAATTTTTGTACAAGTAAGTGGAATTGATTTTGTAATACAGTTGATACAGTATGCAAAAATATTTTAGCTTGTTTCAGTTCTTCAGTATTTAATTATTGATGATTTAAATAAATATTGGATCATCATAATTTTTTTAAATGTGCAAGTATATAAATAGAATCATAAATGCCTGAGGAAAATTAGGCACTATGTCCTGCTTTCAGAGTTGTAAAGGTTCAGTAATAGCAATTGTACAAGATAGTTTATTACATTTTTGGCCTCTTTTTTTTTCCCTGCAGTTGTTTAATGTTTCCATTCTCTTTTAAGGTTTGGAAGTATTAATGATTATGTGATGTGCAAAATGTAGTGATCATGTTTCCCAGTACTGTACTGTACCTCTTCAACGCAACAGCTCCGAGTCCATCAGTGGTGGACATGGATAGCATTCTTCTGTCTGACGAGGCTAAAATGACCATCAGTCCCAGGTGGCTGCGATCTCGGAGGTCTCTCCGGGCTACTGCAGATTCTCGAGTAAGACTAAAGGTTAAGGACAGCATCGGCGGTGTGTCTCTTCAAGATACGTCTCAGCGGCAGTCGGCAATTTTCTCATCGCTCCCCTCAGTTAGGTACTTCAGCCTGTGCATATTGTTTGATTTCTTCTACGCTCTCGTATCATTCAAGGAAATTTTTATCTGAAGTAAATATAGGATCACTTGTACTTTTTCTTAGTTCCTTTTATTTTGTCTTTCTTTATTGTTACCTGTTGTGTAGTTTGTACTGTTATAGTGACTTTTGTCTCTTACAGCCCAGAAGATCAGACAAGTACAAGGAACAACAAGGAAAACTGGATGGTAGTTTTACCAGAAGGCCGACCTCCAGTGATTCCCCACATACCTGGTGCCAACACTCTTCATGCACAACCATCCATCACTGACACCGTCACGTTGCCACAAATATTGAACGAGGGGCCTCTACACGTACATTCCTCTCTGGCCAATTCGTCTCTTTTAAACCGAGCCACGGCCTCAAACACGGTCCCCTTAATAGCCTCCCCCATGTCTATGGCTACTCCACTTTTAACACAAACTACATGTCCAAGTAGTCTATCTATGTTTAGTCACTCCACTGTTGCTAATAGTAATCCATTGTTAGCACAGTCTTCTCTCCCCAACCCAACTCCTCTACTTACCCAATCTAACTTCTCTTTCACCCCATTTCTTCAGCCATCTGTCTTGTCCACAGCTGTTGTTAATCAGCCAGACCTCTCACAAGTTCATCATACTTTATCTACTGTTCCTATGCAGGCTGTCCCTGTTCAGTCTGTAGATGGTGAAGCTCTTAGTATTTCATATCCTACAGATTCTTATTCCCAGTCAACCAGCCCCATGTTCACTCAGTCATCTGTCTCACCTGGTCACATTTTGTCACAAATATCATCAGTTCCTTCTCACATACAGTCTTCAGGTCCTACACCATCTCCTCTAAGTGAGTCATCTGTATCAATCCTGACCCCCATCACACAGTCAGGGACACCTACAACCTCGACATATTCTTCCTCTCTGCCACACTCATCAGTAACCACAGTTCCTCTCATTATAGAGTCATCTGGGTCTTCTGCTTCTAACCCCAGCTTATCAAATTCACTTGCTTTGCCATCTTCAGATTCCAGTAGTAGTATTCTTACTCAGTCATCCCTATCCACTCCACAGTTGGCCATGTCCTCCATATCCACAACACCCATGCTCTCTCACTCATCCTCTTCTTCTAATCCATTGGTAATACAGCCCTCTATTGGCTCAGCTCCTACTATGTATCCACCAATTATGTCAACTCCTTCTGTACACCCTTCTGTTGTATCAAACATCAGCTCTTCCTCATCAAATACTATTTTCTCTCTCACTTCTGCTTCTTCATTTGCAACTTCTTCGCCCATAGTAACTTGGCCAAATTCCCCTTACCTGTCACACACAACTACTTCTCTGACACACTCCCCCATTGCTTCTCTTTCTCCCACATCTAAGTCTTGTAGTAGTAATACAACAACATCAACTTCCTCTTCATCATTGTCACCACACATCAGTGCTCAGCCAGTATCTTCAGCAGTTACTGTAAACTCATCTGTTAACATTTCTGAGAGTGTAACCACATGTAATAACAGCACATCAACCTCTGTCACTCCCACTGTCAACACAACCACTACCACCACAGTGTCATCAAACAATTGTAAAGCCAACACCACCCCATCAGGCACTGTGCCCTCTAGTCCTGGATTAGTGCCAGAAGAACACAGTGGTAGTGAGGAGGAGGACGCCCATAAATGTTCACAGTGCCCTAGAATGTTCAAGCACTTGGATAAACTCACCCTTCATCTGTGGAATGAACATGAAATTGGTACTGTAGCCAAATGTAAGTACTGTAATGGCAAAATGTTCACTTGAGGATAGTGTTAAGGATGTCAAGTTTTGGACCGAGTTGAAACATTTATGCAAAATTTCCAACATCATAACATAGTGTACACTCTAGCATTACAGTATTGTAGTTGGTCCATTTATCATCAAATGACTCAACTTAGTGTAGACAAGAGTACAGTATATGTGAAGCATTGTACTGTAATAAGATGGACATTAACACTCGTTGTGCCCAACTTAGTACCAGGTACAGTTTTACAACTGAATAATAATCTGAACACAGGGGTCAGATAGTCATACCTAGAATAGACCTAAGTACATCCTGGGGTACTTAGATTAGGTTATCATCAGAGTGGTTAATCTCGAAGTACAATATGTTAGGAGGTCTAATTTTTAGGTGATCCTAAATACTATGTTTTGTGGGTTTAAAAAATTTTCATCCTTTTTTTTTTGTCTCTTTTTCAGTAAATCCGTAACTTACTCCAGACTATACTAAGGTTGTGGGATTATTTCATCAAATGTTATTAGAAAAAATTTAATTTGATCCCTGTAGTAAATGTTGTGCAGACTCAATTTTCCATTAATTGGCAATTATTTATACAATAATTTGTTTAACTAATGTGCGTGTTTACCCAATTTTTAGGTCAGCTGTGTGACTTCAGCAGTCCTCTACATAGTTCCTTGGTACAACATGCAAATTCTCACATCACCAAAGACTGTAACACCTGTGCTGTGTGTAACAAAAAGTTCAAGACTCGTGCTACAGTCAAGACCCACTTGAGAGTACATCGCGGGGAGGAGGTCATGTACAAGGTGGGCTCTAGTGATGGTCTCCTTTGATTAGGACCGGGTTGTCCGATTTAAACCATTGTTTAAACCAAACAAAAAACATGTTTTTTTTTATCTACAGTATATATATATATATACAGTATATAAGTCAAGTTGCCAATGCCATCTCTCTCTTCAACTGTACTTAAATTAATTCCTTAAAGCTTTCAGCTGTAAAAGTAGAGTAGTTTTTCATGCATTAAGTTGAACTTAGACTTAGGTTTTGCCTTTAAGCATGCAGGATGAGTCTGGATGACTGATCAAAGCTTGGGTTTCTCAAATTTGTCCTTTTCAGTTATTTTTTTTCATGGAAAAGAGTTAAATGATTGCTAAATTATCAAGAATGTATTGTTTATGATTATAAAATGGGCTACAAATACTTGAAAATTATTAAAACCGAGATAATATTATTTAAAAAGAATATTATTTTTTATTTTTTTTTAAACCAATGGTTATGATTTATGAATAACCGATGTACAGTGCTGATGTTTGGTCTAATATAGTTTATTCTCAACAGTGTGAATGTTGTCCTGTGATGTATAGCCAGAAGTTCAACCTAATTAAACACTTGGCGTCAAAACACCAACGTGATGCAGAGGGTCGACCCCTCACTCAGTCCCTCTCATGCCCTGAATGTGCCTTTACTACCCTCGCTGACTACAAGCTTAAGGCCCACACTGTAAGTTAGAGATGTTGTTCACCTCATAGTACAGTACAGTTTTTGCATTTTAGAACAACCTAGTAAATACCAATATAATTACATCAAAGAAAGGGGACTCTACTGTATAACAAAAATCCAGTCAGCTTTTCTTAAATTCTTTCAAATTTATGAAAATAATTAAGACACTGAACAATGCAGTATACAGTATAGTGACTAACCTGTGTTCAGTAATGACTATGCAAGCTGATCTGTTGACTCTGAAGAACACTGTATCTCACTGATGAATAAATGATGGTTTTATTAAAGCAGCAAAGTAATAATTTGTTTATTGAGAACATTACAGGTACTGTACAGTACTGACACAGTACAGTAATATTGTCAACTCTCAAGTAGAAATAGTAGTAACCCATGAGCAGTTATTTTCCTCAGTCCTTTTCCTGCTTTATGAAGTGTAGCTGCAGGTGATCAAACACACACACACACACACACACACACACACACACATTATACATTTATTTATTGTCATTCATTCATTCTTACTGCCATAGATGTGTTCTGGTATGATGTACTACTGTACAAGCAGTTCACATAATTTGTCACACACACACAGATTAGACATGCTATATACTGTACACTGTATTTGTATAAATCTATATTCTACACTTACTATCACAGTTTTCAAAAGCATATACTATAATGGGTTAGAGAACATTTCATAAACTGGTGAATTATGTTGAAGTATGATGTAATTATTTCTTGAAGATATCAAAACTGGACTGTCAAGTGAATATCCTTAATAATGTTTAAATCATCCTGACCAGATGAATCACTTTGCTGCTACAGAAAATACATCTTCACTAAGGATGAGACTGATAACTCCTTGACATAATTACAAACATAATATTCCTTAGGTGCGTCGCCATACAATAGACAAGCCTTTCAAGTGTAATCACTGTACGTATGCAACGACGGAGAAAACGGCTCTGGCCAAGCACATAAGAACACACACGAAGGAGAAGCCATATGTCTGTGAAACTTGTGGATTCCAGTAAGTTAAACAAGTTGTGCATTTTCTCTGGTTTATTCATCACCAACTATAAAATAACCACCAATACTATGATTTGTTTCTTAAAATTGTCTTAAAATTTTTTGCCCTCACATAGAATCTCCTTTTGTTGTTTCCAATAGCTCATAGATGAAGATATAAGACCATAGTGAGATTGATATTGTGTGGTATTTGTATATAAAAACTGCAGCAGCGAGTAAACCTCCATCAATTTGTTCACTTTACATTCATCAAGTGGAAGATGTAGTTTGTCTTCCCTGCAAGCTAGTATTTTTTCTCCACTATGTTTGTACAGTATTTTTATGTTTTGAGCTTTCTTAATAACTGAGTAACAGATCCACATTCACCCTCCAGCTTGGGATGAGGTTGGTATAAACGTTCTTATATGTATCTTGTATAATAACAGTAATGTGTCCGTGTCATTTTCCAGTGCACCAACATTGAGTAGTTTGTGGCGTCACCGTCGAAGTCACACCGGTGAGAAGCCATTTGAGTGTGAACAGTGTGGCCAGCAGTATGCAGATAGCAAACGTCTACGAGACCACATGTATAAACACAATAATGTGAAGCCGTTCATGTGTCATATGTGTGGGTATACTTGTAGACGCAAAGACAACTTACAGGTCAGTTTCAGACTTAATCCATTATCTTAATCCCCTCAAAGTTGTGTGCAGTGGATCATGGAGTACAAAAATCTATGGAAATGGGACAACAATGCAAGATCAGGATTTTCTCCTTTTATTTGAAATGAATTTACACAAGATGCTCTATTTGTAATGCTATGAAATAATGTCACAGTAAGGAAGCAACTAGTGTGTGTGTGTGTGTGTGTGTGATGATAATAATAATAAACGGTTTGTTGAAAAAGTTTGCAGCCCGAAGGCTGAAAATATACGTTGGACATAAATGACTTATTACATACATTGGTGGTTTAACCAAAACCTTCATTAGAGAAAGGTGAAGGAACATATACAGTGAACATACAGATTAATGTTTACACACGTAGATCATGTGAGCTGAGGTGTTGAACAGCAGACACGTAGTGTAGTAACTCCCTCATAGATGGCGTCATGAGGGGCATCGAGTGGAGTACTAGTTCCCTCACAGGTGGTGTTATGAGGGGCTTGACGTGGTGTAGTAATTCCCTCACAGGTGGTGTTACGAGGGGCCTGATGATGTAGTAGTTCCCTCACAGATGGTGTTTGAGGGGCCTGATGTGGTGTAGTACTTCCCTCACAGATGGCATTATGAGGGGCCTGATGTGGTGTAATAATTCCCTCACAGATGGTGTTATGAGGGGCCTGATGTGGTGTAGTAATTCCCTCACAGGTGGTGTTATAAGGGGCATCACATGGCGTAGTAATTCCCTCACGGATGGTGTTATGAGGGGCATCACATGGCGTAGTAATTCCCTCACGGATGGTGTTATGAGGGGCATCACGTGGTGTAGTAATTCCCTCGCAGGTGTTATGAGGAACTTCACTGATGCTGTAGCAACTCATTCACTATGCGGTGTCGTGCATAATGGGGACACCACGTGGTCCGCTGTCACAGGAATTCACTCACTCAAGTGGGTGAGGTGTGGTCCCAGGCCTCTCTATCGTGGATTCTCAGAGGAATTATCACTGGGTACCTGGGACCTCACTGTGTGAAGGTTAGCTTGGCTCAGACTCAACTGTCGAGTTGTTTTTCACTGACTTAAGCACTGTTCACCACTATTCAACACTGGTTCCATTGTGTGTGTGTGTGTGTGCACAACACAACACCAAGTGGATTGTAGATATAAATGTGTTGTTGATGGCTGATGCTGGGTTGTGTAAGGCTACAGGGGTAATCTGATAGATAGGGCCTGAGTGTGGATAAAAATACCATCACAGACTATTCCCATTTTATTAGTAAAAATGTGGTCACAATGAAGTGTGTTTGTTCTCAACTCAGGTCACCCAACCTTACCGGTACACTATGGTAGGAAAAGTCTTCTGAGTGTGAAACTAACTAACTTTCTCTGTTTTCTCTGTGACTTTAACCTCTTATCCATAGTTCTAATACAGAAAGTTGAATGAATGGATGCAATATAAGTGTATACAAATGGGCTTTAGGTACAGTAATATGTTTTTGGTGGTATTGTCATCACACATCACTCCCCATGACCATCTTTGTATACATCTACCTATAAGTTGTTTGCATGTCATAGTAATTGTTTCTAATAAGAACTAGTTGTGATACAGACTCACCTGCACAAGATTCACAAGATAGAGGACCAGAAGGGTGCTGGTGTACCACGGGCGCGGGGACCTGTGCTGCCTCGCTCAGGTGTGTCGGTCTGTCTGTCTGTTTACTGTATTTCCATGAATGAGTGAGTCTGTGTTACTCCTGATTTTGAGGACACTAATACACTGTAGTTGGAAAAGGCTTGAAAGGAACTGTATATCACCACTATTTTCTAGTTTCTTTAGAAGCCAGTGAAAAAAAATATTGTTCCTTTTGAGAAACAAATTGTCATTCTCTTAATTTCTTTGGTAAAATAATTTTTATTTGTAAATATTTACAGGAAAGTCTAAAAAAGTGAAGGCAGGATCAGTTGTCCAAACCCCCACTGATCCTCTTAAAAATACACCAGAGGCGACTCAAGTTACCTGCCTAGATGATATCAAAATCAAGATGGGACCAGAAGTGTCTGAATTACAGGTAGAGTGATATATTTGTATTGCATCTGACTCATATTTTAATCTTGTATTAATTATGATCCCTGTGGGGTGTGACTTTTTGGTCAACGTGTGTACAGTATGCTATTTCTACTTGCTGACTTAACCCATTCCTGCTGTACTCGCTTGTCCTGTAATCATTCTCCTTTGTTATTTCCACACCCTATTTGAGGTTTTGTACACCTTAATCTGTCCCATGCAGCAGTAGGAGAGTAGTAAAGGCAGTCAATAGATAACATGCTCAATATAGTCCTTTCACACCATCTACATGCTGTAGTTGTCGTGGGGCATCTTGTTAGAGAATCACTGTTACATACTGCCTTAATGTACTGTAGTTATGAGTAATGGCCAAGAATTTGATTCTCAAAGATTCAATGCATTAAATTTCCCCCAATAAGGAAAGCAAGAATATATTTAACAAGCTCATTTAAGCATTTTCTGTATGACGAGGCTACGTTTCAAATTTACTTCTACAGTAATCCAGTGTTTTTCACGGGAATTACGTTCCTGAAACTCCCACGAATAGCCAAAACCGCGAATACTCTTTTAGGAATCACTGTACCTGTGGCCACCAAACAGCTCAGGTAGGTCTTGCACTTAATCACGCCATGCTCTCCATTCACGTCCCAGTGGTCACACTGATCACTGATGCACTGTACCGGCATTTACTAACATCATTATTTGAAACTAATCATATTGTAGTATAATAATGGAAAAACGTAAACACAGTTATACAGTACAAAAAAAAATAATTTACAATGGTCCTTCGGTTAACAAACACAATTCGTTCCACAGAGTCATTTGTTAGCCGAAAATTTCATTAACCGAATCCATTGTTTCAATGGGATATGGGTAATTGGTTCCAGCTCACAGAAAAGTACATACAAAGTAAAAAAAAATGCAGTAAGGTACACTTACTTTGAGGTGTGTATGTAGAAGGTTCCTGGTTGATGATGATGATGGGAATTAGAAGTGGGGGTGGAGGAGAAGGAAGAAGAGAAGGAAGTGGGGATGGAGGAGAAATCACCTTTCAGTGGACCCATGCTCGATGCAGTAATTTCAGCAATAAAATTTTAAGTTCACTAGGTGTAATTCAAGATTATTTTATTTAAATCAACACTGCACTGCGCTATATACAGTATTATCAATATGTTAACTAAATTTCAGAATGACCAATAATTTCAATGTAAAAATGCAAAAATATTCAAGACACCAACAAAATGGATGTTCACTCCACTGTCAACAAAGCCAAACTGACGCCTGGTGGCTGAGTCAAGCGGCTGATGAGCGCACAAAAAACTAGTTCCTTGTACTTCATATATTATCAATATGTTAACTAAATTTTAAAATGACTAATAATTTTAATATATAAAATGCAAAAATATTAAAGAGCACAAATTTCTTGATATTTACTCCACTGGAAACGAATGTAAACATAGAATAGATTACTGAATTGGCAGACTAGCCCATCAGCTGAGCTCACAACAAAACATGTTTGTAAGGATTTCGTTAATCAAAGTTTTGTTCGTTAACCGAATTGAAGATCCTTGTTCGTTAACCGAAATTTCGTTAATCGAACCGTTCGTTAACTGAGGGACCACTGTACAAGTAAATAAAAAAATGTATATTTCGCTGAGGTCGGTAACACCCGCATTTCCAGCCTCTCCCTGCTGCCCCGGCGTCTGCCCGCCCTCACACAGTCACGCCAGCCAGCCAGCCAGTCCACTTCCACCCACATTCCTTCACTTGAAGACTTGTATCTTCACCACATCTCGAGCCATAGCTCATACCACCTCTGAGCTTGTCCAATAAAACTGTTTTTTCCGTTAAGGTCATCACTATTCTTGATCTCTTGGTCACTTTAGAGTCTTTGCTAGTAATATTTGCCTTTGATGAGGCTGGCTTACGTCCCGGAGCCATGTGGGAGGACAAGCAGAAGAGGTAATCACAGTAGCGTTCACAGTACGGTAGGCACGTGTGGACTGAGGCTTCTCGGAGCAGAGGGTGTCTGAGGCGGGAAAAGGTGGCGTCTGTTTGCTGCACCGCAGTGGGGAATATCGAAAATGGCACAATTTTTGTTTTTTTTTAAGGATATTTTATATATACAGGAATATAATTTTTTAGTAAAAAAAAACGCGATAAAAAAAGTGCGAAAAACACAGGATTACTGTAGTTAGTTTTACCTTTATCACTGATGATAACTTGAACATTTCAGGTATGGCCAGATCACAGCTATGACACCCGTAACCTCACACAGGGGAGTGATGGTGGGTCACTGTTGCTTGGCAGTACTGCACCAGTTGTGGGCTGTGGGGGTGAAATGGATGCCAGTGATGGAAGAGAACTGATGGCCTCCCACACATCATTCACGACTACTCTTGCCACACCAACGCTTCAGAGTGAGAGCTGCAGTGGCATTAGTAAACATTCTCATCATGACATGTCTTTGCATTACATAACTCTATAAAAACTTAAATACAATTAAATCATCAGTAATTGCAGTTTGATAGTTGTTGTTTATAGACTGATATAGAGTATACAGCTGCTCCCCGACTTACGACGGGGTTAGGGACCCAAATCCAGGTCGTAAGTCGAAAATGCTTAAATAATACATAGAAAAACTAAAATGGGTGTCTCTTTTTCTTCTCAGTACCACAAAACTCTCACATTTAAGTTTGCCAGCCATTTTAAAGTGAATTACAAACGAAAATTTTTTCAGTACACAGCACAATCACTGACGTTGGGACTCGAAAATATGTAATTTGACAAAATTTTGGTACAACTGAGGCGGTCGTATGTCCGGGTGGTCGTAAGTCGAGTAGGTCGTAAGTCAGGGAGTAGCTGTATGTGTATTTATTTTGCACCTCCATAAGTTGACTCAAAAAAGTATTGTGAAATTTGTTAAATCAACCCTATAAAGCTACAATATTTAAATGACATGACCACACACAGGACTGTGTCTTCCTCTGCCAATACACTATAACTTGACAAGAAACGGGAATCATATTTTTCTTTGTTTGGTAAAACAAAATAAATCACAACTTTGTTGATTTTGTCATAACTGTTGGCTTACAGTAAATTTAAAGTTCTGTAAAATCTTTTAAAACCTTGTGTTGTTATTCTTGTCATTCTGTACCAGGTCCTGGATGTATAACCATTGGTGGCACTCCCCCGGCACTGCAGCTTGGATACCTACTGCCCATCACTGCCCCTCCAGACCCCACCATAACCCTGACCTCCTCTACTGATGGAGTTATATTAGTAGGTCAGACCCAAGTTTCTCACACATCTAAGCCTTTTCTATGAACTATGTTTTTAAGTAAGCATTCCTTTAGTTATCTGAAAGTTTGTCTTATGGGAAGCTTATTCAGCTGATTATAGAACATGTATATACAGTAATTGTATGTAAATCAAGTATATTTTGTATTACAGATAAATGTATTTCATGCTGGAAAATTAAGGGTTGTTATTCAAACTTGCAAACACTTAAGCCTTCAGCATATACAAAACAATACCAAAGAAAATATTGTACAGTATTTACATAATAAAAGTATAATTTCTTTATTTACTTACTTTACTTTACCACATAATGGCACATACACATTTCTTGTAGTACATAATACATATGTAGTGTAATTGTGGATGATTTCTCCAAAATCTTCTACAAAGATGCCTATTACAAACCATGGATTGTGAACCTGTTTGTATGACTATCAAGATCAGAGTGACAGACTCCATGCAGCTGTCAGGTAAATTTATCTGTCCTTTGGTTAGAGGTGTGAATAAGATAGGAGTATTATTGGTAAGTATCTCATTCAATTAGTAGTAATGACATTAAGAACTTCGTTCTTAATATCATCAATACACAGTACAGTACACACACACTTTCGGTAGTCCGCATGAGAACAGCTGCCACCTCATAATTCATCCAACTCACTCACTTACATTTTCACCATAAAATAATTTCCTCTGCTTTTTGGTCACTGAAGCAGTCTTGTCACTTAATGCTTGCTTTGCACTCATGCTTGTAAGGGATGCCACTGGTAAATCATAAATGAACAGCAAAGTTTAGCAAGTACATAAGACTTAAGAATGAATCCTTTCAGTTTTGAGGTGTTGGACCTTTGCAATGTCTGCTCACCACTTGAGAGTGAACCTTGCATAATTAATGAACTGGGTAAATGTACATGGAGTGATGGTTTCTGAAACTTCCTTTTAAATATTTTATCACAGAAATTCATGTATACATTATATGCCTATAAAAAATAAACCTTGGATTCACAGTACTGTAGTGAAAATAAGAATTTATAGTTGATACCCATATTGATTGACTGATGTAATCTCTTTCAGTGTGGATTCAATGCTCACTTGCAGCCAATATGAAAAGGGGCAGGGGAGTGATGCTATAGATAATATTTTAGCAGACAAATACACATTGATTTTAATATAAAAGTAATTAATGTATTACAAAGCATAAATAAAGTTTTACAGCGGACCCCCCAAATTCGCTGGGGTTAGGTTCTCAAAATGGCCGCAAATCAGCGAATAACATTTGCAGACGGGGGGGGGGATACATTTTGACTTGTGTACAAAGAAATGTATGTTCCCTTTATGTGTTTGCCCTTAGGACAATGATTTCTTTTACCTGTAGTATTGTATGTGTGTGTAGATACACACACAAAACACAGAAATAAATAATAATGGGAAAATTCTATCACATATAATCAGAAACAGATTTATTAAAAATATGACAGTCTACCCTCAAGTCCGTTCTCTATTACAGTACAGTACTTTATTAATAGAGCACGGACTTGAGGGTAGACACGCATTTTTAATAAATTTTTTCTGATTACTTGTGATAGGATTTTCCCATTATTATTTATTTATATGTGTTTTGTTTGTGTGTGTGTAGACACACACACACACACATATTTACAATACAGGTAAAAGAAATTACTGTCTCCAGAACGAATGGCTCCCTGTCCCAACTGCAAAAATGCCGGCAACTTTAAAACAACCCACAGACATTCTTGGGTACATCCAGGGTGTCATCCGCGAATAACGAGAACCGCGAATTTGGGGCCCCCTGTATTACATATATTCCATGGCTCATATTCACTAACACCGCTGAGGTATGAAGTTCATAACTACCGGGAGATCTGAAGTCCATACAAACTACCGTAAGAACTATTCACAAACGGTTCATAACTTAGCTGTGGTGCTAAGTTTATTTTAGGTGTTTATAACTTCAGTACTTACATAATAGGGACAAACAGATGTACAAAGGTAGAAAAATATTAATTGACAGGAACAGGAAAAAACAGTAATAAAATGAGAAGTACAGATAGTAAGAGAGAGAGAGACAAAAACAGACATATACAACGAAAACACAGACACTCAGAGAAGGTGGCTGTGTTGGTCTTCCTCACCTCCTGCCCCCTTCCTTCCTCCTCTTCTACCTTACCTCACTCCTTCTCACCTCCCCTACTTTACTCCTCCTCGTCCATCTCGTGAAAGGCTACTTACTGCCCACCAGAAGACCCATGATGACGGCTGCTCTATCAACAAACACTCACACACCCGCCATGTTCGGCCATTCTTGAAGTCCCTCTCCCTGACCTATCCTCACCACCGGGATATCTACATAATCAAAAGTAACAATTTCGTTTTGGAAAGAAGTGGGGTCAGTGATGAACAGTGTTTAAGCCAGTGAATTCAGCACTAGACAGTACCAGTGAGAGCCGCGACCCACCACTGAGATAAACACCCCTGTGAACCATCCTCTGACCAGACAATGTTAATCCGTCCACCCTGGGAATAACAGCAGGTCGGCTATGCACCTGACTACGAGATAACACAACATCACCGAGCAGAGTGAGGTACTGTGACACCACCCCACACCACCTGGTGTCCCCATGAGGTCCTTCATATCAACACCCGAGGACGAGTCACTACACCACGTGAACACCACACCATACGGTGTCCCCATGACCACGTGAGGTCCTTCATATCAACACCCGAGGACGATTCACTACATCACGTGAACACCACACCACACGGTGTCCCCATGACCATGTGAGGTCCTTCATATCAACACCCGAGGACGAGTTACTACACCACGTGAACACCACACCACCCGGTTTCTCCATGACCACGTGAGGTCCTTCATATCAACACCTACGGACGAGTTACTACACCACATGAACACCACACCACCTGGTGTCTCCATGACCAGCTCGGGCCATCAACTGTAAACTATAATAATTTGTATGTTTACTGCATGTTCCTTCTTTCAGTCATGAAAGCTTTTGTTAAACAACCCACCCACCCCATGTCTTTGCATGTAAAAAGTCATTTTTGTTCAATGTTTATTTTCAGCCTTCGGGCTGCTGAACTTTTTCAATAAACCGTTTTTTATTATTATTATTATTATTATTATTATTATTATTATTATTACACACACACACTGGTACCCTGATGACTGTGGCTGGGAAAGGTTCTTAGTGTACTACCTATTGCCTTCAGTGCTTATGGCTACAACAGTTATTATCTCTCTCTCTCTTTCTCAGCTGTCCCCTCCTCCCTTCCACCATCACCCCTCACCTGACCCCCCATCACCCATAGAAAAAGAGACAGATGAAGAGGAGGAGAAATAGAGAAATACAAGTTGATAAATGGAGAGAGAGAGAGAAAGAAAGAGAGACAGTTACAAACCCAGATAGATAGATGGAGAGAATATTCAGAAAAAAAATGGTAGTTACGATGAAGTCCCTGTCACGTCCAGTCACTCCTACACCCTCGGGATGTTGGGGTTTTATCAGATTTTTATGGTCATATTTTCTCTAAAAGTTTAAAAGTTGTGTTGGAAATATTTGGTTTATTGTTTATATATTTTGGTTTTATTATTATTATTAGTAGTAGTAGTAGTAGTATTATCATTATTATTATTATTATTATTATTATTATTGTTGTTGTTGTTGTTATTTTATTTATATTTTTTTATTATTATTGTGGTGTTGTTTCCTCACTGCTGTTTTTTTTTTCACCAAAATAAATTACTTTCCTCGTGTGTCTACATTTGTCTTTTGACCCATAGATGTAGGTGTAGGTGTGTGTGTGTGTTGTTGTTTGTTTTGTGTCCATAATATATATCATATATTTTCATAGTGACAAAGTAAAAAATTAAATGACACACACACACACATTTACATAAGACTCTAACATTTGATTAATCTCACAATAAGTTTTTACAGCAATAATTCACACTTGTTAGTTTAGAACACGTGGTTCAGCAGGTGGCCGGGCGTCAATACTGTTGTCTACACGGGACCGATCAGCCGTGAGAGCTACATGTTATGTTATGACTGTCAAACATGTGATGTGAATAAAGACGAGCTGAGGACGACATGACTCATACATGGGCATACACGCACACATTCATACACATATGGATGATTATACAGTACTTCAATATTTAATAACATAAGGAGTGAACAACATGTTAAATAAGTACACTCAGACAAGACTGGACCCTTTAGGTCTTACTTTACAATTCATAAAATAGATCTTCAGTTACTTATTACATCATTAAACAACTGTTATATTATTTCTTTGACAAATAAGGTGGTTATTTTACATGCTCAGATAGGACTGGACCCTTAGGTCTTACTTTTACAAGTAGCAAATTAAATCTTCAATTCTTGGTTACAACGTTAAACGACCATTATATTACTTCATTGTCAATACAGATGGTTATATGACACACTAGACAATATCTCAAATTAACATATTATTTATAACATCATGTTATTTTGGAATGAACAACATGGCACTTTTCCCTCAGTTGGTAGAACATATAAATGATGTACTCACAACCCACATGACACGTTATTACTGGTACTATCAATATTTATGGGTTCATTACTCAACATGGGATAACTATATTTCTGCTAATTATCCCCACTCATATACAACAATAATACTTTGGCCCATATAACTGTAAGGAGTGCCCCAGGATGTAACACTGGTGTCACCACAACAAACAAAGAGCGCTGTTAGGGTTGGTTGCAGTCCGACACACTGCGAGGGAGTTCAGGCCTAGGTCCTAGGGTGCGGACTCACACAATTTAATCTTGCCGAATTAACAACATACTGCAAGACAGCCAGCTGGTACACAGCTACCAGTCCCCCGGTGACTATCGGGTATTCAACTAACACACACACTGTGCCTGGGATATAATGGAACAGCGTCAGAGATGTAAAAAATAACTCAATCACAAATAATGTTTCGTCTGGCAATGACAGACAATATTTACTTTACATTCGAGTTAAAACTGACTTAATAAGGCAGGTGTGAGAACATACACATACCTGAAATATGATTGAACAGCGTCAGAGATGTGACGCTGCTCCTCGTACACGAGTTTATATATGGCTAACTGGCAACTCAAGCCTGTGCGCTACACATGCCAGAAACGCTAATCGCGCAATGACAGAAATTACATTCAACTCAGTCGCTGTATATTTAACTATGAAAATCAATGCCATGGGTCAGGTGAAATTCT